AAAAATTCATACTTGACAAAAGAAATACATCCAAAAAAAATATATAATGTGAATAAATTGTTTCTTTCATACAAAAATAATTAACCTACTTACTAGTTTACTCCCTCCGTTCCGGATATTTTGTTCGCTTTACTGTAGACACGAGAATTTATGAGGGGTATAATTAGTAAATAATTAAAAATATATTAGTGAAAATAATTATCTTATAATAAAAATAATTATAGATTAAGATTAATATAACTTATTAATATAATTAAAATTAACAAAATTATAAATTAAATTTTTTAAAATAAGATTAAAGTGTATAATTCTTTTTAAAAAAATAAAGTGACAAAATAAGTGGGATAAACGGAAATATAAAGATGGACATGAGATGTGGAAGGGATAGAGTATTTCATTTTCTCCATACAAATATATATATATATTGACGTGAATTGATCTTTTGAATGGAAAAAAATATTTTACATAATATATTATATTAGAAATATGTATATAATATGTATTTTATTTCCAAGAGAAAAACTCAATGATATTCGATATTGTTTGGTTTTGGTTTTAAAATTTAGTTTGAGTTGGATTTTAAATTTAAATATTATTTTTATTTAATATTTTTTAAAATGTAATAATGTATTTTAATTTAAAATTGTATAAATTGAATAATTTTTATTTGATTGAAATTAAAACCGAACACACATTATTCATCAATATCATTGCATGAAAAAACTTAAAGAGTGTGCAATAAAATTAATCAAATCAAAATAAAATAAAATAAAAACCCCGAATTGAAGCAAAGTGCAGAATGACTCAAAAAAAAAAAAAAAAAAAAAAAAGTGAGGCTCAATTGTTGAAGTCTAGAATGTACAAATAAGTTTAAAAGATCTCTCTTTATTAATTGATTGCGAGTATTATATTTTATTTATATATACATTCACAAATATATGTGCATATAATAAATAAATTATTATGAATTATATAATATGAAAATATAATTAAAACTAATAATTAAAAAAAAAAAAAAAAAAAAGAAAAAGGTGTCAACATACATACACTGATACACACTGCGGTGACCATTCATCTTCTGCCACGTGGAAATGTGAATAGGTACTTATTATAATTTGGGGCCGTTTCAATTTCATGTAGCGTATATACTTTAATTATTATCCACTATTTAAATTACCTTTATTTATATAAATGCATTTAGATTTAATGTGTGTATTGGTTGGTTTATATATTTTTCATCAATATCATGGAATCATTTTTATTTTTATTATTATTATTATTATTATTATTTTGTTTTGTTAGCGTCCATCAACTATATATATTTTTTCAAATAATATTTATATATTGGATAGGAACGAATAATGTTAGATGATCGACATGACTGTCTCAAGTAAATTATATTTGGGATTTCACTTTTAAAATTAATTGGTGGCAAATGTGGTAGTTCTTCATCTCTTATAAGGTTGGAGATTCTAACATCAAATCCAATGTGAACTACTCAACACTCCTTCTCGAGATAATAATTTTAAAAATTAAATATGGACATCATAGTATTGATAACATGTTAGATGATCGGAATGATCGTTCCGATCATTTAAAATGGTATAAATTTTTAGGTGAGATGATTATTTCTATCATCTAACAATATTAGAGTTTTAAATCTCAAGTTCGAGTGAGACCGTCCTCATCCGATATATATCAATGTGTAAGTCTGGCGTACATTTCCTTACACACAAGGGGGGCGTGTTGGACATTTCCGTACATTAGAAAAATTCATTAATGATGTATATCCCTAATAATTTAAGCTTTTAGGTGAAACAATTATTCTGATTAATTAACAAAATGTCTAAAAAAGAGAGTCAAATATTGGTATGCTATTTTGAAGTTTGATTTTGCTTTTTCTTTTTTTTATTTTTTTATTATACAACTATCGCGTATATTTTTTTTTCTTACAAAATAAATCCAAACAATTATTTAGTTTTTCTTTTTAATGATCTTTATGGTCCATATTGTCTTAAGAAATTCTTCAATTGCTTATTTTATTTTATTTTAAAAAAAAAATCTTATGTGCGATTTGAAATATAAAAATAATTAGTTAAAAGTATTATTTTAGACAACAACCGGCATCTAAATTAAAGTGAACATGAAGGGTTAAAAGAAAATTTCACTATTGAAAAATACAAATTACAATAGTATTTAACTTAGATATTATTTTGTAGATAATAAAAATATACTACATATAATTAAATAAGTTATACATATATGTTTTTACATGATCATTAGTATAAATTGATTTTATTTAGAAGAGATAAAAGAAAATATATATATATATATATATATAAACAAAATATTTGAGATAAATATATTACATATAATTATGGTATTGAATTGTTAAACCATTGTATGAAACTATTGAAGAATAATATAAGTATGCTGAACGTTATAAATTGAACAAAGCCTAAAACATTTTAAAACCATATTGTAAATATATTGAACTTTGCAAAAGAAATAAAAATAAAAATATCAAATTTTAGTTTAAATATATTGAATAATTTATGCTCAATGACAAAATAAATCATATAATTTTTAATAGCATTGTACATTGCAATTAGAGCTGTTAACGATTTGAGCCGAGCCGAGCCAAATTTTAAGTGTTTGTTAATGTTCGCGAACAAGGCTTGTGTTCGTTCGTTAAGCTTTTGAGCTCGTTCGTAGTGTTTGAGCTTGACTCGTTAAGAATTTTTGTTATTTGAGCTCGTGTTCGTGTTCGGCTCGTTAAGCTCGATTAAGCTCGTTCGAGTTCATTCGAGGTCGTTTGTCTTATTTTTTTTAAATTTATATACAAATTATAAAGAAAATTTAAATTATTTTATTTCTATATTTTAAATTAATATTTTATTTATATATAAATTATAATTTTATATGTATATATAATATTTATAATAAATATATTATTTAAACGAACGTTCGCGAATAAAGTTTGAGCTCGTTTAGTTAATTAAACAAGCCTGTTTATGTTGTTCGGCTCGGTTCGTTAACGTTCGCGAACGAGCTTTAACCGAGCCGAATCGAGCCGAATTCACAAGCAGCTCGGTTCGTTTAACAGCTCTAATTGCAATTTTACACAAGCTCTAATGAAGATTAATAATATTTTTATACATGTATTTTCTCTGTTCACAATCAATATATCAATTTAATCATTTTAGTTTGTTTACCGTTAATATACCTATATTTTAATTTAGTAAAATATACTATCTATACTACAAGAAAATACTTATATATTTCACTTAAAATTACCAACATTAGCTTTTTAATTTTACAATTTCTTCACTCTATTTTCAAGAACATTTTAATCAATGAACTTTCATACACTACAAGAGTGTTTTTTTTTTTTTGGGTAATGAAATGAGTAATATTCTTTTATCAAATATAATTACTTATTTATTTAAGGTAAGCTAAATATTATATTAACTTATATTTAATTAAATAAAATAAACATAATATTAAAAAGTCATATTATTATATAACCTATTTAAAAAAAATACTTATAGATTATAGTGATTGCTATAAAATAAACACACTCTACCAATAATACATAAAATAATAATATTCCTTAATGTACATAATAATATAGATAAATACATATATTTAATTTCCCAATTCATACCCATTAAAAAAAAAAAAAACACTCAAACCTAATTATAATTCAAATTAAAGTGAGCAATTCATTTTTGCCATTATATATATATATATATATATATATATATTAGTGAAACACATTAGTACCTCAATTCTTGACACATAACCCCTCAAAATTGTAAATAAGTCAACTTTTTGCAAACAAATTTCTCTCTTTTGGTGTAACTCTAAGTGGATAATATTATTGCAATAATATTCTTTTTTTTTTTTTTTTTTTTTTATTTTTTATAATGTACGTAGTGATCAGAGAAAGCTTTTATATATATCCACATGAATTTGCATTATTGATTTGTGTTAGATCATATCATTACCCACACACACACACCACAAACTACATACATATAATTGTCTCAAAACAAATGTTATTTATTAATTAGTGTAAAAAAGTGTGTCCCCTTTAGGACAAATCATAGGAGCATTCATCCATTTTATTGGCTTCTAATATCTAATTAACTAAAAAACAAATTAATAATCCAATAATTTATATATATATATATATATATATATAATATGATCTTAATTCTTGTATATTCTCTGGGCCCTTTTATTGCTTTTCATTGTTGCTGCTTTTTGTTAAAGCTGATAAATGGGCTTTTGAAACTTAATCATATCCAACTAAGTCCCCCACCCCACCCCACCCCACTTTTTATTTTATTTTTGTAAAAATAAAATTAATAAAATTCTAAAGGTTCGATACTAATGCTCAAAGGTATAAATTGAGATTGTTAAATAATCTCAACTATGAGTTTAGTTGGTGATTTCTTTCGGATTTTTTTTTTTTTTATTTGTTTGAATAATGGTGATTTTAATGTAATTTTTTTGTAAAATATAGTTTTATTTATAGAAATGGTTGAACAGTAAAAAAAAAAAAAAAAGTTAGAATAATTGTCAAGTGAATAAAATCTTAGTAACAAAATTTTTTCATCTTAATTACTTTTCCAATTTTGTAGTTTTCTATTTCTATCACTCACTGAACAATATATGTGTTTTCAATATATTTCTTGAATTGCTCAATCACAGATTAAGCCTCAATAAGGCCCAATAGTCCATTTTATGTTCTAACTACAATGCAAATAACAACTTAAGCCAACCATAGCTTCTAGAAGAATATGGTTAGGTTGCTTATTAGTTCTAATCAATACATAAATCAAAGGCACACAACACATGATTAGAAATCAAATATAACTTGTCTTGTCGGACCTAGTTTCCATACTATTAAATTCCATCGAAAATTTACCCATATATTTTCACATTGCTGAAATAATTATTGTTATGTGTTAGTTTATTAGTATTATGTATCTGTTTATGCATTGCATTTGTATTATATGTACCCAAAAAGAGTCGAAAAAACACTATAACAAGAACCTTCTAGAAGGTTTCCACAACCCTTTCAAACACCAATACACTAAACTTCTCAAAATGATGTAAGGATTTCATTTTACAGAGCTTACAAAATACACTTTTTTCTCACCTTAACGGCTACTACACAACCTTATCAGTCGGAATCCTCCGATTCGGCTGGGCTCTCGTCCTCGGATTTTACAGCCGCCACCGTCGGCAATTCATCAGGATCCGATCCGAGTTCTTCACCATCCTCGATCTTGATGGGAAACGACTTTGACGGTCTGCAGCACACTTTTCCGATCGGAACCTTTTCCTGCAATGAAGACAACGAAAGAGATCGTAAAAAATGCGCAGATTTATTCGATATATTGGAAGAAAAGTTGAAAGACCTCGATATCGGTGAAGTCGTATCGAACGAGAAACATGCAGGCGCAGTTATTTCCGTTGTGTGGTTTTCGTTCGACATCCAAAACTCGGGCGTCGCAGTAGAGTGCATGATCCTCGTTTTCCTGGGAAGTTGTGTGCGTATTTTCGATGGAAATTAATGATGATGAGAAAGGAAAGTACTCGATGGAGAATCGAAACAGTACCTTGTAGCAAAGAATGAGATCTCCGACGTTAACTCTCTCGCATTCAGAATGTTCTAGAGGAATCGAGCGTTCCCGTACTGCATCCTTAAGGCTCACCCATTCATCTTCTTCTTTGCCGAAGCCAGCAAATCTCACCCGAACAAACTGTAATGCCATCATGTAAGAAAAACATCGACTTGATTATGAAATTTGGATGAATGCTAAATGAAATTGTTCGTATTTGATAAGGGAAATTTGAGATACATCGATGCAGATAACCGACATGTGATATCTTACCACTTCACCGGAACAGAGGACTTTGTAGTTCAGAAAAGCAGCAACATCGAACCTAAGAAACCAGAAGTAAGATGTGTGTAATGCTGTATAAAACGATAATTAATTGATACGGGAGTATTATGAAGTTACTATAAGAATTTTCAATATTTTTTATGGGTTCAGCATATTAACTCACTATCCGACAATAAATTTTACATATATCTGCAGAATAACTGAAACCACAATTCCATTTCGAGCAAGACAACTATGTTACAATAGATACACAACAGCAAAAACATAATATGCAGAATTGAAAATCGAAAGCTCACCAAGCGCAATCCTTTGCTGATCTAGCTTCAAAAATCAAGTTGGGTAGCAATTCAGCTGCTTCACTGGCGGAGATGGTTGCGGCTAGCAGGAATTCATACGATTTATTTCATAGTTTTTCAAGAGATTACTTCTACAATTATTTAATGATAACAAATACCATATATGCTATTGTTCTAGGAAAAGAAAGACTGACCTTTAGTTCTGGTTTTAATCATGGCCGTCTTAGAACAAGTAGCTCCACTGCCAGAAGAAGATGGAACGATTTTTTTAGCCACCGACATTGTTTGTTTATCTTTGAACCACCTCTCTACCTGCAAACAAAAGGAACATGGACGGAAATGTACAAAAATCAGAAGTCATAACAATCCTATAAGAAAACCATGGATTCAAACAAATTGATTACCTTTTCCCAAGTTATACGAGTCTTTCCCAAACGATGACTCGAAACACTGCATAATACACATTATAAACTTACAATTTAGACTTGTCCTTTAGCCGTCGTAACTCAATTGAATATCCCACCGTGCACATTTTGGACAGATGCACAATAATGAGATCAAAATACCACAAAAGAATCAAATCTACCTAAACTTGGCGGCGATCCCTTCGCAAAACACTTGTGTAATTGGTTTTCCTTTCATTTCCTTATACATGCTATCCATTTCCAGAATCTGGTTTAGTGTCCAACAACAGAAAATTCTTAAATTGACTTCAATAACATTTCACCCCCAACCCCAACCCCTACCCCTAAGCATAATAAATGAATGAACATATGCATCAAAGCGGCTGCATTTTGTCCTATCCAATCAATTTCATCTTCCCCAAGCAAAAACACTTCAATTTGAATAACCAAATAGCAGAGCTATTTCAACAGATTCCACACAAACATAGGTCTCAAATTACATACCACACAATAATGCGATCGCCATTTCAGTAATCGGAGAATCTAATTCCGGAGGTACTTCACAATTTTTCGAAAAAACATCACATCTTTAGGAGCAATAACACGAATCAACTTTGAACAGCGCAAATAGGAGGGAGAAAACCCCAAAAAAAATCAATCAAAGAAAAACTAAAATGAAAAATTCGGCATTCGGGTAGAAGGAAAGCAATAAGGATCACCTCAGCTAAAGTGAACTCAGGAGAATCGTCGTCTACGTCGATCGGAATATGCGTGCAATGAGAAGTTTCCATGGAAGAATCTGATTCATCGTCCATGTTGGTCCGTCCCTCGCCCCCACAGTCGCTGTAGTTTCTATTGCCCAATATTTCTACGACAAGGGTTTTAGGGTAAGACTCTGTTCTTTTATTTATAAATAAATAAATATACATATATAAATTGTATTTATATAGGGTAAGACTCTGTTCTTTTAGATTTGTTTATTTTGTAAAATTAATAATTTTTACTATTTTGCTAGATTGTTTTATAAAAATATTTTTTTTTATTAATTTAAATTCACATAAAAAATATTAAATTCAAATCGGTTTAAACTCAAATTACTCATTTTTCTTTTTTATTTACTTTTTTAAAAATGTTTTTATTTTCTTTTTGAAGTAAAACATTATACTATACAATCTTTTATATTTTTTATTATAAAAGGTAAAAGAATATCAAAAAGTTTCAATCAAAACCTCATCCGATAAAATTTGTGCCGATAAATTTTAAGCATATCTTGTGAGACGAGAGTATTATTTTATTACATAAATTATCGTATAAAAGTATTGTTTAAACTTTTTCTTAAAAAAAAAATTATACTCAAACCAACATAAATTAAAAGATTTTTTTTTTTTTTATTTCGGATAATTTTTTCCATTTATTTATAGATCGTATATAAGTATAATAAATAATCTTCATTCTTACATACTATTTCAAATTTATTTAAACATACTTTGCTTCAAATACATCACGGCAGTGTGGAAGATGGATCAGATATTTAAAATTGTTGAATAGGATTTTTTATTAAATAAATACATGGGCAATTTAGTAAATATTTTATTATCATTGAATTATTTAATAACTTTATAATTAATTGACAGATGTTTATAATCTATATACAATTATGAAATAAATACCGATCCAAATCCTAAATAAAGTTACTATAATCTATTGTATTATAGCATATAGTTCAATACATATAAATGCATATATACATTCGATTTGTGTATCATCAATTTCCAATATTGTCATTTCCCAAACACATGGGTTAGTTTCTTTGGATTTTTTATCTTTTTTTTTTTAATAATGTAAAAATAATAATACTACTAATAATAAGTGATCCCATACTAAAATAGAAGCTTGTTCAAGAAAACAGCAAAAAATGTAAAACTAAGAACAGGTTTCTATGATAGATTGCTAAAACCTAATCCAAAACTGGTTAATTATTATAACAGCTTCATCCCCATCACAAAATCTGAATCTTTTTCTATGTCCTTTTGGTTTATATTTACAGTTATGGCAATGAAAGCTTACTCTTACTCAAACTCCAACATCCCTTCATATGAAACCAAAAAGTTTAGTGTACACACCGGAGATGTCGTCGGAATAATGAACAAAACGCCGCAGGATTATTAACCGGAGTTGATGAAATTTTACCGTTGATGGCCGGGAAGTCCAAGAGAGAGCACAGGAAGCTCGATATGGACATCACTTGTGTCGCGTAGATTCAGATGGGACATTCCGGCCAGTTCATCCGGCCTGAGAATCCGTTGACAATGAGATGACGAACCGGGTTTAGAATTGTCGGAATTGAGAGCGCATGCATCTTGTGGTAGTAGCTGAAATGGCACCGGCGTGATAGCCGGTTGCAGAGAAAGATTCAATGAAGGTATAAATTTTTTGGTGTCGTAGGATTGTTGTGGGATTGGTGGTTTCGCATTTGCATCCTGGTAATCAAAGAAACAAGAAATTTGTTATCATTATGTTTGGTTTTTGATCGAAACAGGGGAAGAACAGAGAGAGCATTTGATTACCATGTTTGGCACCATGTCGAAGAGGCTGGAGCGTTTCTTCTTGCGATTCACGCTGTTTTGTCGGATGAAGTACTTTTGAGCATGGCTGGCTACCTGAGACGGAGTTCTTGAAGGTACGTATATGTTGGATATTCCTCGCCAGTCTCCTTTGCCTAGATTTTGTAGGCCTAATAAGAAGTTCCTGTGTTCTTCCTCTGTCCATGGAATTCCTGCAAATTCAAGGATGTATATATGATTCTGTTCCAAAATTGATAATTGATAACTGGAATTCTAGCTATAATTTCTATGGCAGTAGATATGAATTGTGATCCTAAATCCAAACTTAATACTGCAAAATCTAATAGCGTGGAACATTCAATTGGTAAAACTGACCTAGACCAGGTAAGTTCTAAATACGATTTCAAAAGTTCATACACGTTAAACCGAAGATACATCAATGAACAGCACAAATCATGAAATCAACATCATTCTAAAATATATTCACCTCAGTAAATCAATCAATTTCGATCTACAGTATTGATTAATTAAAAACCTAATTAAAGGTAAACGCCAGAACGAATACACCATTATAAATCTAACCTTTCTTTCTGGTAAATCCTCTGCAACGATGATTTGGATCATCAGAATGGTACTCCGCTGTGGAATCAGCAGTTGCCGGAAACTGAAATAAGTTCCCCATGCTCGCACTCTTCTTAATAAACGATCCGTCGATTAACCTAACCCCAAACACCCTAACGCCTCCACCGCCTCTGCCGCTGCGCGTCGAACAAGTGCGCGTGTTGTGGCCATTGTTATTGCAATGCGAGCAACGCCGAGTCATCGTCTCCTCAATCAATCAATGAATGCGTATCCGCATCACAATTCACAATAACAGCAGAAACACAAAACGAATCGAATTGCGATTAGACAACACAAAAGTCGATCGGAATCAATTGACGGATGAACAAACGTATAGATTTGTGCGTGCGCGACAGAGAGAGAGTTATGAGGAGAGCAACAATGGCCGGGCTGCATGTGATGTGAATCTAACGAAAAAGTGCATTTGGATTTGCATTTACATTTACATCTGCATTTATAGTATTCTCAGGTTTCCGTAGACACGGATATTTGATTCATGAGGATAGATAATCATTCAATTCATGAGGATAATTGCGATCTGTTTCCTTCCCATTTTATTTACTGTTTTTTTTTCTTTATTTATTAATTTTGATGCGATATTTTGTGAAACATAATAATTGTACGGAGGAATAAAATTTGTATAGTATAAAAAGAATGAAATTTTTTAAAAGAGTAATATTCTCCGTTCCGAATATCATGTCCACTCTATTGTGGATACGAGTACGTAGGAGAAATATAATAGCTAATGTATAATAAAAATAATTATAAATTTGTTATATATTAAAATATTTTAGGGTTTTTATTGGGCCTATAACTGAATTCTAATATTTGGGCCTACATATAAACTCAAAAAGAAAGTAGGTTTTCGGACGTCAATTGAAGAAACAGATCGGTTGATCAGTAGCTTGATTGGTCGGTCGATCAGTCGTTTGATTGGTCGGTCGATCAGTCGTTTGATTGGTCGGTTGGTCAGTAGCGTGGTTGGTCGATTGATCAGTCTCTTGATTGATTGGTCAGTTGGTCAGTCGCTTGATTGGTCGGTTGATCAGTCGCCTGGTCTGGTCGGCGGGTCGGTTGATAGCATGAAACATAACCGAAGACGGTTCTTCAGGCGGTTGCAACCACGAAGGGGTTTTCCGTCAGTTACAACCTACTGCGCACACGACATCCGGCAGAAGGCATCTTTAATGAGCATCAATTTCAATGAAATTCGTTTTGGAGAAATTCTTTTTGGAGATCATCTTTTATTTTCTTTTCAGTTTGCTTTTATTTTCTACGATATTTAGGAATCTTCGATTCCATATATTATTGCAGTCAAATTCGAATTTTACTTTTTATTATTGGTTGAAAACAACATCAAAAAAATTAAAATTAAAATAATGAATTAGTTTAATTAAAATTTAAAATAGGATTAAAATGTATAATTTATTTAAAAAAAAAAGAAAAAAAAAAGAGAGAAAATAATAATTGTAATAGACAAAAATAAAAAAAATTGACATAATAAGTGAGACGAAGGTTGTACTATTTTATATATATATATAGGGTGCGTTTATTTTAATGTATAGTAGTACTACATAATTTTTAGACTATTTTAATAAATTAAATAATCTACATCTTAATTAATATAGTGTTTACTTTACTATATTAAATATTGAATAAAACTATATTATGTTTACTTACTTGATTGTATGATATGATTATTATTTTTTTCACTAAATACCCTTTATAATCTATTTTATATATTTATATTGAACAATGATTTATTTATATATATTTTATTTTAATTAAAACAATAGTAGATTAAATTATACTTATTTGATATATAATACTTCCTCCGTCCCAGATATCATGTTCCGTTGCCGTTTCTGTCCGTCCCACGTATCATGTCACTTTCCTTTTTTGGAAAATGATTATACACTTTAATCTCATTTTAAATTTTTAATTTTTTTTAAATTTTAATTAAACTAATTAGTTATCTTAATATTAATTTATAATTATTTATATTATAGGATAATTATTTTAACTAATATATTCTTAATTATCTATTAATTACATCCTTTCTAAAATACCGTGTCTACAGTGTAGCAGACACGGTGTCTAAGACGGAGGGAGTAGTATATAATTTAAAATAGCTTTTTCTATTATTATTTTATATATAAATTAGTTTTTGAGAATATGTTAATACTCCCTCCGTCCTGTCAAATTTATTTTCACTTTTTTTTAGTTCGTCAACTAAATTTATTCAATTACTAATTTTGGTAAAGTCAACAAATCAATATTTAATTATTACATTTCATTCAACACTTATTTACAACAAATACCACTAATTTTTATAGCACTCTCTCTCTCTTCATTTATTTATTTTTTTAACTAAATTTTAAAAAATACCTTCAACGTTTTTTCAATAAAATATTCATTTTTCTTAATTTCCGTGCCGAGCCCAAATAGATTAATTTTAATTGACTGAGGGAGTATCATTCTTACATTTTTATATTTCATTTCTTAAAAATTTAAGATAAACTTCAAATAATGATTAAACAAAAAAAATTATTGATATTTATAATATTTTTTACTATAATATTTATTAAAATAAATTATTACAAAAGTATTTGAACAAATATTTTTTGAAGAAAGAAAGAAAATGAAGGGTAATTTGGATATGTTGTTAAATTGGATAAATTAGTATGAGTGTGTTAAACCGTATTATTAGTCTTATATATTACTACTATTATATCGGACTTATAGCTATACAGTAAACATTGGATTAGGACGGATAAAATAATATTATCATAGTAAACGTGCCCAATGTAAATATATAAATTCTTAAAATAATTATAAATCCTATAAAATAATTATGCATGTTCCATTGTGTATTATCAACGGAGGAAATAAATATTTTGTTTGTATATATTTTGAAATTATGATAAATAATAGTACTATGTATTAATGGTTTATTTGACAGTAATAAATGTAATAAATAGTTGAGTATAATGGATAAAACAGATACACAATTAAAATGTAATGTAAAAAATGATCGAAAGCTAGGTTTGGATTGGGTGCTGATTTCTGATTAGGTTAAAAAATAATAATGTTAATATATTTTATAAATGATATAATTAATATAATTATATATATAAATTCTATATTAATCAGTACCCAATTCAACCCCTCGAAAGATCTACTTATTTAACACCGTATCATACTAAAAATATAAGTTATTTACCTACTTTTTCGTATTAGAAATTTAATACATTGGTGTATATAAATTTTAGAGATTCGCTAGTGTGTTTGTTTTGTAAAAATAATTTGAAAAGAGATTTTTTTTATGTTAGATTATCTAATATAAAAATAATTAATTGGTATAATATATTAATTTTTTTAAATATATATATATATTGAAAAAACACATAATACACCCAACAATTTTTATTTTTATTTAATTTTCTTATGCATTGAATTTCTGGAGTTTCAAAAAAGGTAAAAATAGAAAATAAAAATCAGTATTTGTTTAGGGGTGTTGGAACATGGAAAAGATCTAAATTGCTCAATCCAAAATTAAGTTTACATATGCATATATATACACGAAGGACCTAACATAAATAATTAAATTTAGAATTATGTATATATATATATGGCAATATATATCAATAATGGGGTTGAATTTAAATTTTTTAAATTTTAAATTGATATAGTTGTTTGATATTCATTTTATCCCGATAATGTGTTAAGGTTAATGTATGTACTAGACTTCGAAAGATTATAATTAGTAACTAATTAATAAATGTATTAATGAATTAATTATGATATAATACAAATAATTCCAAATATATATTCCCTCCGTCCCATAACAAAGTATCCATTTTTCTATTTTAGTCCGTCCTATGACAAAGTATCCATTTCATTTTTTTAGTAACTGTACTATCTACTTAACATTACAAATACCCTTACAACTTACAATATATTACACAAATGTCATTACCTTTATATCACACATACTAACAAGGTTATTTTAGTCATTTCTACTTTATTCTTACTATATTCTAATATAATACTAATATTTCTAAAACTACGTACAAAAAACAAATTGATACTTCTTTTTGGGACGGAGGGAGTATTATGTTTCACAAAAATTAGTATTCAATACAAAAGATTATTTTGTATATTATGGCCACAATTTATTATACCTCACGTTAAAAAATTAAAATAAAAATACTAAACAAACAAACTCAGGTAACTTAGACAAATATTCAATTTACTTGTGGTAAAGCATAAAATATGACATGTATTCAAGGGGTGTGTTTGTTTGGGGGTTTGGATTTTGGATTGGGATTTGAATAGTAAAAATTTTGAATTTGAATAGTTGTATGATGTGATATAAATAGGGTTTGATGTGATGTTTTGAATGTAAAATTGATTTTTAGTATAATATAAAAAATGAAAAATAGGTGTTTGATGTGATGTTTTTGGGGGGAAAAAAATTGGATGAATAGTAGAAATCCTCCAAAATCCTTCAAACAAACACACCCCTGATGGATTGAAAGTTTAGTGTAGAATTTCATAAAACAAACAAATAAATCTCACTCTTTTTAGACAAATATGTAATTTTTACCTATCTTCCTATGTATACTGTACAATGTGTTATCTACTAAATTTAAAGCATTTGAAATTTTCTTTTGTAGAATTTGATAAAAACAAACAAATCTAAATATCATGTTATTATGATTATTTTATTTTAACTAAATGCGAAGATATTATATATATATATATATATACTTTATGGCGGAAAACTAGAGTGTTAAACTCAAAACACAAAAAGAAAAAGAAAAGATGAGAAAATGAAATACAAGTAAATTAAATGCGCAGTATAAAATACTTTCAATATCTATTGAATTAAGTAATCGAGCATTATCAAATTAAAAAAATTGAGTTAGTAAATAAATCAATCTTGTGCGTTTTGAAATAAATAGAATATAAACTTAATATATATATATATATATAGATCTCAAACTTTCAACAAATATAAATTTGGAGTAAAAAAAATTGTTCGGTAGCTCACAGATCTATTGTTTGCTTCAATCCACTCGGACAGTCAAAATGAATTCTACAAAATTTTAGTAAATATTTTGGTATTGATCCATACCATGATCTAATGGCCCTGAAAAATATTTTTTCAGCAACAGCTTCAACACATTCTTATTTGAATAGAGGTCTTTTTAGTGCTCAAAATTTGTCTAAATTTGTAATAATATCGATTATGTAACTATTTACAACTATCTAAATTTAGTGTGTCGTGAACACATTAACCACTATTTATAATTTTATTTTTTAATTTCTAGCAACATAAATTTATTATACATATTAATTGTTATATATTATATTTAGTTATAATAAGTTAAATTATAAGAGACAGCATTAAGTTATTTGTTTGTGTACATATTGATTATTGTAATATATTATATATTATTTAATTGTTAATTAATATTAAATGACAAATATATAAATCCAAACATAACCCACTGGCTAAAAATACAAATTACATCTATTATCATAATTATTATTATTAGGTACACTATTAAAATTACAACATTTTTTATTTGATAAATGAGCTGTTACACTAATTGAATGATTAAATATCAAAATTCAGGTCAAACTTATGAATAGTCTTATTTTTTAAAGAAAAAACATTGAGATATGCATTAATACTTTACTTTGGCTTTATTGTATATTTACATTTTTATTTTTTTAACAAAAAAAAATCATTCAAAGTTTGTCGCCTACAAAAAGTTACTTCCTCCGCTTCACATACTGTGTCTGCTGCAATATAGACACGGTATTTTATAAGGAGTGTAATTAGTAGATAATTAAAAATATATTAGTAAAAATAATTATTATATAATATAAATAATTATAAATTAAGATTAAGATAACTAATTAGTTTAATTAAAATTTTAAAAAAATAAATAAAAAAGTGTATAATCATTTTCCAAAAAATAAAAGTGACATGAAATATGGAACGGACAAAAACGGCAACATGGACATGACATGTGGAACGGAGGGAGTATTTCGTACTTATTTTTAATTTAAAATATTATATACTTTATTTGAAATATGATAGTCAAATTATTGATGTAGTTAGATAATTTTATTAATAGTAAAAAAATATTTATAACAATTGTTATGTGTTGCTATTTAAAGTATTCTTTAAAATAAAATGTAAAAAACTTAGGGTGGTTCGTTTTATAAAAAATAATAAATTACGCATATTTATTATTTTTATATTATTTATATATTATTTATAATTAATATAAAAAAATCTATAATTAATATAAAAAAAAATCAAATTATTTTACAAAATAAATATATTCACAGTGACTTAAATAATAATTCAATATATATATTTAAAAATATTTTTCTAAAATTTGTGTAAATTATATCATAAAAAAACTTAAAAAACAAAACAAAATTAAAATTAGCATTAAATAAATATTTTAAAAAATAGATAATCAAATAACATAAAATAGGCCTGAATGCATAAACAGAACACCAGAACACCTAATCATTTTAACCTTATTATATCATTTTCTTCGTAAATAATACTCCCTCAGTCCTAAGAGAAGTGTCTTATTGAGAGTTGATAGGGGAATTAAAGATTAATAGTATTTAACTGAAAGTGGATATAAAGTAGAATGTAAATGACTAAAATACCCTTGTTTTTTGAAGGATTTTAAAGAGTATGTTAGAGTAATAATTATGGGTAGTATGGAAAAGTAGGAATAATTTTGTTATAAAGTGGGAACCACGGTTACTAAATAAGAAAACAAGACAATTGTTTTGAGACGGACGAAAATGAAAAAACAAAAACAAATATTTTGGAACGAATGGAGTAGATATATTTAATATTATACATTGAATAAAAACTAACAAATATTTTACTATATTTTTTAAATTGTGTAAATGTATAAATATTAGCGTTGAATTTTAAAAAAGAAAAAGAAAAAAGAAATAGAAAGAGACATATTTAATAATAAATTTTATTAATTTTGAAGTTTCATATTTACTAAATAACAAAAATAAAAATTATTATATTATATTCATTTGTATTTTATTTTATTGGTATATATTGCATTATATACAATTAAATATTTAACAAATATTGTATTAAAAATATTCTTTTTAACTAAAAGTTTAAATTAAAAAAATATATAAGCTTAAATCACAATAGTACTTTCTTTTACGTTTCTAGTCCCGTAAATGAAGGTCTGGTGGTGTAAGGGTTGGATTTGTGATCGTGAGGTCATGGATTCAAACTTACGCCTCAGGTCACACGTCACATATGGTTCGACTAGTGTGACTTTTCCGTTGGGCTTGGTTTGCAGGGTATTAGGTTCGACCTGAGGTTTACCCAGTGTACTTTCGGGTAGCGACTACGGATTTCCACGTCATAAAAAAAAAAAAAAATCAAATTTCTGAAAAAATGAATTACTTCTATCACAAAAAATTAATTTAACTTATTACTTAAATTAGAACCAAAACAAAAACACGCATTCACAAAATAAATAAATAAAAGTAAAAATCCATAAATAAAACTCTTTAATCTATTAAAAAAATATTCGTTCTATTATTTTCTATCGTTTAAATATAGTATATTAATTTCAGTTATAATAAATATAGATATCATTATACAATAGAAATGTATCTTACATTTATTTATATTAATATTATTCTATTGACCATTTAGGTATCAAAAGTATTACTGTATGGCAGTTAGTGTTGATTAAGGTTAATAAATGCCGTGTTTAATAACTCAAAGCAACATAAATAATTATATTTTTATATAAAATATTCAATTTTTTTTTTATTTTATTTCGGTCTATCTCATATTTTCTTTAAGAAATATTATTACAATTTAAATTTTATTTAATCTGAACAATTTAATTATTTTAATTTTAATTTATAATTATTTTTTAAAATATAATTAATTTAACAATAATATAGATAATTTATTCGAAACAAAAAAATATATAATTAAAATTAAAAATATTATTTATTACCATGTATGTTATTACATTAACATGCAAAGTATGCTTGAAACTATTGCATTATATATTGTACTTTTTCTTAACAATTTGTCAATTTTGATATGTCCTATAATAAAGTATTTATTTTTTCAACTTACAATGTATTACATAAATATTATTACATTTATATCATACAATAAGGTTAGTTTAATTTTTTTACACATCTCAATATAATACTAATATTTCTAAAATTTTAATGTAAAAAACAAAAAAGATAAATAGATATGAGACAGAGAGTATTAACTATTACAATATTTATATTATATTAACATTTAATATAATCTAATAAATTATAATATGTATAGATGTATACTATTATCACATACCGATTAAAATTAATTAGCAACCTAATAACCGTTTTTAATTACTTGTAAAATACAATATTATAAAAATTGAAAAAATACTTTTTTTCCGAGTGAGAAGGTGATAGTAACGTGTATATTTATATATATATATAGTAAAATATATCCCCCCTTTTTTGGCAGGGCTTTATTGTAATTCCACACTTCTTCTTCTGTACCGTATTTCTTACATTTGAATACAGACTTTCACATTCATCATCATCACATACATACTCACATGTGATGTCTGTGTCCCAAATTTCAGACAAAACCCAGACCGACGGCGGAGATCAATGGACGCCAAGCCCAATTTACCCTCCGCCGCCGATGAAATTGAGATCAACCGCCAAGCTCCGACAAACTCCAAGGGCGGCCTCATTACAATGCCTTTCATCATAGGTACAATACATACAACATCTGTATATATCTATTTTGCATTTGCATTTGCATTTGGGGAATAAACTCAAATTTCAAATTGCTGTCCTAAATCTGGAGCTTCGATTGTGTGTTTGTTCGATCTCTGTTTGGCAGCAAATGAGGCGTTGGAGAAAGTGGCAACCTACGGCTCGCAGCTCAACATGGTACTCTACTTAACGAACGAATACAAAATGAACTATGTAAGAGCTTCGAATCTCATCCTTTTCTGGTCCGCCGCCACCAGTTTGTCTCCGCTCCTCGGCGCCTTCGTCGCCGATTCATACCTCGGCCGCTTCCTCACCATTGCCATTTCTTCCATCCTCAGTATTCTGGTACATTGCCGCCGTGCCCTAATTTTCTCAAATTAGAATTACTTGCCCTAATTGTCAATCTGTTGTAAGAAACTGATTTCGATTAACCTTAGCTCAATTTTGTCTGTCTTTCAATTGAACAAGATCAGATGCCCAAATTTGTTTACACTTGATTTCAGGCAAACAAAGTAGTTTCCTATAAGTTACTCCCATTATCATTTTAACTTTTTTTCCATAAATATAATAAATAAAAAAATAGGTGTTAAATGCGATATTTAGCTTATAGACATGGTACATTTTGAAATTTGAGTTCAACTAAGATACGGATTATTACAGGGGATAGTTCTGCTATGGCTAACGGCTATGATTCCGGGGGCGAGGCCTCCGCCGTGCGATCAATACAAGCAGCGTTGTGAAGGCGCTGGGTCGGGACAGTATACTCTATTGTTGTTAGCATTTTTTCTTACAGCGATAGGTGCCGGTGGGATAAGGGCGTGCTCGATGGCGTTCGGGGCAGACCAGATCCTTAAAAAGGACAGCCGCGACAACGCTCGATTGTTGGAGAGCTTCTTTAGCTGGTACTACGCATCGTACGCTGTATCGATTCTGGTGGCGTTTACGGGCATTGTGTATATTCAGTCGAACATCGGGTGGAAAGTGGGATTTGGCGTGCCGGCGATCTTGATGCTCTTCGCCGCCGTTTTGTTCGTCGTCACGTCGCCGTTGTATGTCAGACGGAACGCTAGCAAGAGCTTGTTCGTCGGGTTGGTTCAAGTGGCTGTGGTCGCGTACAAGAATCGAGAGCTCGAGTATCCTCGGGATGGAGATGCCGGGTATCGTTACTTGCCGGGATCGTCGAATGCGTCTCCGAGTAAAAAATTGAGGTGAGCGATTGAGTTATCGCGATCGTAGATCGTAGAAGCTTCGATCGATATTGAGAGTTTACGCTCGTGTTTCTTATAGGTTTTTAAACAAGGCGTGCATCGTGAAGAATCCTCGCGACGTAACCTCCGCGGGAGATTCGGCGAATAGTTGGAATCTTTGTTCGACGGATCAAGTCGAGAATCTAAAAGCCCTAATCACGGCGCTCCCGATATGGTCGACCGGGGTGATGGTCGCTATAAGCACGACGCAAAACGCGTTCCCCGTGCTCCAAGCGAATTCAATGGATCGACACCTTACGCGCGGCTTCCAAATCCCGGCAGCCTCGTTCGTGATGTTCGTGGTCCTCATGGTAACGCTGTGGGTCGTGTTGTACGACCGCGTAATCATCCCGTTAGCATCCAAAATCGCTGGCAAGAAAGTCCGGCTCGGAGTCAGACTAAGGATGGGCATCGGGATCTTCTTGTGCAGCCTGTCGATGGCGGTTTCGGGGCTAGTCGAGCACGTCCGGAGGAAGAAGGCGGTCGAGCAAGGATTGGCCAACAACCCCGTCGGGATCGTCAACATGTCAGCGATGTGGCTGATCCTGCAGTACTGTCTGACGGGTTTGGCGGAGGCATTTTTTGCGATCGGGCAGAACGAGTTTTTCTACACGGAGTTCCCGAAGAGCATGTCGAGCATCGCGTCGTGCTTGAACGGGGTGGGTATGGGGGTCGGGAACTTGGCGGCGAGCGTGGTGCTGAATACGGTGGATCGGGCGACGTCGTCGGGAGGGAAAGAGAGCTGGGTTTCGAATAACATCAATAAGGGGAGATTCGATTATTACTACTGGTTGATGGCGGCAATGGCGTTTGGGAATCTGTTTTATTACATCTTCTGCAGCTGGAGCTATGGCCGTTGTGCTGATGCTGATGCTGTGGAGGACACCAAAAGGACAACACACGTTAGGGAAGAAGAAGAAGAAGCATGAAAATCAGGTTCGTCTTCTCCATAACAATATTATTATTATTATTGAATTATAAAATGTATTATCTCACCAATACTCCATTGTTGACTAATACAAAATATAGCAATTCATTTCGGGGGAATTATTCCGATTGTGTTCATACTTTTATTTTTGTTCAACAATTTATCTTAAATATATCAGGGTGGTTATAGTGCTGTCACCACGTCAAGCAATGATATTACACAGTACATACTAATAAAATAGCAGTCTGCCCGGAAGAGATGTCTTGGTTGTACGGGAGCCATACGTGTAACTGTGAGATCATGAGTTCAAAGCTTCGACCTTGTTAAACTTTCTAATAAAATATTCATTTTTCTTAATCTGCCGGGCGAGCTAATTTTAATGGACAGTAGTTCGAAATCAGCTCAATTCGACTAAGTCGTTTAATCTTAACAAAACATAAAAATTCCGGCAGCCGCACTGTCTTTTGCGGAAACACACATACCGCATTCAGAAGTCATCCCCGGGCGCATCGGTCTTTCGCTTGGCCTGCAAAGCAAGGCGGGCATCTCTTTCACGCTCGAATTCCCGATAGTCAGCTCGCTGCAAGAACGACACTTTATCCAGATATTGATTTGAACTTTTCTTGTAGGCATCGAGTTCCTCTTCCATGCCTCTGTGTTCTTCCTTGAACTCGCCCCAATCTTTCTTGGTTTTATCAAGCACGCTGAGTTTCTGTTTCTTCTTTATCTGTTCGAGAACGGCATCCACTGCAGATGCTGTACCGCCTGCACCTTTTAAACCCTTCTCGACTGCCTCTTTTGAATCTGCATCGACGAATTTCTTTACTTCAATCTCCTTACCAGCAAAATCCCGAACTTCAGTGATCTGTCAAATACAAAAACTTATATGAATTTAACTAATGTTTTTCGTCTTTTTATTGCAAGAACAATGCATAAAAGACATAGCCAATCCCTAATGATATAAGCCAGACCGATATATAAAGCACAGTAGGTCGACTTCGATCGGGGATCCAAACAAATATCAGATTCTGCCAAAAGACCTCTACAGCCATACGTCTCACATCTTCATTTTGATCATAACTCCAACATTGTAAAAGAGTGACAACAATTTCAAATGATCTTAATAAAATTAGCAAACGTGTACATGAACAAATCCCCAATTCAATATATGTTGATAATCTATAATACTAAGAAATACCTAGACGAACAAACACACCTCGACTTTCCCCCTCCCGGTGGCAGCCATAGCAGCAGCATCCTTCACCGCTGATAAAGCAGCTGCAGCAAGTTTTTTTGCTTCCTCACTGGCCTCATTTTCACCAATGCTCGAGCGCTTTTCCAGCGCTCCTTGTACAGACAATGGCGCCGTCTTTGATCCCAAACCTAGATAAGACATCCAACCCTGAAATAAAAGGCTGAGGTCACCATAGTGTCGGATTTCAGTTTCAAATTTTACATTTAAAGGGAAGCAGATCCTCACCGTCGACGACTTCTTTACAGGAGTTTTTTTGGGAGACTTCTTTGCCATTGAACTCTGGTTTTGCAAAATGGAATTTAGAGTCTTTGCAGAAACTCCTTTATTCATTTGCTGCCATACTGCATCCACCCGAGCTTTTCTCTCTGTCATCAGAGACATATACATACACAAGTAATTATCAATCACCGACCACAACAACAACAACATCAATCTTTGAAGTCTGAAGCATATATTAAGATGGATTTAAAGAACCAGAAAAAGCTACCAATTTCTTCAGGCTGAACCTGTGAGGTTGGAGCATGAACATCATCCTGCAATGGCTCTGCAGCACACTCCTCCATCTTTTCTCGATTCCTGAGGATATAAATCATAGCTAAGAGACAATGGTAATAACTCTTCTTCAAGAATTAACTCCAACAATCAGCCAGAAACTCAGCGTACTCAATAATAGGTTTCCAAAATTAACATTCATCAAAGAGAAGGAAACAATCGCTCTAAATGCTCATAGCTTCACTTGGTTAGAGTTTTTAAAAATCATCGAACTTCAATTACAATACAAAATCGAAAAAACGAACGAATGCAAACGAAAATTTTAGTCAATACTAGTGCGAATGATATGTCAAAAATAAATTGAAATTACAACCGAGTTCAACATCGCAATGAAAAGCTACAAACCCGCAGCAATCCCAAATTAAAGATGGAACGCCTAGGTTTCAATCTCTCGCACTAACAGCGTCAAAAGAACGATCAATCGAAAACTAAAGCATGGTTCAATTAAACTAGCAATTGGTTACAATCAAAAGGGGGAATTTTTCAAAACTTACCGGCGCAGACGATCGAAAAAGAGCTCGAATCGTCGATGAATACAGAAGAACCCTGTTCAGCCGCAGCGTCGATTTCCGCGCTCGTCTTGTTTCGCACCACAGCACAACGCTTCTGTTCGTGGGTTGTTTTTCTACGATGGATCCGGAGACCCGAATCCACAACCCGACCTGCAACAGAAAGATCCGTAACGGAAATATAATTATAATAAACTTGATTTTCAATAATAAATTATAAAAAAAAACTTAAAAAATTATTTATTTTAATTTAAAATTATATTATAATTCAAATACTTTAAATAAGTGTGATAATTTATATAAATAAAATAAAATTTTACTGTAATATTTTAATTAAAAAATCAAATACGCAATATTTTTTTTTACAAAAATTACTATTAATAACAAAATTTTAAAATTTGTATATATAAATAGGCCTTTTTTAAAATTTAAAATCAATTTTAAAAAGATATCCAAAATATAAATAAAAGAAGTGAAAGAAAAATAAAATATATGAATATCAATTTACTTCATTGTAAATGTGTTTGTAATTTAGTTAAATTATAAAGACGGAGGGAGTATATTATAAAACATAAGAATTTTTTAAATATCTATAGTGATTATAACTTAAAAAATACAAATGAATGGATTGATTTTGAATTGAAGGGCAAAACAAATAGATTTAAAATAAGAAAATCATCTCATTAAAAAACTGAGTAAAAAAAAAAAAAATTCACGGAATTGATGAGCATTTGAACCGAGCTGTGTATGATTCTTTGTCTGGGATGCTTAAAATCTAATTTATAATAATAACATAGGTTAGTTTTAATTATTATAAATGTAATGTTATAAAAATCTGCACTTTGACTAAAACCATATTTAGCTCCAAAGATATCATACATAAAATTTAGTTTTAGTTTCTTATTTCTGCTAAGTTCAGCAATACAACACAACACATTCATGGAAGTTGCTCCCATTAGGTACCTCTACAAAATTCAACAACCCCCTCCCCACCCTTCCCTTCTTCTACAAGTACACAAAATTTATCGACGTACCCGAATCAGGCATCGGAAGCCTCTTCCAATTGCTCGAGAAAGCCTTTCCTTGTCGTAGCATGAAGGATCGAAGATTCAAAACGAACAATGGTGTTACTAGATGCAGCCTCAAACTTTGTCCACAGCTCCCTCTTCAAAGTGTTCTCTCCCGGATGTTTTCCCACTCGGAAGTTGCTCGCCACCTCCTTTATCATAGGCGTGCTTTCGACTAAATCAAATGCTGGAAAGAAATAAACAAGAATCTGGAGTTAGAGATCATGTTTTAATTGGTAGTGATCATCAAAACTTTTTAATGTGATGGAGATTGAAGTTACCAGGTTGATTCTTCGAGGATTTCTCGTCAGGAGGCTCCATTATGACACAGGTTTTTGGAGGAGAGACAATCCAGTTTGGCGAATTTTCTGCCACTTTTTTGCTTCCCATAGTGTTTGTGTTTATCCCGAACAGCTCGGGGTACTTTACTTTCAGATCATCCGAAGATTGATTGCCACCTGATGAGGATTCAGAGTCGAAGGAATCTGAGTTTCGGACAGCAGCAGGATAAGGTGTGGATTTGTGATCTTCTGAATGCTTCTTAGAGTACTTGGGTAGAGGATAAGGTGTGGATTTCTGATCTCCTGGATGCTTCTTAGAGAACATGGATGCCGGCTCGAGCAATATGCATGACTTTGGAGGCGACATTTTCAAGCATGGGGTCATGACGATCATAGAGCAATCCATTTTTGAAGAGGTCGGTGGAGAAGTGGAAATGTCTTCAAGAGTTTCAACAGCTTTATTGGCGGATGTCTTTGCCAATGCACTCTCGGGAAGATCAGTTCCCATGTTTCCCACTGAATCGAAAAGGGACACCGGATGGACGGCTTCTTCCATTCCAGGAATAGATGATGCCTGAAGTTTGGAGGAAAACTTCTTCGTCTTTGTCATTGTCTGAGGCAATGGTGTGAGTAGAAACAACTGCCGGCCGCCTTCGGTTTTCCATTCTGCGCGCCAGGAAACCAGCGGTGATGGAGAAATGAGTGACTCCCTCTGGCTCTCTTCAGGGCTTTCAATGATAGCCTCTGTGCTTTCTTTTGGTTTTCGAGTAGCAGTTTTGTCAGCTGACTGTTTGGACGTATTCTCATCAGAGCCGCTGGTAATGACATTTTGAAATTTGGGAATCCATGGCTGCAGAGTCACAGACATATGAGGCTCTTGAAATATAGGAAATAATTAGAAATCCAATACACAACTAAAATGAATGAAAAAAGGGATCAACCTTCAATGAAGTTCGCATATCAGACAACAAATCTGCAAACTTTTTTATTTCCTTCCTCCCCTTGTCACCTGTCAGCTGGAGTGCTTGCACGACTAGCTCATCAATCTGCCACAACCAATTAGCTGAAGGTGGTAAGTTCTCTTCATTATCTTCAATTAGTTAGCCATAAAGATTTCAAGTGGATGGATCATTTATATATTATACACGTTCTTCTCAATTTCCATATATAGTTCGTGTTTTCCAAAACATTCACGTCAGAAAATCCCTTTTTATCTACAGATTACCTACTCAACCATACATCTGAAACTAATTCTCATTTAGAAAATATTAATGTTTACTACTTGAAAGAGAAGTGCCACAGAAAACTGTTGTAATGCGATAACTCTAAGCCTTATAAACCTCATACAAATTATCGTTGTGTCAACATTAGATCTACACCTCTTATTGGGCATTTAGAACCATAAAAACCCAAAGTACTCCATAGTCAACATCCTTAGCCTAGTACAAGATCCAATCTCCTACAAGCATCAACATCTACATAGTTTACCTTTACACTACTTTAATGTAGGCCTGGTTGAAAATTGAAAGAACAACATCACTGTGAGCACGGACTGCAACAAATATGAGGTGTTGGAAATGAGTTTCCTACCAATGAAGATGGCATTGTGACAATGCTATCTCAAAGGGAATTGATGAGATCCACCTCATTATCCAATACTGTCTAAGTGGGATTCAAGTTCAATCGCTTAAAATTAGATTCAAACATCACTTTATGAAAGGGGAAGTCCCACGTTGGCAGACTGCAGAACCAATCTTAGCTATTTCCTGCTACTGTTTGCTTTGGAAAATGATTAATCTAAGCTACTTGTAAGTTCTTGACACTGTAATCCATATTCCTTCATAGAATTAATGTAACATATTCCACCCTTTCTGATTAAACATGGGATACCCCCCTTTGCATCCTTTCTAAATTCTAAATCCTCAATTTAATTCAGTTCTGACGCCATTACTCAGGGGAACCCTAATAATATGAAGCTAACTATTCTTTCCAGAACTTGAAGATTGCCTCAACAAATTCAAAACTCAAAATTCAACACCTAGGTCAATATCACCGCCCGATTCACAAAACCAAAAATTCCAAAGACCAAAGAAAACTGCCAAAACAATCGTAAACTCCAATAATAAAAAGTAATTTCCACTGTGAACATTTCATTACCTGCCTCAGAAGAGAAGATATGTCCGAGTGTACAAGGAGGAGGCAATCTAGCGAATTGCCGCCTGTTTTGCCCCCGTCTTCTTCCGGAATGTTTTTCTTGGAATTATTCGGAGGCTTGACGGAAACCTTAGCATTAGAAACATCTCGGAGCGGCTTCCTTGAAGATTTTGATCGCATTTTCGACTTCGTTGCGTCGATCTTCGTCGGCATCGGCTTCACCTCTCTGCGCAATTTCGTCTGTGAGGCGGTGGTTCTAACGGTAACTAAGCCTGCTATCTCTCCTCTCTCTATTTGAATTCCTCCAACGTGTCATCCCATTTTGATAATTTGTCATTAGGTCCTTCTAGTTTGGATAAATTTCATATTAGGCCTCAATTATAATGACACTGAAATGCTTCAGCAAAACGACAAACGCTTTTATCGTTTTGTCGCAATTCGCCAAGACCTTTCTTATTACTTCCATCGATCTTTGTACTAACCGTCAATGGCGATGGGCTGTTGAATCTGACCGCTTTCCCGTCCAAATTAGCAGAGAACCTCGCAGCATATACCAGAAGCAAATATGCAAGACAAGGTGTTAAACTCGCGGGATGAACACCTTCGCATGGTCGCATCTGTGGAATCGATCGCCGCCGCCATCACGCCGAATTCGCTGTGAAGTTATGGACAGAGAGAGTCCTTTTTCTTCGAGCACAGAGAAGAAGATGCCTTCGAATCTTAGCATATTCGCTGAATCGAAGATTCCGCAACAGAAAATCTGTGGGGGAGTTGTCTTCCCCTCCGTGCTATCTCCGGCATCGGTGCAGGACTACGAACCGTCGGTTTTACTGGCGGCCGTGAGAGATGGGAAGCCTCGGCTGGACACTCTGCTTCACACTCACGGCGCAATTCTGTTCCGTGGGTACAATTCGTCTCCCACTGCTTCGTACTTCAACGACGTCGTCGAAGCGTTTGGGTACGAGGAGCTTCCGTACGTCGGCGGCGCTGCTCCGAGGACCAACGTTGTCGGTCGTGTTTTTACTGCGAACGAATCGCCGCCGGATCAGAAAATACCTTTTCATCATGAAATGGCTCAGGTATCGTTCCTCTCTTTAGGGTTCTTATTGCTAGGGTTTTTTTTTTTTTTTCAATTAATTGTTATTTATCAAAATTGGCAATGGCAATGGCAATCCACCCTGAATTGCATGATCATAGAGGCTTTCCGTCCTAATTTGTTTTTGTGAAATGTTCAACCTATGATTTTGATGATTCTACTTGTTCCGGAGAGTACGCCAAATTGTGCACAATTGAGTTCAATATATTTGAGCTTGGTGATTCTACTTGTTCCTGATGATTGATCATGTTCTAAATTTGTCAAATATCTTGAAAACGATAAAAGAAATCTCTTGAACATAAGATTTCTAGATTGAAAGGTTGATGTTTTTTCCAGCTTGGTCATCTATCGCAACATAAATGGATTTGCATAACTTGTCATGCTTTATATAGTGATGCTTTGGTGGAAGCTGTGCTGTCTTTTTCGACTAATCTTTGTGGTTTTTTGAATTTGTTCTTCTTGTCCATTACACACGTGCGATACGGCTGACTGTGCTTCTGCCAGGTTCCCGAGTACCCTTTGAAGTTGTTCTTCTTTTGTGAAGTTGAACCCGTAGAAGGAGGAGAAACCCCTATTGTTCTCAGTCATGTTGTGTATGAGAGAATGAAAGTGAAACACCCCGAGTTTGTTGAAAAACTAGAGAAGCATGGAGTTATATATGTACGAGTCTTGGGAGAAGACGACGATCCCTCTTCCCCAATTGGTCGAGGCTGGAAATCAACATTCTTGACAAATGACAAGAGCGTGGCTGAAGAAAGGTTTGTACCCTGCAAATCTTCCCTTCTCTTTAAGGGTGTGTTTGTATTTGAATGCTTTCGGAATAATACAAATTTGAAATCCTTTGAACAAGAAATAAGCTTTATATGTGACATATAAATGGAACGTATATGTAATGTTATACTTATATCGCCGTTACTCATTCAAAATAGTTTTCAAGGTTAGAATAGAATCGTTTGTAGTGTAGAAAATGTTATGGTGCTGAATTTGAAAAATCAGTATTGTGTAAAATACAGAAACAACACATACATTTATTACATACAGTAAGTGTTGTTTGTTCATAATTCTAGAGATCCATCACTGTATGTGTTGTGTAAGATATCATGTACTATTTGAACAGAGCTGCTAAGCTAAACATGAAGCTGGAGTGGACGGAAGACGGCGTGAAGACGATTATGGGGCCGATCCCGGCCATAAAATACGACGAGACAAGGCAGCGCAAGATCTGGTTCAACAGCATGGTGGCTGCCTACACCGGGTGGGAAGACAAACGCAACGACCCCAAAAAGGCAGTCATGTTCGGGGACGGGACTCCATTGCCGGAGCAGCTCGTGCTAGATTGCCTGAAAATCCTGGAAGAGGAAAGTGTTGCCATCCCATGGGAGAAGGGCGATGTGATACTGATCGACAACTTAGCGGTTCTCCATGCCCGGAGACCATTCACCCCGCCACGCCGGATTTTAGCTTCACTCTGTAAGTAAAAGTCTTGCCTTTTCTACAGTTGTATTTGTATGTATGTACGATCCTTTGTTAGGAACACTTTTTGAAGGGGGCAAGGGCAAATCTTTTGTAGTATTTGATATTTGACATGCAATAAAACACGGGCTCGGGCTGGTGTGTTACTATTTTTTAATCTTAATTTATAATTATTTTTATTATATGAGAATTATTTTTATTAAATATTTTTTAATTATTTATTAGTTATATTTAACTAAATTTTTGTATTTAAGATAATATAGACAGTTTGTCCGGGATGGAAGAAGTAATGTTTTAAAATTATCTGACTAAATTTGGTTTAAAAGATACTCTCATTATTTCTCAATCTACTTAATAAGTTTACATTTATTTATGTTATTGTATTTAATATTAAAAATATGGGAAAAAATCAATTTTGGTCCAAATATAATCAAAATTAATCAATTTTGGTCACTATATAAAAAATTCATCAATTTTGGTCTCAATTTAACCAAAATTTATCAATTTTGGTCCCAATATAAAAAACTCATCAATTTTGGTCCTAATATAAATAATTTCAATCAATTTTGGTCCAATTATAAACAATTTTTATCAATTTTAGTCCCACCGTTAAAAAACTAACAGAAATTGCTGACGTGAAATTACGGAAGTGACGTGGCAGTTGACCTGAAAAGTACACGGTCATGTACAATTATATACGGCCATGTTGTTACATGGCTATGTATATTTCAGTGTATAATTATACATGGCCATGTTGTTACAGGGCCATGTATATTTCAGTGTATAATTATACATAGCCATGTTGCTACACGGCCATGTACAATTATACACGGCCATGTTGTTACATGACCATGTATATTTCAGTGTATAATTATACATGGTCATGTTGTTACACGACCATGTATAATTCTACGCGGCTGTGTATCTCTCTGTTTCGGTCTAAAATTTTAATTTTTTGTTATATTTTTAAATTTTTTTTTGAATTTAGAATAATTGATACAGTTAAAATGAAAAAACAAAAATAATAATCATAATATAATTAAAATATATCAATTTTAGTTCAAATAGTATAATTTCTCTTACAAACATCCAATTAATGTATTGAAATTTTTGCTAAATGGTATAATTTCTCTTACAAACATCCAATTAATGTATTGAAATTTTTGCTAAATAGTATAATTTTACACAAAATCTTCCAAAAGAATATACTCGATAAATACTTATATTTGAACTAAAATTGATATATTTTAATTATATTATTATTATTATTATTATTATTATTATTATTATTATTTTCCGTTTTAACTATATCAACTATTCTAAATTCAAAAAAAAAAATTAAAATATAACAAAATTAAAATTTTAGACCTAAACAGAAAGATACACGGCCGTGTAGAATTTTATAAATGACCGTGTAACAACATGGCTATGTGTAATTATACACTGAAATATACATGGTCATGTAATAACATGGCCGTGTATAATTGTACATGGCCGTGTAACAACATGGCCATGTATAATTATACACTGAAGTATATATGGCTCTGTAACAACATGACCGTGTATAATTGTACATGGCCGTGTACTTTCTAGGTCAACTGCAACGTCACTTCCGTCATGTCCACGTCGGCAATTTTCGTTATTTTTTTAATGGTGGGACCAAAATTGATAAAAATTGTTTATAATGGGACCAAAATTGATTGAAATTGTTTATATTGGAACCAAAATTGATGAGTTTTTCATATTGGGACCAAAATTGATGAATTTTTTTATATTTGACCAAAATTGATTTTTTTCCTAAAAATATTTTTATATTTATATAATTTTCTATCCATATTTATATAATTTTTTATCCAAATTTATTATATTTGTATTATACTAGTAGACATATTTTTACTGTTTTATCTTAATTTGTACTATATTTGTAAATTGACAGAGGAAGTAATAAAGTTTACTGGATATAGTTTGTTGGATTGTGATTTGAAATTAATTTGAAATATAGTATTTTTTTTAAATAATATTTTGATTGATATTTTGTAAAAATAAAAAATAGAATATTTTTATTGAAAACAGTGTGGATTAATAGTATTTATTTTAGTTTAAAAGCTCAAAAAAAACAACTCCGGATTTACTATGAATTTGTGTTTTGATTTAAATAATTTTTTACACAAAAGTACATTTTTTATTGCATGTGATAATGTTTATTTGTATTTGAAATACACAAAATAATAAAAATAAAATCGATCGATGCGATAAAATACCATTAATTACATTTCGAATAGAGAAATTGAAATTGAAATTAAAATTATTAATTATTAATTTAAAATTGAATTTGGTCAGAATTTTTTTTAAATTATATATATATAAGAAAAAAACTGAATTGAAATAGTAGAGTCCAAAAACATCAAGAATTGAAGAAATAAAATAAGCTTATAGAAGTGACAATTTTTTTATAAAATAAGCTTATAGAAGTGTCTGAACAGGCCAATCTATTAATTATAAATAATAATAATAATAATAATAATAATTGTGTTTTGGTTTGTATATTTGAATGAATGCGATTTTTTTATGTCAGTTAAAAAAAAATACGTCAGTAATTTCTTTTAAAAACTATCAAACTAAATAAATTTATTCACTCATGAAATATCACAATAAATGTTAATCTTTTAATTATTTTCATTTTTTTTTAACTTAAAAGATTTCTATATAGACGGGCCTTTATATTTGAAGATAGCGATAGCAATGTTATTTTATGAAAAAATAAATATTTAATATAATTTAAAAGAAAATAAAATAAAAGCCCAGTAAACAAATGGGCCTGCATTTAGTTGAGTCATGGGCTTGTAGTTGATGGGCAGCTGAAATTACTGTTTGGACCCTCACTGCAAACTCTATCTAAACTTTATACGTATAAATAAAAGCCCCATAATTTTATTTTTTCATTTTTAAAAAGAAAAAGATAAAACCTGCCATTTATCGAAAATAATGGAATACTTACACATGCAATAGAAATAAAAAAATAAAAATAAAAGGGGACAAGCAGTTATGTGACTGATTTGACAGTTTGGACATAAATTCAACATGGTATTTATTTATTTTATTTAAATTTTCAAAATTTAATCCACTCTGTCACGTCACTTGCATCCCACATTACTCTGTCCTACTAATTTGCTGTCACACGACATAACTATTCTTATAATTATAATTAATTAATAATTATTGTGTCTAATTTCTAATTAATTAACTCTTTCGTTTTTTTATTACACTTTAAAATTTGGGAAATCCGAAAACTACGCTTAACAACTCTCTCTGCCCTCCATAATTAACTCCAAAGTTTTCATGTGAGCCTTATCGATCGTGACCGTTCGTTGCACGGGCTCCACCAGATGAACGGTGTGGATTCGTCCGAGGAGCCCAGGTCCTAGGAGCGCGAAGAATTAGGCGTCTAACTCAGTTAACCAATGTGTCCAAACCTTTGAACATGTCCGCACAGAGGTTGTCTAAATGATTATTTCGATGTAGGGTGTGTTTGTTTTGATTATTATCAAAAACATAATTAGGGTATGTTTGTTTTGAAAAAAAAATTCATGTTTTTCAAAATAGTTAATATATCACACATATTCATTATTTTAATATTATTTATATAATTTTTTATACTTAACATAAAAATTATATTTTCAAAATATTTTACCGAATAAACACACTTGTAGTTTTATTTTATTACTAAGATAAAAGATACGGAAAAATATATTATTATTATTATTAGGTAATAATATACTCTCTTCATTCCAATACAATAGTCATGTTTACTATTTTTTTCCGCCCCGAGATAATAGTCTCATTTTCATAAATAATAATATCACAATAAAACTACTCTTACTTCTTCATTAATATTACACAATAAAAGTTTTTTATCTGTATTTTTTACCCACTGCTAATATAATATCAATATTCCTAAAATCTCGTTTCAAATACAATTCAGACTATAGTTCTAGGACGAGGGAGTATAATGTTTATGTTTTTTATTTTTTTACTCTCTCCGTCTCATAAGAAGGAACAAATTTTCATTTTTGTAGAGAATGTATTATTTCCTAATTTAATAATTGTATTACCTACTTAACATAATTAATACTGTTACAGCTTTCAATATATTATACAAAACATATTTTTGTCATTTTTACTATAAACCAATATAATACTAATATTAAAAAATATACGTATAAAAAACAAATATTATCTATTTTATGGTCGGAGACAATTTTTTTTTTTTATTAATTTTTATAATGACGTGAGACTCGAAACAAATGTTGTGTTATACGTACAATATGTCACTTCAATTTAATTTCCTTATATAGTTAGAATCAAATACAAATTGTCTTTATATATTATTTTCATTTATTCAATTCCTTAAATTATAATTATACTCACTTAGGAATGCATTTTAGTATTCATTAATATACTCATGTTTGAAATAAATACGATGTATGTGTTCGTTTTATATATATAATTTCCAATCAAATGTATCATTATATTTTTATAAAATAGTATCAAATTAAAATATTATTTGAAATAAAACTAAAATATGTACAAAAAAATCACATCCAATTTGATCGTGGTCAAATAAAATAAATTTAATTGCACTGTACAATATACAATGTAACAATACACAACTATTTTTCAAGTCTCTTTTTAAAATTACATAGAAATATGTTTTATATATGTATGGCCATTTATATTTTTATTTAATCACATGCATCAAATTTGAATAGAATTTAGATGGTAAAGAAGAAAGAAAAAAAAAAGGGGTTGATTACATTCTTAAAAGAGATTTTTTTAAAGGAAAAAAAAAAAAACCATTCTTACTTATTATGTGAAAAATGAGAAAATAAATAAATAAAAAATCCACCAAGTCAATTTATTCAAGAAGTATTCTTTCCAATATATTTAAATAAATAAATGTTTTAATATAAAGATTGTTGTTACTATTTAAAAACGAGAGGAATGTGCAAAGTCAGCTTTGGAATCAAGATCAACATTAAAAAAGAAACCCTTCAATTTTCTTTGAGATTTACTTTATTCACTTTTTATTAAAAAATATATATATATTAACTTTCGTTTTAATATTCTTTGTACTATACAATCTATTCTAAGATTATATATATATATTTTTTAAAAGTAATTTTTAGCGACCTAAATTCTATACAAAAAATAACAAATAATTATTTAATTTGAAATTTTTTTTAAAAAAAATAATTAAAATTTTATTAAATATCCACAAAAGAATAACCTATATATATTTTCAAAAAAAAGAGAAAAATTCAGATCGAAAACAATTTTAACGACAAGTAAAAAAAAAAAAAAAAAAAAAAACACACCATAAGCCAAATGCAGTTTAATTTGTGGTGAAATTAAGGCAAAAAAAACATCCTCAAATGATCAGTACAAGAATAATATTGCAATAATCTAAGAATAATCTTTTTATCTGTCAATCAAAACCCTAATAACCAGAACACCCTACCCATGCATACCTTTCTCCTCCACTCATTATTCGTCTTTAGACCCCAAAAAAATAAAATAAAATAAAGAATCTTGAAAAGAATCAAAGAAGGAAATAAATTATATGGATGGAAATGGCGTCATCACCTGCAGATAAATACCTAGTATACTATATTTCCATCCTCAGTACACGTTGCTCCAGAAAGTTGTCCAGACACTTTCTCCGAATTAGGGTTTTTTAATTTCTAGGGTTTTCTGATTGGCTCAACCTATATGGATATAATCTTGGGACCTTTTTTCGAATTTGAAAAAGGTGTGTTAGGGAAACTTTTGAAGGGGTTTTATTTTATTTTAATTTAATTTAATTTATTTAAGTTGTTGATGATTGTTTGACTAAGAAAAATGAATCATTATATTATTTGTTTCTTGAATAGTAGTAATGTATATAGGTCACTGTTTTGAATTCTTTTGATGATGATGTAAGACCCTTTTTCTAATTCAAACTTTTTTCCACTGATATTCTTGTCTGGGATTTCTTGTTTTGTTCTGGGATGATTAAAGTTTGGATTTTTATTTATATATGTGAGATGTATTTTTTGAATCCCTGTTTTTATTTTTTTTTTAAATTATTTTTTCCTTCTGTGATGCCTTTTTGTCTTGTAATACAGTTTCTCACGAGGATGTGTCAGATTGAGCAATGTTTTCAAAACTTAAAAGCAGGAAAGGAAATTTAATAATGGTTTGTATGAATCTGGACCGTCAGATGTGAGGTGTCAATTATCGACGGTGGATGCCGGTTCGGGAGTCGAGGTCCCGGGTGTGCTGGCGCGGGGAGATGAAGCGTTGAGTATTTTATATAGTTCAATGGCGTTTGTGAAATCGGTCTGTTTTTTTAGCCGTTTATCTTCTCTCTCGTTTTGTGTCATTCTCGCCGTAATCCGCCATTTTTTTGTGGTCGATTGTGCAATTGAAGAATCGAATCTGTGCTGTGTGAAGATTTAATTTAAAGAATGGGAAAAGCTACGCGGTGGTTGAGGGGAGTTTTAGGGTTGAAGAAGGAGAAGGAAAATGGGGAGAATGGGGAGAAGAGGGAGAAGAAAAAGTGGATTTTCGCCAAGTCGGGGAAGGGTTCCGGCGGTCTGGACCAAGCTCCGGCGAGCATCCCGGTGGACTCGGCGTGGCTGAGATCTTACATTGCCGATACCGAGAAGGAGCAGAATAAGCACGCGATTGCGGTGGCTGCAGCCACCGCCGCCGCCGCCGATGCCGCCATGGCCGCCGCCCAGGCGGCGGTGGCGGTTGTGAGGCTGACGAGTCAGGGGAAAGGCGGTTTGTTCGCCGGCGATAGGGAGAAATCGGCCGCCGCGAAAATTCAGACTGTGTTCAGAGGCTATTTGGTATACTCTTTGTTTCTTTTCTTTTCATTTCCATTTATTTTCAATAGGATTTCTGCGTTCTTCGTGAATTTGATTTAGATTTTTGTTTTATTTCCATTATTCTGAATTGAAAATTCTTGAATTGATGTTTTTTGATACCCCAGAAATCGAATCAATTGTTACCGTAGAAACTATACAAATACACATTAATCATTACACCACCAAGTGTTCGACGAAATGCCTCAACGAAATATATTCATACATATACCTCGTGATAGTTGTTTTTTACATACTGACATTCCTAATAATTACACTTACTATGTTCTGTTCTTGGTCATCATTATTGAAAGTTTGAAATTTGAAGTTGACGTAACAACTTGACAACCTAAAATTATTGTAATTACCATTCTAAAAACTAGCGGAAAGATTGCATATTTTTTATTTTAAAATCACAAATTACGAAAATATCGAAGATTAAATTTAAATTTTGGACAGGCCAGGAAAGCGCTAAGAGCTCTGAAAGGGCTGGTGAAGCTTCAAGCCCTTGTTCGAGGCTACCTTGTCCGAAAACGAGCAGCTGCAACTTTACACAGTATGCAGGCTTTGATTCACGCCCAGGCCGCGGTTCGATCGCATAGGGCGCGACGATCGATCAACAGCGAGTACAGATACCAGCCGGAAATGCGAGCTAGGAAGTCGACTGTAAGAACGAGTTCCGGGCTGTTATTTAATTCCGTCGCTAATGTTCGTTCCGAATTTGATTGGTAATTTTTGAATTTTGTCTCGCAGGAGAAGTTCGACGAATTTCACAGCAAGAGGCTATCGGCATCATACGATCCGTCGCTCAACGTCTTCGACGACAGCCCCAAAATTGTCGAGATCGACACGTGCCGTCCGCGATCGAGGTCACGGAGAATCAGCACTTGCCTGTCGGAATATGGGACCGACGATCAGTACTACCACATGTCGTCGTCGTCGCCGCTTCCGTACCCAGTCCCGTCTCGTCTTTCGATCCCCGATTCCCGTAACCTCCAGGACTTCGACTGGGGGTTTGTCGCCGAAGATTACAAGTTTGCCACCGCACAAAACACGCCCCGGTTCGGGACCTCGGGTCGCGGGACCCACGCTCCTGGCACGCCGGCGAAGAGCGTCTGCGGCGATAGCTTCTACCGGCCGTACTCGAATTTCCCGAGCTATATGGCGAATACACAATCCTCTCGGGCTAAGCTCCGATCCCGCAGCGCCCCGAAGCAGAGGCCCGTTATTGAATCAGGCGCGAACACGAAGAAACGGTTGTCGTTGAACGAAATAATGGCGTCCCGGAGTAGCTTCAGCGGTGTGAGGATGGAGAGGCCGACGTTGTGCCCTCGACAAGTCGAGGAAAGCTTCGAGGAAGGTTTTGAGTTTTAGGGCGCGGCGATCGCATTAGATTCTACGGGTTTATCGATAGGGTTGGTTCTGGGTTGGTTCTGGGTTTTGTTCATAGAGAAGATATTTAAGGTTTGAGTTATGTCGATTTCGTCGTCTTGACAGCTGAGAATGAGAATAGAACAGGTTGAGTTGATGATCTTGTGTAAATTTCTTTCACAAATTTATGTCTGATGAATCATATGATATGAAATGAGATGAAATCTCTTTTTCTTTATTTTCTTTGTAAGATTTTACCTATATTTTATTATTTTTATTTTATTTTATTTTAATTTTTTCAAAAATATCAAATCAAATAATTAATTTTTATTTATTTTATCACATTAAAATTTAATTTTATATTTAAAATATCACGTCAATACATCTTTATATCACATAAAATCGTCACATTGTTTTTTAAGATTTTGATTTGAATCTTTGAAATTGAAATAATTATGTATTTATATATAATTGGAAAGGAAAAGAAACCAAAAGACCATTTGCAATTTTTTCAATGATTTCAAAAATTTCTATATATATATATGAATATGAAATGATTTTGAGTTTATAAATTATTGCTAGCCGTATTAGTTATACACACTATTTATTTATTCTACAACTTTTTGAAATGGCCCATAACGTTTTTTCCCGCTCTCAATAATTTATTATTTTATTCTGTTATTTAAATACCTCTTATATATATATATATATATGATGTATTTATTTTATTGAAATAGCAGTATGAATGATGAAACTACCATGTGGCTTCCTCACACTATAATTATTTTATTTTATTTCTTTGAGAGAAGATGCACAGTCAGTGAGTGGGGCACAATTTTCAAATCATGGTTTTTTTTTTTAAAATAAAAAATATTATTAATTTTCTTTTATTATTATTATTATTATTATTATTATGTTAAAAAAAAAGAGCACCCAATTTTAATTAATGAATTAATTGATCGCATCCATGGATCCACAAATGCACAGAATATTCTTCTGATTTTGGTACAGCTGCAGCAGTGTTTATTTCGTAAATCTATTTCCAACTGTTGTATTAAAAATGTAACCTAATTTGTTGACAATACCATAAATTCAAATTTCAATATATATATATATATATATTAGGGGTTGATATTTGAATCTAGTTTAAAATTCATCTGATTGAAAATTATTTGAAGGTTGTATTAAAATAATATTAATATATATTCCCTCCGTTCCAAAAGAATTGTGTTATTTTTCTATTTTTGTTCGTTCCAAAACAATTATTCTGTTTGTTTCTTTATTTAGTAATCGTGGTCCCCACTTTATAACAAAATTATTCATATTTTTTCAAACTACCCCTAATTATTACTCTAACCTACTTTTTAAAATCCTTCCAAAAATAAGGATATTTTAGTCTTTTACTTTCTATTTATACCCACTTTCAATTAAATACTATTATTTCTTGATTTCTGTTCCAACTCTCAATCAGACACTTCTTCAATGGAGTATTATTTAAAAGGTTTTTCATTACTGTTGGAGAAAAATATTATTTCCCTTGTCAATAATGTTACAAACAGGATACATTCAAATATAAAAATAAAAATAAATCCAAACAGTAGTTTAATGGAATAAACTGTACACTTTTAATTGTTACTTAATTTTTTTTTTACCAAAAAAGGATCCAAACAACAATGCATGGAAAAAAGTTTTGAATATTCTCTTCACTTTTTATTAGCTATGGTAATTTTTTTTTTTATTTTGGTAGAACTAAGTATATGTCTATAATGCCTATCTTTCTCAAAACAATTATTTCCCCCTTTTTGATGTTTAACTTTTTATGTAAAAATATCTTCTTAAAAAGTTCAATGTTACTGTTTTTTCTCCCTTTGAGAATATAAAGTAAGATGATTTCCAAGAAGATTTTGTTCACTTTTTCAAAAGATTAAATCAAATACTCCCTCCGTCTCATAACTAAGTATCAATTTATTTTTTACACGGAGTTTTAGAAATATTAGTATTATATTGAAATGTAGTAGGAATAAAATAGAAATGACTAAAATAACTTTACTAATATTACGTGATATAAAAGGTAATGGATATTTGTGTAATATATTGTAAGTTGTAAGAGTATTTGTAATGTTAGGAAGATAGTACAATTAAAAAAAAAAAGAAATGGATACTTACAAATAAGATGAACTAAAATAAAAAAAAAATGGATACTTTGTCATGGAACGGAGTATTTTAATTATTTTTACAAAATATTATTGGTATTTAATCAAACATTAAAATCAATTACCGGAATTTCGAATATGTTCTTTTTGTGAAAAAAAAAATATATATATTTCTCCAAAACCAATACATCTATTTTATGATTTTAGATTATCTACAATTAATATATTCATTCACTAATTGAACACTGTTCAATTCATCTAAAATTGCTAATATAGGAAGTAATATCAATTTTATAATTATATTGATTGTATTATAAAGATATTTTAGTTAATACATTTCTTATATTCTTTTACAATTTGCTAGCCATCAAGGTTTACTATAAAAATACACATACATTGAATTTGTGTATATTAAATAATTATAGAGATTGGGAGCCTAATTATGTTGAGGTGTGTTCTTTTAACTTGATTCAATATTTTTTAATATATATATACATAGATTAATATATCATACATACTTATTATTTTTATATTATTTACACAATTCTTTATATTTCATATATAAAATATATTTCAAATAAATTCACTAAACAAACAAACCCTCGAGATCCCGGCCGGCTCTTAGCAGGAGCAGAATGAGCGACTGTTCAGGACTGCTCATTAATAGAGGGCCTAACTTTTAAAATATTACCGATTATTATTGTTATTAAATTTTAATTGGTAGTTTATATTTTTTTTCTTTATAATTATTCAAACAAATTTTAAAATTCTAATTTTATATATATATATATTTTTTCTCTTCTTTCTAACCGGTCTCATCTCATCTTTTCAAATTTAATAGTTGTTTACAATTATCTACATCACACCCTGTCGCACTGCGTCCAACCATTCAAACAAAACTCACTCACCTTCTCTCTTCTATCTCTTTCGCCCTCACTCGGTCCTTCTCGTTTTTCGAACAGTTATTTTTCATCTTTTTTTTTTCTCAAAATCTACCACGTACATACTATCACATTAAACTTTCTTGTCCAATCGATATCAATCAGTAATATTATTTTAAAAATATATTTTAATTATATGTTTAGAGCTTATAATTTATTTTTAGTCATGCCAAAAAAAAAATCTTTGCACTATAAAAAAAAATAGATCAAATTCTTAACACAATAATATACTGATGGGTAGTACCAGTACGTCATTTTCTAAAATAAATTAATGAAAAAATAAAAATAAAAATGGGATAGAATTAATAAAGGAGATTTGAATTGTTTTATGAGTAATGATTAGGGTTTGATTTGCTTGCATCATCTCACGTCATTTCTTGAATAGACTTTCGACATTATTTTTTATTTTTGAGGTTGTAATTTTGAGAATTGTGCAGCACCTTTGACTGCCATTATTTAATTAATTATTAATATGTCCCAATTAATTAATTTTGATAAAAAATATTTTACCAAAATAAAACATATAATAAACGTTATGCGAATCAGAACTTATGATTAATTGCATATTAATTCTACTTGTATTTCCAAATTGCAACTCACATTTATTTTATTGCATTTATAAAAGTTGTTATTTAAGCCCATTGTTTTGTTTCTGAAATATTTTTCAACTTTTGTTAAGTAGATCTTGAATTTATTTTATATGTTGAGTCCGAAATTTCATCTTTAATATAATAAAATAAATATTTATTATTCTACTGCTCTCTATGGAATTTTGTCAAAGTCGAATGTGCTTATGATCAATTGATTTAAATTTTTATTTAAATATGATTTTGAAATGATATTTTGTTAATAAAATACTCGATTCGTCTGTCTCTAAGGGTCACGTTTACCTTTTGCGCTATTGTATTTAACATTAAAAATATCTTTATATTTGTATAAATTTTTATTCTTAATTTGTACTACATTTTGATATTATATTTAATATTCAAATATAAACACGCAGAAAATAAATTGAACTCTTAGAGCCGACCAAATAGTATTATATTTTTATGGAAATTCGTACGATGTGAATAGTATTAAATTAGATTCAAAATAGTAATAATAAAAATAATTAATTAATTAATATTATTATTGATAATTTTAATCCTAATTGAAATGTGATTCACAATAGACGATAAACTATGCAAACGATAAATACGACTTGATATATATAGCAAAACTATATAAAATTCATATAAAGTTTCATAAAATTAGGCCAAATTTTCATATTTTCAATACTCCGTCCCACTCTTCAAGATTTCCTAAACACTGCACCTAAATCTTTGACCATCCTTATTTAAAAATGTTTGGTCCGCCGAACACTCAAATTATTAATAAATTTCAGAATTTTAATTTCTAAATTTTTTAAAAAAATTATAAATATAATGATTATTTTTTTATATTTAGTTTTAATCAACAATTAAAATATACTCAATATATGATTTTGTGGTGTATAAAACTTGGGCACACAAATATCAATTTGTTGGTATTCTCAGTTAGTCTTTTAAAATTAATTTTGTCATTGTAATTTTGATTATGCAATTAACTTTAAAATTATATCAATTATATAATTGCAACCATAATCGTAACATATTGTTTAAGACTCTAAATCACGTGACTTCTAACAACATTTGAATTTGAAAAGCTATCACTAAAGTAAATAATTAAAACCAAACATAAACCCTAATTAAGTGGCATGTCTCTCCCAATTCAAACATTGATCCCCAATTATAATTTCACACACACAGCTTATATATATATATATATTTATATATGTCTCTTCCTCCAAGAATAACATGCATAGGATACATATATATATATATTGTGTGATAGAAAACATATACTCCCTCCGTCCTAAAACTATAGTCTGAGTTACGTTTGACACGTGATTTAAAGAATATTGATATTATATTGGTAGTACGTAAAAAAATACGAGTAAAAGACTTTTTTGCCTTTGTGAGTATATTAATGTAAAAAGTAGTGACAATTGTATAATGAGACTATTGTTTTAATACGGACAAAAATGGTAAATCGGACTATTAACTATTGTACTGGGACAGAGGGAGTGTATATATATATATATTTGTTTTAATATAGTGGATGCCCTAATGCAATCGTCATCTTATCCCTAATTCAATGCAGAACCTAATTAAAGTATAATATCCAACAGAAAACCCTAATTTCGAGGATATCAGAAGATTAATTAAGTAGTATTGTTGTATTAAAAAAAGCACTGCCCAAAGATCTAATTAGGGGATTTGGTCAGTATGTGACAAATGGATTGAAATTAATATTAAGTAATTAGGGTTTTAGTTAGTGCAAATCGAGGAGATTAATGTAAGATTGTTTATAGTCAGTCTCCCCCCCATTGATTTTTGAATTTTGAAAATTAAGGGGACTTAATTAGTTGATCATATCGATGGATTGATATATATATATATATGTCCTGAATTCCGCTCTGCGGAATATGTTCGTTGGAGCTTAAATGAGATGCTGAATTATTTTATAAAAGATTTTATTGAGAGAACAGCATATAAAATTTGTAGATATAATGAATCATATAATATTGTAAATAGATTATATATATATATATGTGTGTGTGTGTGTGTTGACCTTTATAAAAAGTGTGCCAGGAACCTATGAATTATGCTAAACCCCAATATTCAATAGTGCTAATTAAATACTTTGGTTCAACACAATGAATTATTGTGGGATAAATTTGACAAAATTTAATTTCATAGGTGAATTTTCGATCATTGGAAAAATGTCATTTCTATGGATGTTTTTTTATAAAAAAAATAAATAAAAGTTTTATTTGAATATATACGTGTATATATTTTGTAAATAAAACCAATTAGCAATTGAAATTCTAGATGCTAATTAGCAAAAAATTCCATACATAAAATGCTTGCTTATTTTGTTTGTAATAAAATTTAATATTAATGTTATAAGGCCTTCAAAATTAAAGGAGACTTTACATATGCTTAAGTCAAGATGTGGACTTATTTATGATCAATTTGTAATTAAATAATTTCGTTATTTTACTAGATTAAATATATATTGAAATAGTGTACAATGAATATTTTGTATTGTTATATGTATATGACAAGATGATAATTAAAGCTCATAAACAAAGTCAATAAGATATAAATACTGTTGGAAATATGCGTATTATATTGGTTAAATAAATTTATTATGAACGATAATAAAATGAATTTCCCAAAACGAATTTGCATTTAAATTTTTAGGGAAAATAATTTCATAAGTACATTTTTAAAGAGCCCAGAAGTTGGGCTCAACACTAAAGCCCACTATGATTCCTTCAAAAGGCCTAACTTTAGTGTGAATTAATTAATCTATATCTATATATAATATACTATTTGATTTAAATTTGTATTATTCTCATCATAATTTTTTTTTCAATTAAAATATATTATTTCATATATATTATCAATCCTTTTTTTTAGAAATGTTTTGTTAAATATTGGCGAGGTTTGAGAATAATTAAAATTTGAATAAAAATTAATTTTGGTATTATATGGATATAAGTGTTGGATACATTTTTATTTTTATTTTTTTTTCTTTTTAAATGACAATAGATTTGAATCAACTCAAGAATCAACCTGGACCTGGACAGGACATGTTTAATTGAGACTGGATTCAATTATTTGGATATTGAATTAAATATTATATATCCTACTTGGAGCCCAATTCATATCCAATGATTGACTCGACCCGAATCCAAATTCATCTGTTGGGCCTATGAATCGACCCATTGTTATTTTTAATTGTTTTGTATATAAAATAAATTTAAATATAATATTTTAAATAAAAAATAAGTATTTAATATCATTCTTCAACTAATAATAGGTTTAAAAATTAAAATGTTACCGCATAATAAGGGCACATTTGCAATTTGTGTATTAACATGATAACATAAAATTAAAATTTACTATTTTGATGTGAAATGATAAAATATTTTACTTCTTTCGTCCCATTTTGTTTCTCCACTATTTTTATGTTGGTCCCATCTTATTTACCTTTTCCTTTTTAGGAAAAAAACTAAGGATAATATTAATCGATCCTTATAATTAACAAACAAACACTATCGAATGTTCAAAAACAAAATCCAATCCCAAAACTCTAATTAAGGCCTCAACATAAATACCATTAATATATATGTACATCACAAAATTTTCTATATTTCTAACAAGATGTATATATATATATATATACACATAGAATACATGTCCGATCGATCAATACGATGTTCGAATTAGTTGTTGTCGTTGAGAGGGCTCAATGGAGGTTTGGTGGCCATGAAAAAGGTCCCTCTTTTGGCACTGTGAAATGGTGATGCTGCAAAACAAGAACTTGGCTTTACATGAGTTTTCTTGGATATGGTGGGCTTTGGGATCAGTTTATTATTATTATTATTATTATTGTAGCTTCTTAGGACATTTCCACAGCTCTTGGAAGCTTTGAGATGATTGCAATGATGGGTTCTGTAAGAAATGGAGGTTGTCTTCTTTGCAAGATCTTCGAGGGTTTTCACTTTTGCTAGTGCTGTGAAGGATTCGGATTTGCCTGTGTAGAATTTTGAGAGCCCTCTCCTGGAATGACCATCATTTTAATTAGTAATTAGTTATCATAGGATAAACAATATACGATCAAAATATAAACTTCATACCACATTCATTCACAACACACTATCATATACAAATACCGCACAATATAAAGACAAAGACAGATAATACATGAATTATATTAATACTGTAGCTACGTTCACCTCCACATTTTTACAAAGAATTATGTCAAAAATATAAATATATTATTTTAAATTAACTATTTTCACTTTTTGTAACGAGTATTTGAAATTTTTTTATTTTTACTTTTATAAAATCTGCAATTAAAAAATTAGTGTTTGGTGAACAAAGCCTATACATCTATGGGCTTTTTTTGTTTTTTGTTTTTTTTTTCTTGTTCTTGTTTTTTTTAAAGATTCAAATCCTAATACAAATCAACAAATTCATAATTAAAGATGTTATGATATTACAAATTATATGATATGAAAATATATTTAAATTTTATAAATTGTATAATACTCTTATTCCCTGTCAGCTCTAAAGGCATGCCACTAAATATTTTTAAACGTATACTTATTGAAGTCAATATTATGATTGATTCATAAATTAAAATAAAATGTTTTTACTATAAAAATATATATCACTAACTACCCCTAAAATACAATATTCACCAAATTCTAAGTTAATGAATATCGACCAGATTTAGATAAACATATTAATTCTATCGAAACATACAAATTAAGGGTTTGTAGGTAGAACTGAGATGGAATCTGCTGCTAATTATAATTAGGTTAAATTACATACTTGATGGGGAGTTGGGACATGATCTCCGATAGATCGTACGGATTCGGATTGTACGATGATGCATCATCTGCTGTAGCACTGCTGTCTGAAGAAGACATGGATGATGATTCTTCTGTAGATTCATCTCCAATGGAAGAAGAGGAAGAAGAACAAGAACTAAAGCTCGAACTAGTTTTTTTTGCTGCTGCTGATTTCATCGTACGATGATGACGACGACGACGACGAAGACGATGATGACGAAGATCGTCTGGTAGAAAAATCGAATCTTGAACCTGCTGGAGATGATGAATATGAGCCTGAGTAATGATCCCTTCTGTCATCTTTCTTACAAGAATACCGATCAAGAATCAATCAAGAACCCCCCATATATATGAATCTGTGTATATATATATATAGAGAGAGAGATAGAGAGAGAGAGAGAGAGAGAGAGAGGATGAATATAATGTGGATATGAATGGAAGAAGAAGAAGAGGAAGATAGAGAAATGAGTGGAGAAAAAGTGGTGACACGTGGGCAAAAAAGGGTAAGGAGGAATTGAAGATTGATTGGATAAACATAGAAATGGGAAGAACAACTTTTTGGGGATAAAGAAACTAAATTAAATTGAATTGAATTTGGAAGCTAAAGGACACACATTGATTGATTTTTGGCAATTCTTTTTTTAAATAATAAATAAATTAAATGTATTCATGCCTTATCATCATATATATATATATATATATATATCTTTAAGATTCGGCATTATCTTCTTTGTCCTAGCTCATTCATTCACATTTAGCTTGCTCTTTATTATTTATTTATTTTATGTGGTTTTAAATTGAAGTGATCTTACTCACTGAGTCAGCGACTTCACTCATCACCTATCCTTGTCTTCCAACAAGATAAGTTTTACTTTTACAAATATATATATATATATATGCAATAAAATAATAATATTAATAATAATAATAATAATAATATATAATGCAAGTCCACTTCCAACTCATGATCCAAAACCCCACCAATTATATATGTATTATATATATATATGTGTGTGTGTGTTTGTGTGTCCATAACAGAAACTTTTATTGTCTGAAAATTGGCATGCAACACTTGGATTAGGGTTGGGTAACAATATGGGATTATACACATATATATATATATATATCCAGCCTTATCACAACCTTAGTTTTATTCACCTAATATTATTTTTAATTGAAACATTTAATAAAAATAATACAAAATATATTTTATAAAAGTTAAAAAAAATTCAAATATTCATTACAAAAATTATTGTACCGCACATTAAAAAATAAAAAATAAAAATAAAAATCAATTTATGTAACTCCATCAACTGAGAACTGGATCGGAATATAATACACTTATCTCATTATTTACTTTATTAGAAGTATGTTTCCAATTTTGAGTTTTTTTCTTTTTTTTCTTTTTAATAATAAAATAAATATATATTTTCTCCTATACCTCTTTTTATGCAAATTTTTACTACCATCAAAGTAATAACAAAATACCTTCATCATTAACCCTTATCAATATCATAATTTTAAAATACATTGAATAATTAGTTATATATAAGAATTATATTCAATGACACATAAAAATGTATTGAACGATACTATACACCCATGTGTTCAACTATATATAAAAAATAAATGTACGGCATACAAAAATCAAAGTTTTTTTTTTTTTTTTAAATAATAGTTCAGAAATAATAATATTTTTTATATGAATAAATGATAATTGCATAATAATAATAATAATAATCAAATGAAATCCCACACATACATACCACATTCATTAAAGTTTTGATAATTGAGGAGAAGAAATCATTATGGGACATTTAAAATAAAATAAAATAAAAATCATTTGAGAGACATTAGAAATAAAATTCAAATGGGCACATGACACATCAAAATTTCAGACTTATCACGAAGGAGAACGTCACCGTCCATGTTCCTGTCTACTTTTTGCCCTTTAACAATTATTATTCAAAATAAATAAATAATCAAAATTTAAATAGTTAGGTTTGGGCTTGTAAGATGTTTCTAAGCCCACATAATTAACTACTTACAATCTAAATATATAATTTTTATCTTTCGATTTTTTATTTTTATGTGAAAATACATTATTCTTTATTACAAAACATTGCATATATTGGGTTTGGCCCAAAACAAAAGAAAAAAGAGTGTAATATAATTGAATTTTGAAAATCAAAAGACCCAAATAAAGGGAGCTCAAATATATGAAAACATCATTTCATAATTTCAACATTTTACACAATCAAATAAAGTTCCGCTCTAAAGGTCTCATTTATTATTTGTATGTTGATCTTTGAATATTAATTATTATATGAAAATATAGTATAAATTAAAGTAAAATGACAAAAATACTTATATTAGTGCCTTATAATACTATTATAATGATATTTGTGCAAAAAATTATACAAATATAAAAATATTTTAATGTTAAGTATAATGATGCAAAAAGTAAATGAGACCCTTGGAGTCGGACGAAGAAAATAAAATTTTATTTTTTATTTAATAATTATAACTTCAAACCACTCTTCTAATTCGAAATTAACAAATGCATAACACACTTACATTCTTAATATTTAAATGCTGAAAGTTTGATCAAGTTAACATACTAACTATATACAAATATATGTTGTTTGAATTATATATATATATATATTGTGACATGATCTGCTATTTGGCAAACAAGAATCAAATCATTGAATTATATATTTATTTTTAACAATAAATTCATTTGTTAATATATTTATTAAATTTTTTTAAAATTATATTTAATGTAGGGATAGGATCGAGTCAGATGTGGCCCAAATTTGATAGGCTCAAACACAGCCCAATTCATACTTATACTGGGCCACTCGAATTCTTTAGAGCCTGTTTTTCTATGACCAAACAAAAAATTTTATATTGGACTCGGATCGAATTTTTGGCCGTAACTATTTTTGTCGGCTCTAAGCTACACACCAATCTAATTTATTATCTTCAATTTAAATAAAAACACACCTAAATAAATTATAGTCATAAATCGCATGCGTTAAATATTTATATTATTTGCGATATTTTGTTGATTTTGATTAGATTCTATCTAATTTTTGTATTTTTTATTTATTTATAATTTGCAGGAGAAAAATAATAAAATTGATATAATTAGTGGGAAAAGATAACAAAAAGTCCAAAGGCCAATTGCGGGCAAGAAGGAGAAAAATTCTTCCAAGAAGATTTCGAATTCTACCCCTACCATTTTTCTTTATAATTAGATTTGTTTTGATTTATGAAATTTATTTAGTTAGCTAAGTATTTCTGTGATTTCTGATTTATTTGATTTATAATCTTTTATTTGGTTGGGTATTGTGGCTAGACATTTCAATTGGATTAATGATTAATTACTAAACTAAATTAAACGTCCATAATTGCGTTTTAATTTGGTTCAAGTAGCAACTAGTGACAGACACCATTAGGAAATCACAGAATCAAATTTAAACAATTTCGCATATTTAAGGTATTGACAGTCATTTGCAAATATGGCAGAACAGAATGGGATACGATGAGATAGTCCTGGTAATCTGTCACCACTTTTGTCCTAAGCGACAAGTAGCGAAAGCACTCTGCTGGGCCGACACTGACATCCTTCTACCATCCGATCCATCTCTTAGAATACTTCGTCACGTCGAGGTACTGCAGAAGAAAAAACAGCAAAATCCGATCCAATTTATCGTAATCGATTAGTTAACATGTTGGTTAACCGTATTCTGAAACATTTTTGGTGTAGAAAGTCTCAAATTCCGAATCTTGACTGAGCTTTCAAAGCTTTCAAAGAATAGGCTCCTTGAGCCATTCGCTCCTCTAGCTTTTGTCTTTCAGTGTCAGTGTCGGCCCAGCAGAGTGCTTTCGCCGTTGGAAGGTTGTTGGTTCGGGGGTAGAGTACAGTACTAAAGGTCCTCGGAATCCCATGTAATTCAGTCTTATGTTCTTCATTATCTGCATATGGGCTTTTTTTCTTGGGTGCTCATTTTGTACGGGCTTTTAGTTTAATGTTTATATTCAATGGACGTGGTTATTGGCAAGAACTTATTGAATCCATCGTTTGGGCTCATAATAAATTAAAAGTTGTTCCTGCTACTCAGGGGATCTAATGATTCTCCAAATCTGGCTACATGTTTGCAGTAAATATTGATTGGATACCGGAGCACTCAGAGGGCGTGGAAGGTTTTGATCCTTTTGTTCCCGGAGGAATAACTTCTCTGTTAAATTGAATTAAGCTCTTCTAGTTCGCAAGGTGGTTAGACTAGTAAATTCTTTATGACGTCACTAGGGTTCTAGTCTAACTAGGGAAGCAGTTGACGGACGTACCTAGATTGTCAAAAAATTAAGAAAGGGTTGGTTATTAGGCGCGTGTCGGTAAATATAACTAATTTATTTAAAAACCAATATAATTAAATATTTATCGATGATCAAATTCACTGCCGAAGTAGTCAATTTCATTCCTAGACTGAAAACTTATTTTTATTGAATTTATCTTTTAGTGGTAGAGTTTTTAGTTTGTTATTTTATTTTTATTTTCTACTTTTAAAATCCTCATTTATTATATTTATAAATCAAATAATTAAAAATAAATTTTTTTTAATTTTCTTAAAAGAAGACCATATTTCATCTATACTAATTATTTTTATAGCAAAAATAAATTTATTTTATTTAAATTTTGCAGACAAATGCCTGTCAAAACACGCTGCAAAATTTTGCAGCCGCATATTAACTCACAAGATTAATGCAAAGCCAAAGCTTGAATTAACAGCCAACAAAAAGCAACTAAATACTTATTTTAAAAAACAATAAAAATATTATATATTATATTAACATATGTTATCAAATATTTGTCATATCTTTTTATTATTGTTATTTTTTTTATATATATAAATATGTTCTTACGGTTGATATTATATTAATTTGATCAAATTAGCAACATACAAAGACAAAGACAGCCATTTAATCCCAGACAGCCATTTCTTTGAATAAAAATTTCCAGTGGGGAATCCATCCCACGTTAATCCCGCCTGTTCCTTCCCGAATAAATTAATTAAAGCTAGCTGCTAAATAATTCACAGCCAAAGGAGTCGTCAATCTTCGCGAAACAGCTTCGCAGATTCACAGGAACTTCAACTCAATCCCACGAATTCGATAATCCTCTACGCAAGTTTCTTGTCCTAATTTTCATCTGGGCTTTCTTAGATCACTGTAAAAAAAATCCCTTTATCGTCTTCTCAAACAGGTCTCTTCCGATTTCAGATGGTGGGCAACGATGCATTTATTTTTGTGGATTTTAAGATTGGTGTCTGAGGTTCTGTTGTTCGAAAATGAAGGAAAAGGAGAAAAGGGGGGATCCTGTGGTTTTCAAAATTGGGGCTGCTTTGGTGTTTTCCATTAGTGGGATTGTTTACACTTTTTTCAGAAACAAACAGGGGATTAAGAGGCCCCCCAAACCCACCCCCCACGACCACCAGTCTTGTCCAGGTCCGAATTATGAATGTCTTGTTTGGGTTTAATTTTGCAAGATTTTGAGGATGTCGGATTGATTTTGATCTTTGTTGTTTCATTGACAGAAAATTCCAGCCATGGAGATGATGATCGCGATCATGGCTTTGAGGTATTAATTTCTGACTAAAACCCTTTTCAATTCTGCTATGTTTGCATCATATCTGTAATCTGTGAATCATCAATTTAGATTCTTTAGTTTAAAAGACTAATGGATTTTAGTAATATTAGTTAGAATAAATATAGGGTGTCATTAATCGTGTGAATTAAGTGAAATTTTTTCCGTAAGAATATAAAAATAATAAATATATATATAAAATATTAATATTTTTTTTAAAATATTTCTTTTATTGAAAGAACGCACCAATAGACTCCAAAAAAGAGTGAGGAAATCACTTTTAAGTTAACCTCATAGTAAATATACTATGGAATGCTTATGAACAAAGCCTAAGTAGCTAGTTAGTTAAAAACATAGTAACTAAATCTCTGTTTACATTGATACTTTTAAATTTTTATTATTATTTTTTTTTTTACAAAATATTATACCTTATTTTTTTTGATATATTTGACTACAATTTAGGCAATAAGACGTTCCAATTGGGTCGACTACAGAGACAGTTCCTTCTTGCAAGAACCTAACCACATCGACCTCGACCTGAATGAATGCAATGCATCGGATCTTTCTAAAGACGGGCAATCCAACGGATGCGATGAAAATGCCGAATTCGAGAGAGAGATCAGGACACTACGTAGCAAGGTGAAGTTTCTAGAAGAACGCGAGAGGGTGCTCGAGACTCAGCTGCTCGAATACTACTACAATCTCAAAGAACAGGAAACCATCCTATCAGAACTGCAGAAGCGTCTGAGATTAAAAAACATGGAGACAAAGCTTTATCGGGTCAAGATCGAATCGTTGCAATCGGACAAGAGACGGTTAGAATTGCAAGTTTCGGATTATGCTGACGTGGCGACTGAACTGGAAGCTGCTAAGGCAAAGATCGATCTTTTAAGGATGAACGAAGCTAAGGAGAATCGCGAGCAGATTATGAAGCTTCAAATGGTGCATAATACATCTACGAATAAATACGTATACAACATTGGAACAAGGCCACATGCAAATTAGTACTACGTAGTTAACAGGACCGGCCCTGGGCCGAGTAGTAGGAGGACCGCCCAAGGCTCATGGTAAATAGGAATTCATTATATATTTATATTATATATGTATAATTTATATATATACAATTTATTTGATATATATGAATAGAAAAAGCTGCAATTAAGTAGTATAGAGATTAATTTTTAATATTAAAATTTAAGTTCAAATGTCATATGTCTCGAACATTTGTAAGTATTATTTTTCATCAAAATTTTTTTTTTTTTTTTTTTTTTTTCTTCGCCCCGTCTTCGAAAGTCAGGACGGCCCTCGTAGTTAAGTGCTAAAAATGCAGATCATCCTCTCCGGTATTGTTCCGTCCGGTGAATGCAATTACACCTGATTTGATTAATTAAGACAGCTCTGATCAGTAATGATATACATCGGATCCGGGACCTTGAAGTTTCTTTCTTCACCAGCTCTGTCCTCTTCTCCGATTTGTGTGTCATCCATCGCCGGAATTCCGCTCCCGGACTCCTTCATGCATGTACTGCCGCCGTTGATTGATTGAAATTCCCAAACCCTAATTTTACGAATTGGGGATTTTTCTAACCCTAATTGTTCGAATTGGGAAATCCGAAGATTCCGGCGTTGTTCGGATCTGAACTTCTCCGGCGTCCCTGGGATGGTCATGACTTTGTAAGCCTTTTCGATGACGTCGTTGTACAGATTCACCACGGCCGCGAATCTGACAGCTGGAAACTGTCGAATCAAAATAAAACCACATGGGCCACACAACCTGTCTGTGTCTATGGTTGTTGATCAGTCAATTTGAAATTTTTTTATTTTGTTTTTACTTAATTAATTTAATTGTAATTTTAATTTTAATTTTACTTCTTTTTTTATATGTATAAATACTATTATATGAAATAAATTATTGTCTAAATATTAATCCACTGGACAAATTTTTATTTTTGGTAAAATTTATTAAATTGATAGATATATAACAAATATAACCACATAGAGTATAGACTATTCAAAATCTTTTTATTTAAAATTTTACATAATTTATATTAAATATAAATAAATAAAATTATTTTTTATTTACTTGTATTATAAAAAAATTTATTCTCTTTAAAATAATTTTTATATTACATATATTTTTTTATTGCGATATAATATACTGTTTATAATATTTAAATATATATATTAATTTTTTAATTATATATATTAAATTTATTTTAATTTATCAATATTATTGATTACATAAAAATAATAAAATAATACTATGGTAATTCACTATTACCAATCCTAATGAAAAACGTTAACTATATTGAAACAAAGAGAAAATTTTAAATATTTAATTTTTACTATTTATTTATTTAATATTAATAACTAATTTGTAGCAAGATAAATAAAAATATTTTTATTAATATTGTGTAATATAAAAGTAATAATATTTATCTAATATATTATATATTGTAATATATTTATTATACTCCCTCCGTTCCAAAAGTGTCTTATTGAAAGTTGACAAGAGAATTAAAGAATAATAGTATTTAATTGAAAGCTGGTATAAAGTAGAATGTAATGACTAAAATGCCCTGACATTTTTAAGAATTTTAAAGAGTATGTTAGAGTAATAATTATGGGTAGTATGGAAAAGTAGAAATAATTTTGTTATAAAGTGGGAACTACGGCTACTAAATAAGGAAACAAGACAATTGTTTTGAAACGGACGAAAATTAAAAAACAAGACAAATATTTTGAGACGGAAGGAGTATTAAAAATATAAGTATGATTATTAAATTAGAAAATAGATAAGACTGGCAAAATTAGAAAAAAATAAGGTTAAGTTCGATTTATATTTCTTTCTTACCATAAATTAATTCAAAATATTATTTGAACTTTACTTATTAAAGTATTTATTTGTAATTGTTTGGCTTAGCTAGGTAAGTGACATAATTAGAACTGAAATTCAAAATTAATTCCATTTGTTAATTACTTTTTTTTTTCTTTTTTTTCTTTTTAAATTAAGGTGTATTAAATTAGAGTTTTTTTTTTCTTTTTTTTGCTTCAAAAAAATTGTGAATTTATGTAGATTTAAAAAATTTATAGAATGTATACATAATTTGATTGATTTTTTTTTTATTTATTTATTTATTAATTTGCATCATTTGTTATAAATTTAATTGAATTATTTATTAATTTATGTTTATTTGGTGACGTTTATCCCCTTGTCCGTGAGGGGACGTGTTGGTTGAATGTAAATCAGATTATTGGATAGTATACAATATTTATTGAAAAAATCGGTTTGATGTTTGAAAGTGGAGTCAAAATTCACCATATTCAATATGCAGAGATGACGACTTAGAGAAATACTAAGACAGAGTTTACAATGCTGTGCATGAATTTACTTATGTATTTATTGCAAAGTTAGTCATTGTAAAAATTTGATTTGAGATATATTTTGGTGCAATTATTGACTAAATTATAGTAATCAAACTTGGATTGCAAGCCAAACGAAGATCAAGTTAAAGATCGAATTGGATTAACAATTTTTGCATATTTTGTTTATTGGTTACTATTGTGCATGTGGTGTTATTAGGAGTGACAAAAATAAGTACGGTTCAAAGTTCGGTCCACACATAAAAATCATCATATTTGGGCAAAAAAAATAAGTTTGAAAATTTTTGGACCGTGCTTAGCCCGACACGCTAATGAATCGGGCCGTATCCGGGTTCATAAAATGTTGGACTATGCTTGGCCCAACATGGTTTTTAAAATTAAATAAATTTATATATAAATATTAATTTTTGAAATAAGAAAACTAAAAAAATAAACAAAATAATTAAAAAAAAAAAAAAAAAAAAAAAAGAAAAACGGCCGAACGGCACAACCTAATTTCAAACCGGATCATAGACGGGCTGGCTTTTCCTGGCCCGATCGCAAACCAGGCCGTATTGGCCCAACACAATTTAAAATCGGATCATTCCGACACGGCACGAAAAGAGGCCAATCCATATTGCACCCCTAGTTGTTATGTACATACTCAATGTTAGATACTTCATCTGTAGTTGGTAAAATGTATGGATAATTTTTTTTTTTTACTTTATAAATATATTAGTGTAAAAAATAGTGGCAGTTGTGTAATAAAAAAAAATAAAAATAGTTTTACGGTGAAAAATAATAGTAAACGACAGATGAATTATATAAATTTATCTTGGTGAAAATCTGATTTTACTGATTTTGTGTCCAATGGATCAAAGAATTTGAAATCAACGATTATAAAATATTTTTTTTTTTATTAATTATTATAATTTTCATATATTCTTGTTCTGCAAATATATAAAAAAATGTTTATACCAAAAATAAGCATACAATTAAAAAAATCCAAAATCAAAATTTACAATTAAAAAAAAAATTAAAATGTTTATAAAAAATATGGCATTAAATATTATTTCTATCATAAAAATCATATATATAATAATCAAACTTTTTACTATTTTTAAAATATTATAAAACCTCAAAATATAAATACCTTTGGAGCCTAAAATTTAAAATAACAATAGGTTGGAAATGGTTATGGCAACCCAATTTAAATTAACCTTATGGATCAAACAGACGGATTATAAACTTATATGCTACTTCTACATATTCTTCTAGACTCAAACATAAAATATGTTTGTTTTGTAAGATAATTTAAATGAATATTTTGTGACGTAATATATGATAAATTATCTAAAAAATATGAAAATAATGAATGTGTATGATATATTAATATTTTTAGGAAAAAGAAGTGTGTATTTTTTATTTTTTGTTAAAAGAACACATCCAAAATTTGACATAATATTTAAATATATAGAATATATTGAAATGTATATTTCTGTGTTTAATTTGATTATTTCTTTTTCAATTTATTATTACATAAATTCTACATTTTTTTTTAAAATAATAATTATATATATCTTTTATAAAATATTATATTAAATATTATTTTTTTTAAAAAAAATTAAACTTCCCAATCCAATAAAAAGCATACTAGTACGAAAATATATAAATTTGAGATTCATATGGCTTGCGTTGTTTGTTTGTGTTGTGTTTTTGTTAAAAAAGAAATGTTGAAGTGAAATATAAAAATTTTTGTGGATAATATAAAAATAAAAATATATATTATGTTATTTTTTTTAATAAAAAAAATGTTGGAAATTTTTTTAAACAGAAACAAATTAATTGTGAAAATATTTAATTACAACTTGAAATAACTTTCCTAATTCGAAATTGACTGCCTTTAATATTCTTCCACTCTCAAGCCTTCCCTCCAATCAAAATTCAACCCCAAAAAATTATTACAGTCAAAAGCACAAAACACACACATTATTAATATTAAACTATTTTCGATTGCCCCAAAACCCTCCAATCTCAGACAAGACAAGCGTTGGATTGTCTTCACCAACCAAACCCAGCCATTTCATTCAAATATTTTCCAAGGGGGAATCCGTTCCACGTTAATCCCACCTGTGCCCGAATATATTAATTAAGGTTGCTGCGACGCAACTGTCTCCTACTTTCTCAGGCCTAAAATAATTTCAGGCAAAGGAGTCGTAAATCTTCACGAAACAGCTTCTCAGATTCGCAGGAACTTCAAGTCAATCCCACGAGTTCGATAATCCTCTACGCAAGTTTCTTGTCTTAATTTTCATCTGGGATTTCCTTAGATCACTGTACAAATCTATTCTTTTTCTTCTCAAACGGGTCTCTTCTAATTTCAGATGGAGGGCCACGATGATCGAGACGATGCCTTTATTTTTGGGGATTTTAAGGTTGGTGTCTGAGGTTCTGTTGTTCGAAAATGGGGGGAAAGGAGAAAAGGGGGGATCCCATAAGCCCTGTGATTTTCAAAATTGGGGTTGCTTTGGTGTTTTCCATTAGCGGGTTTGTTTACACTTTTTTCCGATACAAACAGGGGATTAAGAGGCCCTCCAAACCCACCCCCCACCAATCTTGTCCAGGTTTGAATTTTGAATGTCTTGTTTAGGTTTAATTTTGCAAGATTTTGAGGATGTCCGATTGATTTTGATCTTAATTGTTTCATTGACAGAAAATTGCAGGCATGGGGATGATGATCGTGATCATGGCTTTGAGGTATTAATTTCTGATTAAACCCTTTTGAATTCTGCTTTGTTTGGATCATATCTGTGAATCATCAATTTATATGACTACTGGATTTTATATGATCATGGCTTATAATTCTTTAGTTTAAAAGACTAATGGATTTTAGTAATATTAGTTAGAATTAATATAAACTCCCAAGAAAGTAAAGGAAATCACTTCTTACTCTCTTAGAAAAAATACTATGGAATGCTTATGAACAAAGCTTGAGCTAGTTCGTCGAAAACATAACGAGTTAAAATTTGTGTTTCGTGTAGTTCTCAAATTAGCTTTTTTTTTTTTCGAGTTCAAATGAATGAGCCAAGTGGGATCATACATAGACACATTTAAAACTTTTGACTCTATTTATCAACAGTAATTTTTTTTAAAAAAACATCACATTAAATATTACGATGTAGGCAATGACACCGGCCAGTTGCGACGAGGACAGAGACGGTTCCATCTTACAAGAATTTAATGACTTCCTGAATGAATGCAATGCATCGGATCTTTCTCCGAGTAAGAACAGGCAATCCAACGGATACGACGAGGATGCTGAATTCGAGAAAGAGATCAGGACCCTACGTAGCAAAGTGAAGTTTCTAGAAGAACGCGAGAGGGTGCTCGAGACTCAGCTGCTCGAATATTACGGTCTCAAGGAGCAGGAAACCGCCGTAGCAGAGCTGCAGAACCGTCTGAGAATACAAAACATGGAGACGAAGCTTTATAGGGTCAAGATCGAGTCGTTGCAGTCGGACAAGAGACGGCTAGAATCCCAAGCTGCGGATTATGCAAAAGTGGTGGCTGAGCTGGAAGCTGCGAAGAAGAAGATCAATCTTTTGAGGACGAAGCTGACTTCCGAAGCCAAGGAGAATCGCGAGCAGATTTTAAAGCTTCAAGAACGAGTGATGAAGCTGCAGAGCGACGAGAAGAATGATCCTAAGACCGATCAAGATGCCCGAATGGAGCTGGAGAGAAGGAAGGAGCTCGAAGAGGAGTTGGAAGAGTTGAAGAAACAGAACCACAGTCTCAAGCTTGAGAATATCGAATTGGCCGAGAAATTGGATTCGTTACAAATTGTTACGATGTCGTCCGGTTTAGACGACAGCGAGGTACGTAATTCTTCGCTCATGATTTCACAATCATCGGAATGCATGAGATCGTTTTATATCTTACGAGACCCATCTTAATCAGGTAGAAGCAATGAAAGAGGAAAGGCAGAGGTTAGGACAAGAGAACGATGATTTAAGGAAGGAAATCGAGCAGCTGCGAGAAGATCGTTACGCGGACCTTGAGGAGCTCGTGTACCTCCGGTGGATAAACGCTTGTTTGCGATACGAGCTCCGGAATTATCAGCCGCGCCAGGGCGAGACTGTGGCTAGGGATCTTAGCAGAACGTTGAGTCCCAAATCGGAGGAGAAAGCCAAACAACTCATACTCGAGTACGCCAACAGAGAGGGCTTTGGCGACAATAAGTTTATGAATTTGATCCATTTCGACTGCGATCAGTGGTCCACTTCTCAGTTCACGGACTCCGACGACCTCCCCTCGGCTGACCGGACGAACAATTCGGGAAAAAGGCGAGTCTTTGCCAAGCTGATGAAGCTGCTTCAAGGAAAGGACAACGATGTTCGGACGCCGGCATCGCCGTTGGATGTTGGCAGCAATACTGTAAGCAGGAGCAATTCTTATACGGGATCTGACAGTTTGGTGAAGACAACGAGAACTCCTTCGGAGGCTTCTAGAAGATCCTTTGATTTCCAGAGATCTCACTCACAAGGATGTAAAGGTGCTGTTGGAGAAAGTAGTAGCTTCTCGAGAAGAATCAGCTACGATGATTCGATAAGGATTTTCCGGAGAATTGATTATGATGATAGTTCTGAAAATGCTGCGAAAACGGAGCTGGTGAAGTATGCTGAGGCGCTGCAGAATTCGCGCGGGAAGGTGAAGTCATCTGTGCATCGAAGATCGGCTTCTTTGAGCTGCATTTGATGTATTCTTTTTTTATCGTTTTTACAGGCTTTGATACCTAATTAGTACATTAGTGTTGGCTATAGGTAGATACTGTAGAAAAACAAACACAGATGTAAAAAAGTTATGCAGATTTTGTAATCGAAAGGGAAGGAGATTTACCGGAATTGGTGTTTCAGAATTTCTGTAATCTTCTGATAATGATTCATCCACCGCGATGAAGAAGAAATTAATGAGGTATGAGGAGAGTGGTTGTCATGGTGTAGCGTAAATTGGCGGTTATAACTGACTCGGAGATAGTTATATATATATATATATATATATAGATACAACATATATGTCTCTGATAATTTGAACTTTCTTTTGAGAAACATTTCAATTTGAATTTCTAAAAAATGGCGGTAGAAGATCCTAACCTAATGGCCTCGCTCTACGTCGGCGATCTGCGGGCAGACGTGACGGAGAATGATCTGGTCGAGGCATTCGAACGCGTCGGTCCGTTGCTGTCCGTTCGCATTTGCCGCGACAAGATCAGCCGGAAGTCCCTCTGCTATGGCTACGTCAACTTCTGGCTTCCCTGCTACGGTACATTTCTGCTCATTAGTTTTGTTTCGCTCTGTAGAAGTAGGCTTCCTGAACTGTGATTTCTGGACTTTGGTCGCCTCTGTGATGATTATTTTTCGGATTATCTCAGCTTCTGCTGCTCTACAACGTCTGAACCACACCCGATTGAAGGGAAAACCGATGAGGATTATGTGGTGCGAGAGGAATCCAATGGCCAGGAAGAACAACAACGCAAATCTCTTCGTGAAAAATCTCGACCTGTCGATTACCGGTGCTCGATTGCAGGAGATATTCTCAAAATACGGAACCATACTTTCTTGCAAAGTAGCTGAAGAACGGGGAATCAGCAAAGGCTTTGGGTTCGTTCAATTTGATTCTGAAGATTCAGCCATTGCAGCTCTCCATGCCCTTCACGATTCGGTGCTCGAAGGCAAGAAATTGTAAGTCAGCTGCTCTTGTCCAAATTTTCTTGTTCGTCGGTTCTGGCTAGTCGCTACTGTATCGTGTTCCTCTTATAAAAACCTACTGTTTCTGCATATCAGATACGTATCCAAGTTTCTCACAAGAACTGAGAGGAAGAAGGATTTGGAACACATTTTCAAAAACCTGTATGTGAAAAATCTAGACGAGGATATAGCAGAGGAAAACCTCAAAGAAAAATTTTCGGAACATGGGAAGATACTTAGCGCTGTCATAATAAAGGATGAGAATGGGAAATCGAGAGGGTACGGGTTTGTTAACTTCGAATCACATGAAGGGGCTAAGAAGGCAATGGAGGTTCTGAATGGAGGATTGCTTGGTCAATATTCTGTTTCCTCAGCTTATTTTGATTACAAATATGGATTCTTGTTCAAGATTGATTTCTTAATGCATGATTTTGTGTCGATATAGGATCGAAAACTCTATCAGTGGCATGGGCTCATAAAAGAGGTGAAAGGATGCAAAATCTCAGGCAACTACATGGATACAAGTGTGATGATCAGAGCAAGCAGCTAAAGGCTTCAAATCTGCATGTAAAGAATCTTAGTCCATATGTTGATGAGAGAAAACTGGAAGAACACTTTAGCTGTTTTGGTAAAATTGTTTCTGCTAAAGTAATTCGGAATGTAGATGGAGTAAGCAAAAATTTTGGTTTTGTACGATTTTCATGCCCTGAAGAGGCAAAACAAGCTTTGACTTCATTAACTGGTATGACATTCTCCTCTCTAATGTTCTTCTCTGTTTATGAAACCGGTTGAGTTTTGTTTTCTCTCTTTTCTTTGAAATAGGAACTGATTTTGAGGGAAGGACTATTCATTTGACGTTTGCTCATCGCCAGGAGCGACAAACTGGCGAAATGCTGAAATTATGCTCAAAGCTCCCAGTGCAGCCGCATTGTATCTCTACTTGCCAGCCACTGGATTGTTGTCAGTTGCCTTTTTGTAGTCCTCTAACGCCATTTATACAACTCAATCAAATGAATCCGATGTTCTATCAGAATTTCGCTGGACATCTCAGTTCATGTAATTCGTTTCAAGGTCAAGACTTCCCAAGAATCTTCAACACATTTGTAAGAAAACTATACTGTCATAAGTTTACTTCTGATAATGCAGCTATATTCATTTCCTTGCATGTTTGAGATCTGACTAGTTCTTTATGAAATATTGTATAGAAAGAATTAAGAATTGTTTGAAGCAGGAGTTAATACTGGTTTGGTGAGAATGGCCACTTTTTCATTGATAACCTCTTATATTGTGTAGCCTTTCTGCAATGCTGCTTTGGATCAGTGCAGACAATATCATATAAAGCCCTCCAGCGACCGATCACTAAACAAGTATACAGGTGATGTGAAGGAATACTGTAAAGGGTATGGCGCTATGAGAGCTTCTCTCACGATCCCATCTCCTAAGGTTTGCAAAACAGGGCAGTCCAGTAATAAGTGGCACCCACTTGTTCAGAATCTTCAGGTCTGTGATTCCTAAGTTTGAAGGGAATATTCCTTGCTCACATTTCCACTGCTTTCATCAATCAGCAAACTGCCTTCTGTTGCTTCTATATGTAGCCGGGACTTGCAGCGAGTGGGCATGAATTGCAGTTGGAAATGGAGAAGGCAAAGTGTGAAGCCTGGAGGATAATGAATCCATCAAGGTCCTCGGTGAATGCAAACTGAAAGCAGAGGGGAAAAATAGGATATGTTCCTGCTATCTTCACTTCTTATCTCTTAAAACACATTTTTGTGCTCTCTATAACTCATAATAACTCGTCATTGTGAATGACCTGCAGCAAATTCTTACAAGTGCTCTGTACCTGTTGTGCTTTTGATGTATAGTTCATACTAGAATCACAACGAATGAAAAAGGCACAATGATTGTGCCATTTTTCTTGTCTTTGTGAACCAAAAATAATTGATAAATGGTAAAAGAAATGGGGGATTTGATGCCAATATGTTTGCTTCTTGCGCTGTCTAGCTCTTGCCATTCTCTACATTAGGTTGTTTGATTCAGATATATACTGTGGAGTATGTTTCTAAACTATGCTTCTCTAGTCACTGAATTCTTAAAGATGACTTGAATTACAGATCTGCAGCTGCTTTCTGTAATTCTTTTTTTTTTTTTTTTTGATCGAACTTTCTGTAAGTTTTTTAAATATTTCAGACCGTAGTTTCTTTTATTTAGCAAATCTATATTGTGATCATGAAATAAGGGAAATCCCTTGGATGATTATGCTGTCTGCAAGTATCTGGTTAGCAGCTTGGGATGGATGCACACTGTCCCAAAAGACATACTCTGATGCATTTTTGCAGGTGCCTATTGACTTGGGATTGCACAGGATTGATGTCGTCTCCACTGTTCCTGTGCCACAGCAACCTGTAGATGCTTCTGTAAAACCTACATATATAAAAAAAAGGGTAAATAATAATTGTTGGTAAATGTTTTTTATTAGGCTCAGACCTTGGTTTTGAATGTTACCGTTTTTCTTAGGATCTGCAATGATGTCGTAGAGAGGTTTGAAGACATCAAAGACAACAATCTTGAGGCCTGGAAGCTGCTTCTGCAGCTTTGCAGCAGCTGAGTTGATCTTCTTGTTGAACTGTTGAGCATCTGCATTGATCCTGGAAACACAGCCACTTTCATGGAAGCTGAATATTGTTCTGGCTGCAGGAAGGCATCCCAATGGTGGAAGTGACGTCACCCCAATTCGCCGTGCACCCATGCTGTGTAAGTTCTGTCCAAAATCATCATTATTAGGAAAACTTTTTCCTGCCCTTATTAATCTTGATATGCAGAATTGTGCATATAGTTAGTATGCAAAAACTCCGAATATTATTGTGAAAGACGCACATGTACCTTGACAAAACTAGTAAAAATGCCAACAAGGTAGGATGAATACTGGTTGGGGCTGTAGGCTTTGTTGAGCAAAGGATTGACATAGTAATTTTGGATGAAGTCACTGCTGCCTGCAGAAACTAGGTACAGCGCATCCTTTATAATTGTTGCTGCCCCCACACTTCCAGCAGCTTTTGCTAGCTTCCCTTGATACTCCTTGTAATGCACTAACTGCTGTGACATAGAAATTACATGCTGCAAAAATTTTAAAAGATTTAGAAACTACTTTCTAATATTACATAAGGACTATTTTGTGTTTTGGATGTTGGATCTTACAGTTAGAAGGGACGTGTGGTCATCATATCCGGCCCCGGCAGAGGCAAAATTAGCCCCTTGAAGAAGGTTCTTCCTGGATGCTTGTGGGCTTAAATAGGCTGGTGCGTAAGTCTTGAATCCTAATGTCTCGGCTGGAGAATTCATGAGAAGCCTTTAGGTAATGTAAATGCATTAGATATATAAACAAAGCTGGTATGCCTTTAGCATAAGTACCCGTAATGTCAGTTGCTAGTTTTCCATTGCAGAACCTCCCGGTGGCTTCATGGTTCTTGAAGTCCCTCCCATAAGGTGGGTAGTTTGCCTTGAACACAGTGTGTACGTAGTCATTGTTGCCTACGTCCACGACTGAATCCCCGAATGTCATGATGGCCGGGACTAGTGTAATCCCCTGAGAATTAACACTCCAGCACAAAATGGCCATTGCCAATGTGTATATTAGAACTTCTCCCATTGTTTTCTCCTTTTACCCCTAGTGTGACCCCTCAGCACAATATTTGGTTATATATATGTGTGTGCGCGCGCGCGTGTGTTTTTAAGTTCAACCCTATGATGAATTAGGGCAGCTGAGCGTTGGGATTGCCATTAATGGGTTGATTTGGGGACATCATCATTTATGATAACACCAGAAATAGAGGAGCAACGGCCATAGGTAGTTGGGGGGAAACTGCACATCACAGAACAGGACTATTGGTAGCATGTGATGTGAGTTAATTGCAAAGCTAACTGGTGTCTGCACATCTTTATGAATTCATGATAGCAAATGATAACTGCAAGAAAGTGAATGTAGTTATTTTTTTGTGTTGCAAGAAGTTGACTTTTGGGTGTACAGATGCCAGTTCATTATTCAGGATAACGTTTAGTGTTCAACTTGATTGGGGATATAACTTAACCATTCAGGGAATTTGGTATTGGACATTCTCAAAACGGGTGCTATTGGGTCGGATCAATCAAATAATGAAAGACAAGTTAGCATTTCCATCCTTAATCTAGTACCTTTTGGCCTTTCTTTTTGTACATATTTTTGTGTTTTGCAGTAATATATAGTCCTGTGAATATGGCTATATATGTAGGTCTTTTCTTCATACTGATATGATATTCATCATTAGTATTTTCATTGGTGTTGGATATGTTATATATATATATATATGCAACTATATTCCAAGCATTTGATGGCATTGAAAACCAACTTTGATTAGCTACAGCATCAGAGACAGGTTTATGCTGTAGCTCATGATATATGCATTGATTGATACGTATCCATTCTATGATATAATTATTCCTGGAAGTAGAGTTGAGCTTATATCTACTACTGTATGGCAGGACAATTAAGGCGAGACAGATGCCGGTTAGTCTTGAGCTTTACCAGGAGGTGGGAAGTGTAGGCGCTGTGGAGGTGCAGGGCATACCCACCCCCTAGGCAAGTATCTCTGGCTCTCTGCACATTTACATTCATACACACACCCTAATCAACATACAGTCATACAGATAAACAGGGAGAGCATAAATGAAACATTTTTGGAGATATATAGATAGTTATGACATTGTTAGCACCACATAAACAAAAATTCTCCTAGAGTAGCTATCAATAAGAAATTCCTCTGTCAAAAGGAATATATAGAGTTAAACATGATAAAATAAGAAATTGTTCATTTAGAATTTCTTCTTTGGAACAATATGAGTTGTTATCCTCCTAGAATATATATTTGTATATGTAAAGGAACTTTATTATAAGTTATAACCATTGAGTAAAATATTGAGTTGGTAGATATTAGAGTAAGAAACTGAAAGATTTTGTTGAAATTGTAGGTACATCTCTTCATTGGAACAATATGAGTGATAAGTTCAGTGATTTCTAAACTTGTGGAAGAGATAAATAACCAATTTATATCTTCTTTTTTTAATAAAAATCTGAACCAATCATCTAAGAGGAATTATGCCAAAAATTAGAATAAATGCCTTGAAGATCAAACTTACATGGTCCCCAAAAGGGAATTAGATAGTTTATCTTGAACATCAGTAGTTGTTGTGGCAGCTTCACCATATGGCATAAGAACTTATCACAGTAGCTTTTCCTGCTAGATTTGATGACTAACGTAAATTGTGGTCGGATTTTATTCCTATTTTATATATACACACAGGGAATAAGTATGAGTGTCTAACTGAATGTGAACATAAAGATATATTGTGCTTAGTTTACTTTTTATTGGAGAGTGAAATTAAGATGAATAATGGGTATTCTTCCGTAGACTCTAAAACGTGTATAGATCTAATAATTAAATAATAATAATTATAGTAACAAAACCCTAACCCTATGATTAAATAGTAATTTTATAGTAACATTCTTATATCTATCCCACATCGCAAAGATTTAAGGAGGAGGAAATATAGATAAAGAAAAACTCAGCAACAGAGGGCACGACCTTACTTGAACAGGATCTGTTCTATAGGCTCGTACCTCTGCATCCTTGAGTTCTAAGGAGGCAAGAAACCTAGTCTGGTGGATGAGCCATGGCTGCTCGACCAGAGCGTGATTAGCAGGTCCCTTGGCTCGACTTGGCTGTGTCACTGGACCCGCGGAGGATCGTTCTTGGCCTGGCTCCGGTCAGACCCGGATGGTCCAGCAGCTGTCTGACAGACTAACACCCTTTTTGGTTTTAGCTTGTTCCCTTCTTTTCATCTTATTTTGGATGTTGGATTTTACAGTTAGAAGGGATCTGTGGTCGTCGCAGAACAAAATGGCCATTGCCAATGCGTATATTAGAATTTCTCCCACTCATTTTCTTCCTATACCCCCAGTTTGATGCAAGAAGTCGTGTATGTATGTGGTTTACATATGATATGTGTGTGTTTAAGTCCAACCCTCTGATGAATTAGGGCATCTGAGCGTTGGGATTGCCATTAATGGGTTGATTTGGGTTCATATCCATTTTAAGATAACACCAGAAATAGAGGAGCAGGAGCGACGGCCATAGGTAGTTGGGGAAACTGCAGATCACAAGGCAGGACTATTGGTAGCATATGATGTGAGCTACCTGGTGTCTGCACATCTTTATGAATTCATGACAGCAAAAGATATCTACAAGAAAATAAATGTAATTAGTTTTTTGTGTTGCAAGAAGTTGACATTCGGGTGTACAAATGCCGGTTCCTTATTCAAGATACCATTCAGTTTTCAACTAGTTTCAGGACCCATTCGGGCACTTTGGTACTGGACATTCTCAAGACAGTTGCTATTGGATCGAATCAATTACATAATGTGACAGGTTAGCATTTCCGCGCTTAATGTAGTACCTCTTGGACACAAATATCCCAATTTTAGCTGTCCAAGATCCTTTGTTTTGTATATATTCTTGTGTTTTGCAGTAAACATAGTTCTATGGAGATAAAGATCCAGAGTATGGCTATATATGTAAGCTTCTTCTTCATACTGATTTGATATTCATCATTAGTGGTTTTATTGGTGTTGGATATAAGCAATTATATTCCGAGCATTTGATGGCATTGAAAACCAACTTAGATTAGCTACATCATCAGAGACAGGTTGATGCTGTAGTTCATGATATATGCATTGATTGATACATATCCATAATGTGATATTTATTCCTGGAAGTAGTGACGAGCTTATATCTACTACTGTATGGCAGGACAATTAAGGCGACACAGATGCCGGTTAGTCTTGAGCTTTACCAGGAGCTGGGCAGCATAGGCCCTGTGGAGGCTTACAGCACAAACAAGCAAGGGCATACACCCCCCCTAGGCAAGTATCTCTGGCTCTCTGCACATTTACATTCATACACACACTAATCAACATATAGATAAACAGGTAGGAGCATAAATTAAACATTTTGGATATATATAGATAGGTATGACATAGTGAGCACCGCATACATAGAGAACTCTGTTGTCAAAGGAATACATAGAGTTAAACATAGTAAACTAATAAATTGTTTATTTAGAAATTTCATCTTTGGAACAATATGAGTCGCTATCCTCCTGGATTATTTGTTTATGTGCATAAAAAGAATTTTATTATATTGAGTTGGACATATTAGAATAACAAATTGAATGATTTTGTTGGAATTGTAGATTCCATCTTTTTATTGGGACAATAGGAATGTTAAGCTTCATACTTTTAAAACTTGTGGAAGCCCTGAAATATAACTAATCTATCTTCTTTTTTTAATCAAAGTTTGAACCAATTATCAGAAAAAGAATTAGTTAAAAATTAGAATACATGCCATGAAAATTAAACTTCTATGGAATGAAACTAGATAGTTTACCTTGAACATTAGTAGTTGTTCTGGCAGCTTCACCATATGGCATAAGAACTTATCACAGTAGCTTTGCCTGCCATTTTTGCTGCTAGATTTGATGCCTAATGTAATTGTTGGATTTTATTGCTATTTTATATGGACATATAGGGAATAAGTAGGAGGAGAAAGTCCTTGCATTCACATTCTGTCTACTTTGATTTTCTATACTTTCATTTATTGCTTTTTTTTCGTTTTGAAAGTTATAGATCTAAATTATCTAATATTTAAATAATAATAGTAACAAAACCCTAACCTATAATTAAATAGTAATTTAATAATAACATTCTTATATCTATCCCACATCGCAAAGATTTAAGAAGAAGGAAATATAGATAAAGAAAAACTCAGCACTAGAGGCCACGACCTTACTTGAACAGGATCTGTTCTATAGGCTCGTACCTCTGCATCCTTGAGTTCTAAGGAGGCAAGAAACCCGGTCTGGTGGATGAACCATGGCTGCTCGACCAGAGCGTGATTAGCAGGTCCCCCGGCTCGGCTCGGCTGTGCCATCGGGACCCGCAGAGGATCGTTCTTGGCCTGGCTTCGGTTCGGCCGGATGGTCCTGCAGCTGTCTGACAGACTAACCCTTTTCTTCCTTTTTAGGCTTGTTCCTTCTTTTCATCTTTATCTAATTCAAGACTGTTTCGTATTTTGGACGTTGGATCTTACGGTTAGAAGGGATGTGTGGCCATTGCCAATGCGTATGTATTTTAGAATCTCCCATGTTATTTTTTTCGTTTGCCCCTAGTGTGGTGCAAGAAGTCGTGTATATGGTTACATATGTGTATTTAAGTCAACCCTTTGATGAATTAGGGCAGCTGAGCGTTGGGATTGCCATTGATGGGTTGATTTGGGTACATATCCATTTAAGATGACACCAGAAAAAATAGAGCAAGAGCAACAAACATAGGAAGTTGGGAAACTGCACATCACAAGACAGGACTAATGGTAGAATGTGAGCTAACTGGTGTCTGCACATCTTTGTGAATTCATGACAGGCAAAAGATATCTACAAGAAAGTAGTGTAGTTAGTTTTTGTGTTGCAAGAAGTTGACTTTCGGGTGTGCGAATGCCAGTTCATTATTCAGGTTAACTTTTAGTGTTCAACTTGATCTGGGATATAACATAACCATTCAGGGACTTTGGTATTGGACATTCTCAAGACGGGTACTATTGGGTTGGATCAATTAAATAATGAACGACAAGTTAGCATTTTCAGCCTTATTCTATCACCTCTTGGCCACAAATATCAGAGTTTTAGCTGTTCAAGATCCTTTGTTTTGTACATATTTTTTGAGTCTTGCCAGTGAGTATTGAGCTGTAACTGTAGCCGGGCAGCGTAGGAGCTGTGGAGGCTTACAGAACAAACAAGCAGGGCATACAACCCTCTTGGCATGTATATCTGCACATTTAAATTCACACACACACTCATCATATACAGATAAAACAGGTAGGAGCATAAATGAAACTTTTTGGAGTTATGACATTGTTAGCACCACATAAAAAATTTTCTCCTAGAGTAGCTATCAATATGAATCAGAGACACTTTGTTGTCAAATGGATACATAGAGTTAAACATAGTAAAATAATAAATTGTTCATTTAGAACTTTCTTCTTTGGAACAGTATGGATTGTTATCCTCTCGAATATTTGTTTATATGTATAAAAGGAACTTTATTTTAACCATTGAGGAATATTTGAGTTGAACATATTAGAATAAGAAATTGAAAGATTTTGTTGGCATTCTAGGTTCATTTCTTTATTGGAACAATAAGCATGTTAAGCTCATTACTTTTCGAAACTTGTGGAAGCCATGAAAACATAACCAACGTATATTTTCGTTTTTTAATCAAAGATTGGACCGGCCATCAGAAGAGGAATTAGGTTAAAAATTAGAATACATGCCATGAAAATTGAATCTCCATGGATCCCCAAACTGGAACTAGATAGTTTACCTTTAACATCAGTAGTTGTTCTGGAAGCTTCATCATATGGAAAGATAGGAGAGAGAACAGAGGCAACAAGCCATTTTTGCTGCTAATGCAAGTTGTTGTTGGATCTTATTCCTATTATACATTCACATTTTGTCTACTTTGAATTTATATGCTCTCATTTATTGCTTTTTTCATCTTTGAAGTTATGTGCTTTGCATTTATTCATATTTTACATATTTTCTAGCATGATTTGCGTTCTTGTTATAAGAATGATATAGTTTAGATAACTTCTAAGTTTAGTGTTATGGCAAAAAAAGAAAAAGCGTATATTGTGTGTAAGTTAATATATTAAAGAGTGAGGTTCAAATCAAATGAATAATGTTTTGTATAGGGGCGCACTCTAAAACGTGTTATAGATCCAGCAACAATAAATAACAATTATAAGAATTAAATAATAGTAGCAAACCCTAAATCTATAATTAAATAATAACAGTAATAATAATCTTTATTCTTCTTATGTCTAACCCACATCGGGAACATATAACAAGAAGGCAATAAATATAAAGAAGAACTCAGCAATAGAGGCCACGACCTTACTTGAACAGGATCTGTTCTATAGGCTCGTACCTCTGCATCCTTGAGTTCTAAGGAGGCAAGAAACCTAGTCTGGTGGATGAGCCATGGCTGCTCGACCAGAGCGTGAGTAGCAGGTCCCTTGGCTCGGCTTGGCTGTGTCACTGGTACCCGCATAGGATCGTTCTTGGCCTGGCTCCGGTCAGACCCGGATGGTCCAGCAGCTGTCTGACAGACTAATAACCAATCTTTTTTTTCTTTACTTCTGAATGATGTCATAGAGAGGTTTGAAGGCATAAATACAACAATCTTGAGACCTGGAAGCTGTTGATCTTCTTGTTGAATTGAAGCCTAATATTTGTTCTTGCTGCAGGAAGGCATGCCAATGGTGAAGTGAAGTCACCCCAATTCTTCCTGCACCCATGCTGTGTAAAGTTCTGCTACAAAATCACCATTATTTGAAAAACTTCTACCTGCCCTTATGACTCCTGATGTGCAAATATTGTTTCTAACTAGTCTGCAAAAACTCTGAATAGCAATTGAACAGATGCAAATACACCTTGATAATGGACTTTGGCACTGGGTCAGATCAATTCAGTAATGGACGACCAGTTAGTATTTCAAACCTTAATCCAGTACCTCTTGGCGACAAATATCCTAATTTTCGCTGCTCAAGATTCTTGTTTCCTACATATTTTTGTGTTTTAGCAGCAGTAATATATAGTTCTGTGGAGATAAAGATCCAGAATATGGCTATATGTATATATAAATGTTTTCTGCTTAAAGATTATTGATATTTTATCATTAATGATGTTGGATATATATACAATATATGCCCAACTATATTGCAAACATGTGATGTCGTGGCTTTGAAAATCAAGTTAGATTAAAGACTCATCACCAGAGACAGGATGATATATGCATTGATTGATACTTATCCATCTTAAGATTTAATTATTCCTCAAAGTAGTGATGAGCTTATTTCTACTAATATACGGCAGGACAATTAAGGTGAGATAGATGCCGGCGAGTCTTGAGTTTCAATGGGAGCCGCGCAGCAAGGGCAGCACAGGCGCTGTGGAGGCTTACAGCATACACAATCAGGGCATACTCCCCCCTTGGCAAGTATCTTTGCACATGTACATTCATACATACACAAACTCATCAATATACACAATGTTACATCGTTAGCAGCGTATAAAAGTATTTCATGTAGAGTAGCTATTAATACGAATAAGAAAAACTCCATTTGTCGTAGGATTACATAGAGTTGAGCACATAGTAAGATAGGGGTTGTTATCCTTCTAGAAGATTTGTTTATATGAATATAGAGGAACTTCACTATAACCATAGAGCAAAATATATAATTGAACTTATTGAAGTAAGACATTGAAAGACGTTGAAATTGTAGGTTCTTCTCTATTTGAACAAAAAGAATGTTGAGCTTAGCACTTTCTAAACTTGTGGAAAAGATGAACTATAAGTACATAACCAGAGTCCATCCTTTTTTTTTTTAATAGATCAGAAACTTTTATGGATTCCAAACATGTTTCTAGAGAGTTTACCTTGAACATCAGTGGTTGTTCTGGTAGCTTCACCATATGGGAAAGTAGGAGAGACAACAAAGGCAACAAGCATAAGTGCTACCAATAGAACTAATCACACCAGCTTTGGCTGCCATTTTTGCTGCTAGATTGGATGAGTAAATGAATTGCTTTTGGATATTATCACTTTTAATACACATAGGGAAAGAAGTGGAAAGAAGGAAGTCTTGGCATTCACATTCTGTATATTGAGATATTATCAATTTCATATTATGTAAATATATTTTTAATTGTTAATATAATATCACATAATAATATTGATTTATTATTAGAGTTACTTAATAATATGATATAATAATCATAATTATCTCAATATTGGGTACATAGAATTTCTATATTACATTTATTGCCTTTTTTTAAATTTTTAAAGCTATGTGCTTTGCATTATATGTATTTACAATCATAGTTTGATTTTACATACAGGGGTAAAAACTACTAGGATCTTTAATTTTTTTGTTAGTTTTATTTTTTGTGCAATTTGTTTTAGATAATATAATTTAAGTAATTTTTTTTAAGTATATAGATTACAGTATTATGTAGAAAAAAAAATGTTATTGATTTTTAGATAATTTTTAAGATGAATAATGTATATATTCCAGATAGACTCTAAAGCGTGCTACAGATTAAGTAATAATAGTCATTAATCTATTGTAATTATAATAATAGTCCCACATCGGGAACATATAGGAAGAAGGCAATAGAAATAAAGAAGAACCCAGCAATGGAGGGCACGACCTTACTTGAACAGGATCTGTTCTATAGGCTTGTACATGGATGAACCATGGCTGCTCGACCGGAGCGTCCGCTGACACATTGGCCACCAATATCCAAATTTTTGCTGTTCAAGATTCATTTTTTGTACATATTTTTGTGTTTTTAGCAGTAATACTGATATTCATCATTGATGTTTTGATTTGTGATTTTATCCAAGCATTTGATGGGAATGAAAACCAACAAATTAGATTAAAAACTCATCATCAGAGACAGGATGATGCAGTAGTTCATGATATATGCATTGATTGATATGTATCCATCTTATTACATAATTATTCCTGCAAGTAGTGACAACCTTATTTCAACTAACATATGGCAGGACAATTAAGGCGATGTAGATTCCGGGAAGTCTTGAGTTTCAATGGGAGCTGGGCAGCACAAACAAGCAAGACATATCCTCGAGGCAATGGCAAGTATGTCTGCACATTTACATTCACACACACTCATATGGCTGTTCAAGATTCTTGTTTGTTTTCTACATATTTCTGTATTGTAGTAGTATATAGTTCTGTTGAGATAAATATTCAGAATATGGCTGTATATATAGGCTTTCTATGCATAGTGATTATTGATATTCTTCATTAATGGTTGATTGGTGTTGGATAATATATATATATATATATATATGTATATGTGCAACTATATTCCAAACATTTGATGGCATTGGAACTATAGAGTTGTTGAATATATTAAAATAAGAAATTGTAGGTTACTCTCTATATTGAAACCATAAGAGTTAAAATACTTCGTCGAAATTGTAGTTTTTAACTCTGTTGGAACCATAAGAGTGTTATGCTCAGCACTTACAAAACTTGTAGGAGAGAAACATAGAACTAATCACACTAGCTTTGGCTGGTATTTTTGCTGCTAGATTTGATGACTAATGCAAATTGTTGTTCCATCTTAATTATTCCTATGTTATATACACATTGGGAATAAGTAGTAGAAGGAGACAGTCTTTGCATTGAGTTTCTATGCTTTCATTTATTTATTTATCTTCATTTTTTAAGTTGTGTTTTGAATATATTTCCATTTTATGTATTTACAAGCATACTTTGTCTTGCCTCTTATTGCCATATTGGCTGTAGATGTTATGGCTATTGTCTATGATTGAATCATACTATTGAAAAAGATACAATACATATGCATATGCATATTTTAAAAAGTAGAATATGAACTTCAAAACATTCATCTTTTAAAATGCTATAATTTAGAAAAAAAATTTAGGCTCCTCTGATGTGAATGATAAATAGTTTCAAAACTTTACAAAATATATTATGATATAGAAAGAGAGCCTTTGTATTTTGAGAAGACTGGGCTACATGATAGTATATTTATGATCCACTAGTTTAAAAAATTTGCACTATCTTTTTCTTTTGATTTAAAAATTGCATAAAATTCTCTTACATAATATTAACCTTGTGCAATTTTTAGATAATGGGTAGTATGATGCTAACTTTTAAAATCACATGTGAATTATAAGCACTTTTGCCTTAAGTCTTCACTAAATGTACCTATGCATCCTTGAGTTCAAAGACCATCCACATTGTGGGGTTCTTGGCTATGCCACATTACAAAATAACATTAAAATAACAAAAGATTAAGGAACATTTTAGTTTTTCAGTAAAAATGTTATAAATGAGTGTATCCTATCTATATCTAGTTTTTCAAGCTAAACAACGTTTCTGATTGATCGATCACTTGGGTCAGAAGTTAGCAGTTAGTTTGATCATCTGAGGAATCAATAGTTTGTTCATGTCGGTATCAAGTCTTCATTCTCTTTGATGGGCCTTGGTCGATGATGGGATCTACAGCTGCTGCAGGCTCTGTTTGCTGGGTTTCGGAGGTCTTCTCACCTTCTGCAGTGGGAGGGGAATAGCCTTCCGGAAAAGGCGGTGGTGGTGGAGCTGGTGGAAGCTGCGCAATAAAATATCCAAACATCAGTTACCGACCAAACTTCCATCGTGTAAGAATTGAAAGAGATGACAATTCCATGTGATAATTTTGGGATAATGCTCTACTTTCTCCATGCCACGAAAAGTATTTGATTAATAGAGGTAATAAACTTCAAGAACGAGTGGCTGATTTATATCAATTTACACCATTTTAAGAATGTGTGATCCTGGGTATGATTAAAACAGTATGTCCTTTTCAATGAACCGATCATATATCTACCTTGCGCTGCAGCGAAGCAAGAATATGATCCACGCGCTTAAGTTCCTTGAAATCAATAGCTTCTTTAGCAGTCTTTGTTTCTGATGGTGAATCCTCACTTTCAGCCTCAACTGTTGTCAAAAGAAGCACAACTAAATCAAGATACTTGGTAAGACAAATCCACTGTAAATATAAAAAAAGACCACAAAAAGGAGAAAACATTCATTCAGGATAACGAAAAACTAGAATCGTGCCACCATCATTCAGAATAACAAGAAGAAGAAGATTTAACATAACTCAGAGCAGTAAAAGTTCACTCATTTGATAGTTAGTTCTTGCAAATTGGTTTTTTCCACACATGGGACGATACACATTAGAGAGTCCCTCACAATAACAGAAAGGATTAGAGCTCAGAAGATACCATATCCAACTTTCTCCAACTTTGATGATGCAGTGTTAAACGCCTTCGATATATGGTACAGCGCACGCCCCTGCCCAACAAGGATAAAATTTTAGTCTAATCAAGCAAGCCCAGAAATTCCAACAATCAACAAGACATTATACACACCAATGCCTATACAATTTCGTTCTATACAGTTCTCGTCAAAACGATGGATGAATAAAGGCTAACAAATACTAACAACTCGGGATGCGAAAACGTTGCAAAGCTGAGGTGCTTGGTATATTGATCCATCCAAAACGTAGTATGTCAGCATAGGTGTAACCTTCTCAGGGCCATCCCTCTTTTGCTTTCTAAAGACAAACAAATGAGGCTCCAACACCTCACTCAACATGTATTCTGTTCCTGTCATCTTCCTTCAAAAACAAAAACACTCTTAAACACTACAAACTTCAATTTAACATATGCAAACTATGATAATTTCAAACTAGTAGAATTGCATTGTTAAGCTACAATTCAAACAAGGCAAACGCCATGTGCTAGTAATCTCAAATTCCAAATATTCATTTTCACAACAAAGCAAAAAATTTTGTATTGCCACAGAACAGTAGTCCAATTTCAACAAATCGAATTTCATAAATTCACAGACGAACATTTCCCTGAATTCTAAAATCTGAGGCTGAAAGTAGCAAGTCAAAAACACTCACGAGAGTTGAGAGATGTCAAGGGGGTGAATAGCACGAGCTCGAAGCTGCTCATTGTTGCATGAGTAGTCGTAGAACGGAGAAAGTGCGAAGTAATCAAAAACTAGGTTTCGATCGAGCGGATACGTGTTGAGCCATAGCTGATCCCGAAAACATATCCCCGTCATGTCCGTACCCGGCGGCGGCGGAGGCGCGAGGCCATCTACTCCACCGCTCCCCGCCGCGGCCGCGGCCGCCCCCGCCCCGGGTGGAATCGCCGGTGTCGATGCCATTTGTCTTCCAAATGAAGGGGTTAAAAAAAGGCCACTTTTTATAATTTATAGATCTTAGGCCAAAATATATAATATATTCTCATTTGACCCCAGCAGTTTTACAAATCTCATATTTCCTCTTTTAATTTTTAAATAACCACATTTTTAACTGCATGTTTTATAGAGAGTATCATACAGAGTTTTTTTTGGTGTGTTTTTTGAAGAACTGTCTTCAATTTCATTTGTTCATTTAATTTTTTTTCTACAAATATCAAATTAATTATTTATTTATTATATATTAAAATTAAATTTTACATTCAAAATATCAAGTCAACACATATTTATATCACATCGTACAATTATTTAATTTAAATTTTTTATTATTTAAATTTGATTCAAAATTTAAACTCCCGAACATTTAAAAGAAAGTAGGTAATGGAATATATACACTATACAAGCATTGTATTGATTAAATTATAATTGTTTGATCATATTGTAGCAAATCAAATTAATTAAATTTTACAACATTAATTTAGTAAATTCACATACACTACAAATATGCTATTTATATTTTAATATAATACAAATTAAATATTAACAATGTACTGTCTATACATATATTGATGTCAAAATATTAGAAGTTACTTTTAGCAATATATTTTACAATTTATTGTTTATATTTATATATATATCTATATATTATCGTATAAGTACTATTCTGTTATAAAAATAATAATAATAATAAATAATTTTATTTTTAAGTATAAGTTATTTTAAATATTGAGTTGAAAAATAATTTTTCTCTCATAACTAATGGTAATAAGAGTAGTTGCTTTTAACCTTTATAAATGAGGAAAATTTTATACAAATAAATTATAATTAAGTTTATTCTTTAATAATAAAAAGATTATAAATTTTTTTTTTTTTTTATATTGGGTTCAAAGACAATTTTTCATTTCAAAATCAGTTGGTAATAAAAAATTTGTCTTTAAGTTATACTCCATATTCTTTTCATTTACTTTGTTATTTAATTTAATATAAGTTTTTGGAAAAAAAAAAAAACTAAAAAAATCATAAAAACAACAACAAAACATTAATAATTTTGTTTTTACTAATATAATAAAAATCGATAATTTATTTTTTTTTTTCATCGATAGAAAAAAATTAAAATAAAATAAAATAAAATAAGGACAAGTCAAATTTCTTATCAAACTTGTATACTATTTTTTTTAAATCGGATTCAATACAAAATTATTCAAAGTAAATATTTTTTGTTTCGAAAAAAAAAATTAGACAAATAAATCTCTCATACTTATATATATATATATTATTTCATAATATTTAATTTAAAATTTAATATTCAAAATGTAAACACAAACTCTATAAACAGACATATTATTTGATTATTTTTTATTATTGAAATATTTCCAATGTATGATTTATTAATACCGCGAACCGAACTTATTGTAATTTTTGTAAATTAAAAAATAATAAAAATATTTTGGAAATAAGTTATAAATGATTAGAAATACACCAAATATACTGACATACATCTTCTATTTATGCACATTCACATTTATAATCAATGGTGACGATCTATTTGATCTAATTACCTACAATTAAGTAACAATAATATTCTAAATATTTATATTTTCTATTCAAATGTAAAAAAATTCTCATTATTATATATATTATTTAAAATATTTTAAAATTTTACAAGGAAGGAATTCCATTTGTATGTTTTTTTTTTTTTTTTTTTTTCATCTAATATCCAACTGCAACACTAAAAACAACAGAAAATCATTGAAAATATTTTCAATCAACAATACTTGATATTTAATAATAATATTTGGACGTATCAACTTCAATTTTCGATGAGCATATGTTTATGCAATGAATTAATTTTTTTATATATCTTTAATTATAACACACTAAAGTACAAACTAGACTACAAACTATAAGATAATTTAATTTAAAAATTTAGAAAAAAAAATTAATGAAAAAAATGCATTACTATTTCTCCCCTAAAAGTGAAAAGAACTTCTTATTAATTCATTTACGTGTGATTTCCTACTTATCATCAATAAAATTACGTATTATGAAAATTTTAATATAACCCTAATTTAGGGTTTGTTTTTTGTGATCTCAAACTGAAATCAACACTTTTTATTTTGTATATTTTTCAATAAAAATACATTATTTTTTTTCATAAAATATCATGTTAAAATACTATTTAAATAAAAATTAAAAACAACATCCATTTCAAATTGATTTTAAACCACAACCAAACGAACTCTTAATAGTTCAACAAAAAAAAAAATTGAAAAATATTTCAAACCAAATTAGAGGAAAGATCGATCCATAAGAAAGACCGATGTTTTACAACAATACATATCAAGAACCAATGAACTTATAAGCTTCAAGAATTAGTAATTAATCACGGCGAGCTTTGAGTTTCGATGGGAGTTGAGCAGCATCGGCAACATCCACTGCCGCCCGGTAGAGGCCGAGGCTGAGGAACACAGCAAACGCACGCCGGACATATAGGCCTCTTTCCAAGCGACTCTACAAAAATATATAAATAAATTATTTTCATAAAATATTGTATTCACGTAATTATTCAAATCAAAATTCGAAACTAAAATATAAAATCAAAACGTAAGTAAACAACCCCATCTCCGTAAATATACATTTACTTTTCTATACGAGATTAAATAAATAATAGTATCTTATTATTAGATAACAGTGTATAAAAAGTTTTGACAACATTTTCATTTACTATAATTTATCTAAATTATATATGTGTAGTTTATGCAGAAATTAACGATATTTCGATATTAATATGATTACTCCTTTTCATATAATAAAATATATATATATATATGCATGTATGTATACCTTGATAAACAGCAGTTGGTCTGACAGCTTGGGTAGGAATTGATACAACAAACATGATAAAGATTAATGTAGCAATCATCATCACACTGCCTTTGCCTTTGGATGTCATCTTAATTTTATTGCATCTAAAATTTATGACTATTAAGGTTATATACATATATATATATATATAGAGAGAGAGAGAGAGAGAGAGATTGAAATGTTTGAATGCATGTGGTAAGAAGGTCTTTGCATTCACATTAGTATTCTTTTATTTGCTTTGAATTTTTCTATGCTTCACCTACTTTTATATTATAATAAAATAAATAAATGTTATATTGAAAATATTATATATTTATTTATACTATATTAAATAATTATTCAAATTTTAATATTTTATTGTTCAAATTTTAAAATAAAAATACAAACTTTTATATAAACACTTTTTTAATTTTAAAATAGAAAATTAACTATTTTAATATAATATTTTATGTAAAAAATAATTTTTTTTAAAAAAATTATATTATTGAATCAATGGTTTTGAAAATTGTGCTCAAAATATTTTCTAACTTGTATAGCTTTTTATACGATACTATAATTTAATAATTTTTTATATAATTTTGTCCTTAGTTTTTAATAAAATAATTAATAGATTATATTAAAATAATAATAAAAAACTGTATGTTCATAGAAACTAGAAATGGTTTGTAAACGTTGGATGTGTTTGTTTTTTATTTCAATTTTTTTTTTAAAAAAAAAAAACAAATCATAATATTTAATATGTACGGTTGTCAATAAAAGTACAATATTTTTTTATAAAATATTATTTAAATAAAAAATTAAATTAATATTTTTTTCAAAATAATTTTGAATTACAATCTAACAAATCATTCGACTTTATTGGTTATATGAAATTATGGTTAAAATATTTTATATAATAATAATTAAAGTATTTTTATTATAAATAAGAAAGTATAATAGTACAATAAATAAACTCGAATAACTTGCATTCCTTTCTCTCTTTATTGATTTGTTTAGATTTGATTTCAAATCAAATTTACATAATTCTTGTTAGAAATATATTATTTTCACTGTTATATCAAAATATTTATTAAAAAAAATTAAATTATATTTGTATATAATTGAACAATTTTCAAGGCCACTTAAATTTGACTTTTTTAAGGTCTTCTATCAAAGTAATAAATGATAGGCTTGAATATATATATATATATATATTATAATACTTCATCAGTTTTATGTAAAGTGTAATTTTTATACAAAAATTTAAATGGGTAAAATAAAATAAAAATTAAATGATACAGTAGAAAATATTATTTTTTTTATTTGAATTGTGTCATAAGGCAATGTTTAGCTAATTATTTTTTATTTTAAAAATATTAAAATATCAGACACACCAAAATAAAAAAATATTATCGAGTATTTAAGATGGAAGAAGTAATTTTAATACTGTGATGTTTTGTGCATATTACACTTCGACCCGACCCGACCTATCGAAACTCGGATCCCGTGCCCGCGGTTCGACCCGATTGAGTGATGAATTGGAGGATGGGTTCGGTTGGCCTGAACCGCCCTGGACCGCCCTCAAACCGGTCCAAGGGGTCTGATATATATATACACTGCTTCCCGGTTCACTGAAGAGACGAATACTCACTCCTTCACATCGCGATATTCACTCTCTGGAGCCCTAGCTTTCCCGAAGAACACGATCGATCTGTCTGGTGCATTCCGGCGAGTTTGGCCATCGTAACTTGAAGTTCATCTACCGTGGTTGTATTACAGCTTGTTCTAGAGCTGTTCTTCGGTTTGATTTCTCGATTCTATGTTTATGGGCTGTTCGTGGTGTAATTGGTTGTCCGCGATGATTTAGGCTTAGAATCTTGAGATTTCTTTCGATTAGGTTGTTAATCGCGCTGATTGTGCATTTCTGTGGATGTCGGTAGTGTTTGGGTCGAGGTTGTGTGTAAGTGTTGCTAGTCGGTTGAAATATTGGGTAAACTGAGTCCGAACTCCTTCGATTAAGAAAGTATATAAAAGATTCGATGTTTCTTGTTTCATATGTGTTCGATTAGTTGTAAACTAGAAGTATTAGGTCCTAAATTTCGATTACAAGTGGTATCAGAGCTGGTTAGGGCTTGCTAGTTTACTGGAATCGTGATTTTTCGAGTTCCTGGAGTGAACACCTAGTTCTCTCTGTAAAATCCGAAGGTTTTGTGTAAATAATTTCAAGGTTTTCGAAGTCTTGGTTGTTTACTGTTCTGTCGAAGTGAAAACTGAATTTTTATGGTGTTTTCACTTCTGTAAAGTTTAGATCTCCTTGATTAAGGACTAAGATAGGCCTGTAGGAGATTAGGACTTGAAATCATCCTTGTTTGGTTGATTTGGGTAGTTCCTTGTTGATTGATTCATCCAAACTTTACTAATTTGTGTATTAAGTGCGCAGTTGGAAGGATTTTACAGATTGGAGGCTTTGAATTACGAAAAGAAAGTCAAAGAATAGTTGCGGAGCTTGGAGTGGGTAACATTCCTAACCCTGTTACATATTTTTGTGAGATTTCAGTTTTGGGGTGACTAAGTGTGGCGATTTGAGTTTGTTAAGTGGCTGTTTTTGTGCTAAGTGGCTGTTTCTGTGATAAATGTGGCTGTTTGAGGTTATTGTGACAGTTAAAGTGTTGGTTAGAGCAGTTTGTGCAAAGCTGGTTGTGTGTTATGAAATATTAACTGCTCCTAAGTTAGTTTTCTCAAGAAACTAACCCTTGGATTAGTTACTATTCAGTTTTCTCTGTTCTGGAGCATTCTTATCTGGTGGATATTTTTTGTTGAGATTTTATAAACAATAAATTTGTTTTTAAAGCGATCCAGTGAATCTGTTCTTAGGACCAGTAGTTTTTCTTGTGAAATTTGGCCTGTTCTTGTGTCATTTTCTTAAAACAGATTGGTTTTCTCTTCATTTTAAAATTCATGGCTAGTCAAGCATTTTTTAATATACAACCTTTTGATGGAAAATCTGATTTTGCAATTTGGAAACAAAAGATGAGAAGTGTTCTTGTAACTCAAAGATTGATAAAAGCAGTTGAACCTGATCAAGCAACAGACCTTTCTCTTGAAGAAAGGTTTGAACTTGATGAACTTGCATCTTCGTGCATTATTTTAAACTTAGCTGACCATGTAATTAGAAAGATAGGTACTTATGGTTCAGCTGAGGATTTGTGGGACAAATTAAATAACATGTATACTGAAACTTCACTTCCAAATAGGATACATTTGTTAGAACAGTTCTTTAGTTTCAAATTAGATCTTTCAAAGACAATAGATGAAAATTTAGATGTTTTTTCAAAGTTAATTCAAGATATAAAACTTACAGGGGATAAAAACATAGATGATTACAGCTCTATTGTTATGTTAAATGCAATCCCTAGTACATATTCAGATGTAAAATCAGCTATAAAATATGGTAGGGATGTAATTACTCTAGATGTTGTGGTAAATGGTCTAAAAAGTAAAGAAGTGGATTTGAAACTAAGTAAAGCTAATAAACAGTCACATGGTGAGGTGATGCATGTTAGGGGTAGATCTCCCTTTAGACCGAATAAAAATGGCTCTTTTTCAAATAACAATAAGCAATGGAATAACTCCTACAATAGTCAATATAAGAAGAAGTCTAGGAGTAAGTCTAGGAATAGATCTCAAACCCCTTCAAAGTATGTTAAACGGTGTTTTAATTGTGGTGACACTTCACATTTCATTAGGAATTGTCCTAAGAAGAATAGAAACTTGAATAACAACAACAATAACTTTAGAAATGGAACACCCACTATTAATACCTCTTCAAATGAACAAGTAAATTTGATTTCTCATGATGATAGCTTAGGTGAAGTGTTTGCTGTTACTGCTGAATGTTCCAATGTGACTGCTTTTAATAAGAATGAATGGTTATTAGATTCAGCTTGCACCTATCACATGACTCCTTTTAAGGAATTTTTCAGTGATTATAAAACCCTTTTAAACTGTAATGTGACTATGGCTGATAATAGGGTTTGCAGTGTTAAAGGAATAGGGACTGTTGTGCTGAAATTTAAATCTGGAAATGTTTTAAAGCTGTGCAATGTGAGACATGTCCCTAATCTGTCAAATAACTTGCTTTCTTGTGCTGGTTTGTCTTCTTTAGGACTAGAAGGAAAATGGGGAATGGATTTTATGAAAATAACTAAGGGTTCTTTAGTAGTTTTCAAGGCTGATTTGAGAAATAATCTCTATATTGTGTCTGCTGTGCCTATTTGTGAATCTGATGCTTGTGTGAATGTTGTCCATGACAGCACTGAGTTGTGGCATAGGAGATTAGGTCATTTAAGTAATAGAGGATTGGAGATTTTGCATAAAACTGGTTGTTTAGGTGCTGGAAATTTCTCAAATGTGCCATTTTGTGACAATTGCATATATGGAAAGCATCATAGAGTTACTTTTCCTCAAAAACCTACTGAAAGTAGGATTTTTTCAAAAGATATCCTTGAATATCTTCACTCAGATGTGTGGGGACCGGCTAGTGAACCCACACATGGTGGTAGAAGATATTTTTTGACTATAATTGATGATTTTTCAAGGAAAGTTTGGGTATTTTTAATGAAACAAAAGTCTGATGTGTTTGAAATTTTTAAAAATTGGAAAATTTCTATTGAAAATCAAACGGGTAAAAAGATTAAATGTTTGAGAACTGACAATGGCTTAGAATATTGCAATACTTGGTTTGATAGCTTTTGCATTGAAAATGGAATAAAGCGACATAAAACAGCCCCTTATACACCTCAACAAAATGGGGTGGCTGAGAGGATGAACCGAACTCTATTAGAAAGAGTTCGAAGCTTGCTTGCTTCCTCGGGTTTATCCAAGAGCTTTTGGGGTGAGGCTGTTCTTACAGCAGCCTATTTAATTAACAGATCACCTTCAGTGCCTTTGAAAGGTGAATGTCCTGAATTTAGGTGGAGTGGAAAGAGAATTGATTTTTCAAACCTGAAAGTATTTGGTTGTTCTGCTTTTATACGTGTTTTCAATGATAAACTTGAACCTAGGGCTGAGAAGTGTGTGTTCCTAGGGTATCCCGAGGGTGTTAAGGGATATAGGCTATGGTTAAACACTAAACCAGGTTTCAAAACTTTTGTTAGTCGAGATGTAGCATTTAATGAGAATGAAATGCCCTGTTTGAAGCAAAATCAGACCTTAAATGATGAAAATACTGCTGTAAATGGTCCTAATGATACTCAGAATGAGGTGGAGCAAAATCATTATAATTTAACCAATTTAGAGGCTGAATTACTTGATCACAGTGCCTCAAATAGAACTGATACCAGAACAACCAGTTCTGATCCAGATTTTAATTCTGGAAATTCAGAGACTGGTCTGGAGATCAGTTCTGATGATGTTGATGAGAGAATGGAATCTGGAATTGCTGAAAATATTGATCAAAATCTGGAAAATTATCAACTTGCTAGGGATAGAGTTAGGCGAAATGTAAGACAGCCCCCTAGGTTAGATGATTTTGATGTTGATGTTATCTCCTTAGCTTATAATGTGTTTGAATCATTAGATGGTAATGAACCAAGGTCATATAGTGATGCTATGAAATCAAAACAAAGAAATGAGTGGGTTAATGCAATGAATGAAGAAATGAAGTCATTAAAGGAGAATAAAACCTGGATTTTGGTGCCAAAGTTAGCTAACAGTTCTGTTGTTGATTGTAAATGGCTGTACAAAGTAAAACAAGATGAAAATGGAGTTAGATTTAAAGCAAGATTAGTTGCTAAGGGGTTTACACAAAAGGAGGGAATAGATTACAATGAAATTTTTGCTCCTGTTGTTAAATATTCTACTATTAGACTCATGCTTACTTTGGTTGCCTATTTTAATTGGGAATTGAAACAATTAGATGTAAAAACTGCATTTTTACATGGTGATTTGTATGAAAGGATTTACATGAAACAGCCGGAAGGCTTCTTTGATAAAACTAATCCTAATCATGTGTGTCTTTTAAAGAAATCCCTTTATGGACTGAAACAGTCCCCTAGGCAATGGAACATAAAATTTGATGAATGCATGAAATCTTTGAAATTTAATAGAAGCAATTTTGATCATTGTTTGTATTTTAAAATAGCATGTGAGCATCCCATATTCTTGCTATTATATGTTGATGATATGTTGATTATGTGTCCTAGTTTGGAAACAATTAATCATGTAAAAGATTGTTTAAGCAAGAAGTTTGATATGAAATACCTAGGAGATGCAAAAGTAATTCTTGGTATGAATATACTTAGGAAAAGAAAAGATAACATGCTGTTTTTAAATCAGTCTTCATACATTAAGAAAATTTTGAATAAATTCTGTATGGCTGATGCTAAACCTTCTGCTGTCCCCCTCACTTCTAATTTCATTTTATCTAAAGAGCAATGCCCAAAATCTGAAACTGATGTGAAATACATGCTGAATGTGCCTTATACTAGTGCTGTAGGTTCTATTATGTACCTGATGGTGTGCACTAGGCCTGATTTAGCATATTCTATTAGTTGTTTGAGTAGATACATGGCTAACCCGGGTGTTGAACACTGGAGTGCATTAAAGTGTGTGTTTAAATACTTAGTTGATACTATTGAAGTTGGTCTAGTATTTGGTAAACACACTAATGAGTTAAAACTGAATGGCTATGTGGATTCTAATTATGCGAATGATAGGGACTCTAGGAAGTCTACTACGTCGTATATCTTTACTTTGTGTGATTCTTGTGTTAGTTGGAAATCCCAACTACAACATATTGTTGCCCTCTCTACGACAGAATCGGAATATGTGGCCATAACTGAAGCATTGAAGGAAGGTATGTGGTTAAAAGGTTTATTAAATGAAATAGGCTACTTGAAAAATGAAGTAACAGTTTTTTCAGATAGTCAATCCGGAATTCAGCTTTGTAAAAACCCAGTCTTTCATGATCGAACGAAACATATAGATGTTAGGTTTCATTTCATTCGTGATATAGTGTCTAAGGGTTTTTTAAAACTATAAAAAATACCTTCTGAGTATAATCCTGCGGACATGGGAACAAAAGTTTTATCAATAACAAAATTCAATTTGTGTAAGAAAACAGTTTATATAGATACTTTTGATTAGGAGAATCTTTAAAACTTGAAGGTTTGTATCTTTTGTTGTTTAAAATTCTGTTTTCAGCATGACATATTTAATCATGTAGCTGTTTTTGTTAGTTGTGAAACTGAGTTGTTTTTATAGTTGTTTTAAAAACTTGAGAACATTAACCGTGTTAATAAGTCCGCAGGTTAAAAGACTAAATCGTTGGAGCTCGGACAGGGATGACACCCTTGAAGCACTTTCTCCAATGCCCAAAAAGGTGGAGATTTGTGATGTTTTGTGCATATTACACTTCGACCCGACCCGACCTATCGAAACCCGGATCCCGTGCCCGCGGTTCGACCCGATTGAGTGATGAATTGGAGGATGGGTTCGGTTGGCCTGAACCGCCCTGGACCGCCCTCAAACCTGTCCAAGGGGTCTGATATATATATACACTGCTTCCCGGTTCACTGAAGAGACGAATACTCACTCCTTCACATCGCGATATTCACTCTCTGGAGCCCTAGCTTTCCCGACGAACGCGATCGATCTGTCTGGTGCATTCCGGCGAGTTTGGCCATCGTAACTTGAAGTTCATCCACCGTGGTTGTATTACAGCTTGTTCTAGAGCTGTTCTTCGGTTTGATTTCTCGATTCTATGTTTATGGGCTGTTCGTGGTGTAATTGGTTGTCCGCGATGATTTAGGCTTAGAATCTTGAGATTTCTTTCGATTAGGTTGTTAATCGCGCTGATTGTGCATTTCTGTGGATGTCGGTAGTGTTTGGGTCGAGGTTGTGTGTAAGTGTTGCTAGTCGGTTGAAATATTGGGTAAACTGAATCCGAACTCCTTCGATTAAGAAAGTATATAAAAGATTCGATGTTTCTTGTTTCATATGTGTTCGATTAGTTGTAAACTAGAAGTATTAGGTCCTAAATTTCGATTACAAATACTATGCTCTATTATATGTTTATAGAATCATATATGGATTTAATAAATTTTCACAATTCAAATATCAATTTTATTATTTTTATTTATCCCAGAATGAATTTTTTTTCTATTTTTAATAAAAAAAATATTAAAATATTATTAATTTTTATCTAAATTACAAATAATAAATCATCTTGTATATATTCAGTAACTTATATTAATCATTCTGTCCCATAAAAAGAGTTCGTCCATAGAAAGAGTAATATATATTTTTTGCATGTAATTTATAAAAATAATAAATAATAAAAATATTTATTATATTAAATAAATAATAAATTATTAAATTAAAAAACAACCTTGTTTTAAAAATGATAAAAAAAAATAAATAAAATAAAACTATTTCTTATAATAAAGAGGGATTATTACTTTTAAATTTATTACAAAATTTCAAATGACTTTTTTACAGTGATTCGGATGTATTAACGTTATTAATAGAGGAGCCTCTTGAGAAATGTGTTTTGAATATCAGGCGGCAAAGACCAAATTGTAAGGGCAGCAGCCGATAATGACCAAAATCAACATTGTCAAAGTAAAAAAATTGTAAATTGTATAACACATCCTTGTGTTTTACTAATAAAAAAGGATAAATTATAAAAAAAAGGATAAATTATGAAAAAAAGGTAAATCAGCATGAAACTCATTTGTATTAATGAAAAATTTGCATTAAACAATCTCATTGTTAAAAAATTAATGTTTGATTCAAAATAAAGACCTAAATTACATAAATTTTATATTAAAAAATATATATATATAAAATATTTTAAATAATTTTTTTAATAAAATAAATAAATAAATAATTGATCAATCATTAATTTTTATAATTTTTATAAAAATCATGTCTCCAAAAACTATGAAATAAAAGATTAATAAATTGTTTATTTATTTATTTAATGCAAAAAAATTATTTAAAATATTTTGCACTTTTTATTTGTATAAAATTTGCGTAATTTAGATATTTATTTAAAACTAAATATCAATTTTGGATAAGAATGGTGTTTTGTGCATTTTTACCCAAATAAAAAATAAATAAATAAATAAAATAATAATAATAAAAAAAAAGTCAAAACCAGACAAACCTAAAGTAAGAACCAGCATGTCAACAAAACCAGTATGCAGTGCATTCGAAGTAACCAAGTCAGTTAGTCACTCACCACTGTTCTTCATCATGCTCTCCATAGTATTGATCTTCATCCTCGTCTTCGTCTTCATACAGCACATCACTGAGCTCTGAATCTTCATACAGCACAGCACTTTCGCTTCCAGACTCCGACTCTTCAGATGAAGTTCTACTCTCGTCATCCTCCGAGTCCAACGCAGACGATGACTTGCTTGTGCTCTCATCCTCATCCTCAGAATCCTCTTCGTCGGGGTAATCATTCAGTGGATTGTTTTCCGCTGTCATTCATCAGTACAGTATTACGGGACAGTATATATCGGTTCAGAGATTGCAGTTAGAGTAGAAGAAAGGTTAAAAAAAAAAAATGACTGTACTTTACCATTAGAATCGTCAGATTCGTATTCAGAATCAACATCTGGGCCGTCATAGTAATCTTCGTCTTCATCAACTTGAACCCTGATCAAGCACGTTGTTTTTTTATGTCAGTCGACATGAAACTCATATTAGCAACAACACATACAAGTCGGCAAAGGAAAAACGTACAGAGGAAATGGGAAATTAAAATCGAGCTCCATTGGGCTGGCATCCTCGTTGACAGCATAGACGTCGTATACATAACCTGCATTGTGAACTGCAAATTCTCAGCATAACTGAAATCGTGAAGTTGTGTAATGTAAGTAGATGAAATTGTAAGCGAAATTTAGCATATTTTCGACATAGGAGTTAAACAATATTTATAAAGATAGAGGACACCAAAAGTGCTCAGAATCTGATCTTAGCTTAGTTGACTCACAGCTTGTAACAAATTTAGATCTTTACCAATTAAAAGATATGACCATTTTTGCAATGAAATACACCTCAACAACGGGTATGAGAATGATTGATGAGCAAACATCTGTATTAAAAGACAAATGCTACGACACTAAGATCCGGACCTTGTTTGGAAACATCATTCTCAATCTCCTCGGCAGCAGTGGGTAAAACCTCTTTAAGAAGAGGTAAATACTGAGCCATCATCCTGCAATCTTCCAAGTCGGTATCCCTAAAAGGAAGAGAGTACTAAAAAATGAATGCATTTTAGAAAATGAATAACGCAGAATCGAGGAGCTAAAGAGTGTCAGAACAGTACCGTTTTTGTACTTTAACCTCGTGTTCCTCCGCATCAACTCGAACAACATCATAGAGTCGGCACATGTCATGTAAAGCTTCATCTGCAGTAGTTTCTTTTATCCCCTTTCTGCTTCTCCATACTTGTTCGAAACGAGCATTCCTTGATAAAACCTTGAGTAGCAAAAATGGGAAGAAAAAAAAACTAAGTGCAATTGTATTATCTAAAAATAATTAAATCACAAATAACTAATCAACAGCATACCAAACTAATTGCAGGTGATGGCCAGTTTAACATAAAATTTGTTTAATTAACAAAAAATTTTAAAAAAAAAATAAAAAATACTAATGTGAACAATGCAGTTACCTCGTGACTCTCTTTCACTTTAGTAAGTAACTGGTCACGTCTCTGCAAAAGTTACAGTCAATCACTTAGTAAATTCTTAATAATATTCATTAATACAAAGAAGTGCATAATTACAGGCCATTGTATACAAGCAGTACTATAGCTAACAGTGGAGTGGATGGCTATTACGAAACAACAAAAACCTTAAATTTACTTCATAATTTCACTCAAAAAGAAATGGTGAGTCTATATGCCTGAAAAATTTCATGTTCCCTTCCCCCATAATCTTCTTAGTAAATACTAGGAGGATAATATACATACTTACTCCTTTATGTTCACGAGGAAACTAGCATTAACTTAGTTACCTTTCCCTCCCTCTAACCCCACCTCACACCTTCTGAAAGTTTTTCTTAATGAAACTGTAAATATATATATATATATATATACACATTACACGACTTCCTACTTTTGAAAAGAACACATATAAACACTAAATCCATCTTTTTTTACACACATAGTTATATGAAGGACGCCATACGTGGAAGGTCAAAAGTATTCATTGGACACCACAGAATCAAAACTATAAATTAAGCAAGGGCAGGCAGGCACAAATCTTGTAAGATACTAATCGACACGAGTTCAGACAGGCGAACAAAGAGAAGGTAGAAAAGCTAATGGGAACACTCACATTCACAGTCTTAATATTGCTTCTTGCTTCTTTGTTCTTCTCTTCAGATCTTAATGCATTAGAGGAATTGGGCTGTCCATCAAAAAATAATTAGACATCATAGTAACTTTAAATCAATGATGATAGTTCAAAGATCTGCCTTCCTACTTAAACAAAGCACAAGATGCTCCAAATGGAAACAATCAAGTGGGAGAAAAGAAAAATAAAGAGAACTCATAGCAATCAAAATGAAAAACTGACCACAAAAGATTGCACTACATCAAATGTATCCTCAGAGCTAATAACTGTATCCACACGCTGAACAAGGACCTTCTTGATTTTCAATTCCTCATCTGTTAAATAAGTCAAACAGAGACACTGTTACAACACAAAGGATGGATTGTGTCTATATATATATATATATATATATTTGCGCGTGTAGTTATAAAGGAATATATTAATACTTTACAATATGAAAAAGTTTTCATCTTTGAAACTATGAAATGGATACTATTTTTAAGACATTTGGTGCAAATAAAAAAGCAAGTGATATTTCAGAACAAAGTTACAAGTGGCTCATGAGGTAATTCCAAAATATTGAATTACCATTTCATCTTCGAAAGCCCTAATTACTCTGGGAACAGAAGGGAGGCTGGAGCCTTATGGATTAGTTAAGTGATGTATTTAGTTCATCATCAACGAACTTTAATATTTAAAGCAATAAGATTAAATTTCAAATATAAATCAAGAATGATATTATACATCTTTATGTATTATGCTTACTAGGGTAGAGCTTGACCGAATGAGATCAGAAAGAATGGATCATTCTGGGAATTTTGTAATTGCAAGCCAACCAGTATAAATAGTAAGGCAAGGAATTTCTTGCAATTTTTTTCAACCCACTTATAATGTTGACAAATTTTATGTATTATTGTAACCCAAATTAAGCCTGGCACCTAAAGGCTTGAAAATCTAACAAATCTTTGGACATATACAAGGTTTAGTTCTATTCTTTTTTATTTATTTTTCTTGTCAACACAATCCAAAGCACTAAAATTATAGATCATATCAAAAGTAAGGATAGGTGAAGTCAAGAAAATATAAAGCGAATAACAATGTTCAAATCAACACTACATTGAGAACCCATAGAGAGATCAAGACTTCATTTCTTTGAACTACGGTTTCTTGCATTTATTGAATATGTCCTCTGTATTTACATTTTCTACTCCGGTAAAGAAACAAAAACATTAAGCTAATCAATAAGCACAAAGGCAGAGGTTCAATCACACAAATTTGATGATACAGCAAATCTGCTCACCAATCAATAGGTAGCATTCATAGCTATTACTATTACAGAACTAAACCAGGAAATAGAGAAAGAAATAATCAAAGCAGGAAAATCATTAAAAAGGCTTATAAATTCAGCAGGTAACATACTTTTACTAGAAGAAGCATCAGATATTGACAGATTTCCAAAATCAAGCAACGGCTTCTTCAATGGCCTCTCGTGAATCTCCAGCCCTAACACGTATCGTTCCAAGTAAAAAATCTTAGGTTCAAAAACAGTTGAGAGAAATTGAGACTATGGTGAAACAAAATTCAGTACTTACAAAACGCATCAAGGGCAGACTGGAAAGCCTTCCGTTTAACCCTGACAATAACGGGCTTGTTGGGGCAAGACGAAGTGGAAGAACCCTCCTCCATCAGAAGTAGACTTATTCAATTTCGGAACAGGGTAAGAATTTCCCAAGTGTTAACGTGCCCTGCTTCGCAATGCGTCGCCAAGAACTCAAGGTTGTGTTTCTTTGGAGTATGTAAAACCTGACCGCCGGTTCACTTCCACCTGATCCAAACCCGCCTTCTTCGATTCCTCTGGGCGGCAGCAGCAACAGGGCTAAACAACGAAAAGGAAAAAGGAAAACCCCAACATAGAAGAAGGAAAAGAATGGCGGAAGAAGAAAGAGGGAGGTGCAGGATTCTGGTTTTGGATTTCTGAAATAATTAATATATTTATATTACTAATGTGATTTTATATTAAGTTAAATTAAATAATTAATTTATTAAAAGATTTAAGATAAATTGTTTCTATCTTTTGTGATTCTGTTGCAGTTTTTATTATTTTAAAATTTTTCTGTTTGTTTTTATCTTTCATTTTTTAAAATTTTTTTCTTTTAAAATTTATTGAAATATCTATAAACTAGTACATATTTATTGTTTAAATATTTTTTATTAACAATTTTTTTAATAAATTAATGACTAACTATATTTAAAATTTTAAATTAGTTTATTTTATATATTTGTTTTAAAATATTTATTATTTAAGCTATAAGATATAACTTTTTTTATATTAAATATAAAAAAATAATTATTCTATAATTTTTTAAAAGCATATGGGTTAGTCCGTCGGACTTTTCATCTGGCTTTGGGTTGGATTGGACTGGACTGCCTAAATTTACACTGATCCGCCGCGGGTTGGCCCAAAAGTAACCCGCTTATTTGCTGGTTATGGTGAATTGTGGATTAATCCACCAGTGAATCTTCACCGATGATATACAAAATTTGACATTATGTTGGCCAATTTTTTTATTATTATTACAAAATTTGCGGATTACGGTGAATTGTGAATTCATCCATTGTTGTGTTCTTAGATTTTTAGTATAGATTTTTTTTTTTCAAAAATATCACATCAAGTTGTATCGAAAGTGGTAACATTTTGAACTAAAAATAAATATTATTAGATGTAGATTTACATTCAAAATATCGTATCAACGTTTATTTATATCACATCAAATAATATTCAAATTCAATTTTTTACTATTAAAAATTCAAACCGAAAAACTAAAATCAACGAACAAACACACCCTAAATATTGAAAAAAAGAGGAAATATTCAAATTAGAAAATTATTATTATTGAAAAGAAGAAGAAAATAAAATAAACAATGATAAATATAATTAATTAAATCTTTTATTTTTAATATATTTTTCCAATAATTATGATAAATTACTTATTCACATATTTTTATTATTGATCAATTTTAAATAATAGAAAAATAAATACTTATTACAATATGTAATTGTTGCTTTTGTAATTTATTATTTTGTAATGTTTTTAAAAAGATGATAACTTGAAGAATAAAATTACTTTGGCATTAAATAGATTGTATTATTTTTTCAAAAAAAATTAAATAATAATCCCTTCTAACTCAAATTCTGACATAATTGTAGACCGTGTTTGTTGAGGAATTTTGTTAAATTTTTACAATTTATTAAAAAAAAACTTAAAAATATGAAATCAAATATTAATTTTTTATATTATACTAAAAATTAATTTTACAATCAAAATATTATATCAATACTAACATTCATATTGAATATTATTTTAAAAAAATATATAAATATTATATATTGTTAATTATATTAGAAATATTGTAGTTTGGTGAACAAAGTCTTAATTAATAATCTTTTATTTAAGTTAATTTCATCTTTAAGTAACGAAATGTACTGATGATGCATCATGTGCTCAAACTAAGAATGTTTCTCAAACGACATATATTGTTAAAAATTATAACTACAAGTTGAAATATATTTAACATTTTGACAATTGGATTATTAGATAATTAAGTTATTTTTCCTCTTATGATGTAGTTATTTTATAGAAAAATATTTGGACATATTAACATTGTAATTTATAAATTATAAGTCTCTGTTTACTTAAAATATTTATATAATTTTTAGTTGTCATTCAATCTTTTTTTAATAAAAATTACAATGATCAAATATAAATTGATTTTATCACTATTCACTATTTAAAAATATATATATATATCATATTTGTTTTTATTTTTTATTTTTTACAAAGTATCACCATCAATTATTAATTTTATTATTATTTCTAAATTTTCAAAACTTCAACAAAAGAAATAGGGTAATCAAAAGAAATGATGAATATTTTGTTGCTCCAAATCTAACGTGTAATTAGTACTCCATTATTGTTAATTTGATAGATAGCCATTTATTTTTTTACACAAAATTAATGAGTATTATACTTCAATAATAAATTGCAAAAACCTTTTATAGGATAAAATTTATTTTATCATTATATCTTAATTTAATATTGTTTCATCCCAAAACAATCTACCAGTATTTACTTAGTGGAATTTTGATTTTAATTTTTAATAGTAAAATTTTGAATTGAAATAGTTGTTTGATTTATTATAAACATGCATTGATGTTTTGAATGTAAAATTAAATTTTAATGTAATAAATTAAATAAATTTTGGATATTTAATTTTATATTTTTGAAGAGAATTAAATTAAAATAGTAAAATCATTAGTAAAGAACTAACATATGTTTTGTATTAGTCTATCTCATCTTTATTAAAAAGTAGATAATTTGGTTTTTAACCACTAAAAATGATGCTATCATTTTAACCAAAGGAAGAAGTATGTGGTTAAACTTAGAGCTATTAAATGAGTCGAGCTCGCTCGACTCGAACTTGTTAACGGTACAAGTTCGACTTGACTCCTTAATAATTCAAACCAAAATAGTAGCTCGAGCTCGATTTGGCTTGAATTTTTATACATATTCTATATATTTTTTATATATAAATTAAATATATTTAATTTTATTCATATCTTTTTATAATAAAATATTTAAATTTTAATGATAAATATAACTTTTCATACAATTTTTTTTATACATTATATTAATTTATAAATAATATAAATATAATATTACTAACAAACTCAATCAGCTATGGAGCTACTTGGGAGTCAGCTCGAACTCGGCTAGTTTATAACAAAAATATTTTTAAACTCGAGCTCCCCTGTTTATCTCTAAACAAGCCGAGTCGAGCTTGATTCGCGAGCTACATATTTAACAGGCTCTAGTGAAACTAGACATGTATAGGGCTATTAAACAATCATTCACGAATTTACTTAACTTAGTTCGGCTCAATTTGACTCGATTTATACTCGATCACGAACATAAACGAACCGAACCAAACATAAATAGACTCGTCTTGTCAACAAACAAATCCAAAAGTTGGTTAAAATATAAATAAATAAAATATCATATCGAAGTCAAATGCTTCACGAACGAACACAAATCTTGTTCGCAAACATTAACGAACAAACATAAAAATTTGGTTCGATTCGTTAACTGCTAGACATGCATGCTTTCCGGGCGCATCTGATAGATATTAAACGATGATAATAACACTATCAAAGTAAAGACACATGATTTTGAAAATATCTAACCCACACATAAAACAAGCACGAAGTAAAAACATATACATATATATATATATATACAAGCTTTATGGGACGTCTATAGTGTATCCCAACAAGTAATAAGCACACAATCAAAACCAGAATACAAGCTTTCGGACATGCATACCATCAATTAAAATATATATATATATATATAGATACACAGGTTTTATGAACACATTCTGCTGTTAACAAATTTTAAGCACACACACAATTAAAATAGATACATAAGCTTCCAAACACATAAAATAAACACAGATCAAAACAAATATAGAACTCAACAACTTAAGCTCGCAATGCAGCAACGTAAACACAGTCGCAAGCATTTAGAAAATAAACATACAATCAAAATGGATATTCGGGCTTCTAGACGTCAACTCTCCAGATAAAAATTAACACAATCCAACAAAAAGGAAAAATACAAGCAAGCAAATTTTCAGATATGTATACATCCAATAAAAACAAGCACACAATTAAAATAGAAGCAATTGGACATGCTTCCCCACAGCAAATTAATACTAGTACATAGTTAAAGATAATAAACGAGCTTTTAAACACAAATAAGGTCAATAAATAATTACCACACAGTGAAAGAATTGTCCCCTATAGAAAGAAAATAAGCATGGTAAAAGAAAAGATATATAGGATACTCGGCAGCTCCAACAAAAAGAAAACACATTCCAAATAGATATGCTTACTTTAGCCTTTAGGGCATGTCTAAATAAAAAGATAATATTAACACTTAGTAAAAAGAAAAATACAAATTTGGATCATGTTTGCCTCCAACAATTAATAAGCACACAGTATATATCATTTGCATGGTTTTGGGCAACACATTCCAAATAGATATGCTTACTTTAGCCTTTAGGGCATGTCTAAATAAAAAGATAATATTAACACTTAGTAAAAAGAAAAATACAAATTTGGATCATGTTTGCCTCCAACAATTAATAAGCACACAGTATATATCATTTGCATGGTTTTGGGCATGCCTACTCTGCTTTCGAGTACTATTATCACATCAGAGATATTAAACACAATCAATAAAAATATACAAGCTTTTATCGATTTCCATCCCTAATATAAAATAAGCATACATCATAAGAAAATATGAAAGCTTTTGCCTCCAACATAAAAGAAGCACACAACCCAAACAAGCATGCAAGTTTCCAAACAAGACTACCCCCAACAAAGAAAGAATAAGTGCACAGCTACAGTCCAACCAGCTATGCAGGCATTTAGGGATGTTTCCCCATAACAATTCAAAACAAATATACAGGCTCTCAGCCTTGCTAGACAATTCAAGCATATATAAAAACTTTTGGGAATTCTGACTCCCAATAGATAAGAAGATGCTTATCAGCAAACCACAAACAACTATATAGAGTTTTAGACACACTTATCTCTAACAGAAAATAAGCACATAACTGAAATCAGAATGCAAACTTCTGAACACATCTTACCCAATCATATAAGCATGAAGTCAAAATAGAAATACAGGCTTTCAAATGCGTTAGTCCTCAATAAACAATAGCACACAATCCCAACAAATATGTAAGCTTTTGAGCAAGTTTGTTCCTAAATGAAAATAAATACACTATCAAAACATATGTTCAGGCTTCCAAATGCCTCCCACCTAACCCCAATTGATAATAAGCACATAAACAAACAATAAACTTGCAAGCACACCAACCACAACAACAGGTTTCAAGACATAGGCAGCGACAAAAACTAGCATAGCAAGCAGACAGACAGAAACAAATTTAGGACAACATAATAATAGGCCTTCAAATATGGCAAAGGCAGCAACAAAAGACTAAAAGCACACCAAAAAAAATATTTGAAAAGAATTGAATGTTGCAAAGCATAAATAGGGTGCAACAGACAGTCTTATTCCACATACCTGACCCCTCACATTTGAATAATGAACTCTAGTCCAATATATGTAGCTAACAACAATATTGTTTTCCACACAAGATTACGCACTGACAACGTCTGAAAAAACGAATTCAAGTCTCTCACCAACCAACTGAGAGTGCATATAATATTGATTGCAAAGATACACAGATCCTTGTTCTATGTGAATGTACATAAATACATGTATCATTATGTATGTTTAACGCCTCACTAAAGAGGTTTATGGTCAAATCCCACTTCACTTTATATCCACAAACATAATAACAAAAAACAGAACCAAAGCAGCAACATAAAAAATATATACAAAAAATAAATAGCTAGAAATAAACAACAATAGGGTAAAGAGGGTTATGTATGTTCCACCCTCACTAAAAAGGTTTATGGTCAAATCCCACTTCACTTTATATCCACAAACAAAATAACAAAAAACAGAAACAGAGCAGCAACATAAAAAATATATACAAAAAATAAATAGCTAGTAACAAATAATAGGGTCTCAACCCACAAATGTTTGCAAAACCTTAGACAATCAACCAACACATCCTGGAAAATGAACCCGCAAGAGGTCCTCTACACCAAGTGCTTAGTGACCAAAGCTATTTATTTTATTGCCATAGCTTTTGGACACAATTTCCCCATAACAATGAACAAGAAATTAGTCAAAAGTCAAAACAAAGATATATAGGTTTTTAAACACATTTGCCACAAATACAATATGCAAACAGTCCAAAAAACTAGCACACAAGCCAGAAATACCCACAGTCAAAACATAGTATAATACAAGCTTTTTGAACACACTTGCTAACAACAAATAATAAGAGCACATAATTAATACAACTATGCAAAGTTTCAAGCACACATTCCATTGATAGATATTAACCACATTGAAAAAAATCTACCTCCAATGAATATAAGCGCACACTCAAAATAGATATATAGTGGGCACGGGCATGGGCACGACCGAACCCAACACAAACAAATATACAAGCTTTGAGGATACATTTCCCCAATAAAAGGTAAGCACAATCCAAATAGGCATGTATGTTTTCACCATGCCAGGCCTCAAACAATAACAAATACATAGTTATAACAAGCACACAAGCTTCTGGGCACCTGCCTTTAATAATTATTAAGAACACAATAAATAATAAAAACACACAAGCTTCAGAGAAAGGTATGCAAACTTTCAGACATGCATAGACACAACAAAACTTTGTATAATACAAAGCTTCTTGAACACACTTACTAACAACGAATAATGAGCACATAATTAATGCAACTATGCACATTTCCAAGCATACAATCCATTGATAGATATTAAACACATTGAAAAAACTCTACCTCCAAAGAAAATTAGCACACACTGAAAATAGATATATAGTGGCCATGACCAAACCCAACACAAAGAACAAACATTTCAAACAAATATACAAGTTTTGAGGCATACATGGCCCCAACAAAAAGTAAGCACAATCCAAATTGATATGTAGGTTTACACCATTCCAACCCTCAAACAATAATAAGCACATTGTTATAACAATGATACAAGCTTTTGGCACAACTACCCCTAATAATTAATAAGCGAACAATAAATAATAAAAAAACAATGCAACCTTCGGGCACCTATTCCCGGTAGATAATAAAAGCACAATCATAACAAATATGCAAGCAATTGGAAAAGCCAATATAAGACAAACACATAGTAAGAACAAATATTAAGACAACACAAAATTAGCTCATAGTCAAAACATATATGCAACCCCCCCAAGAACAACTACCTTCAAAAATAATATGTACACAGTAAAAAAAAAGGGGTTATACAGGCATTCAGGCACCCTAAGATAAGCAAGTATATATCAATACAAAATATACAAGCTTTCAAGCATGCTTGCTCAAAGTAAATAATAAGTACACAACTCAAAACTCAAAACAAATATGTGAGACTTTGGGTAGCTACCTCTAAAAAAAAACAAATATACCAAAAAAAAAGAAAAAGAAATGCAAGCTTCTGGATACATTAGTGTCCCAACAAGTGAACAAATATTCATGCTTTCAAATGCCTAACCTCAAACAATACTAAACACATAAAACAAGCAATAGGATTTCAAGCACATGTGCCCCAAATAAATAATTACCACACAGTCATAACACATATGCAAATATTTAGGGCATTCATTCCCATAAAAAAAGGCACACCAGATATTCAAGCTTCAAGGCTCTGAAAAGAAAATAAGCATAGAATCAAAGGTATTCAGCCTTTCAAGCATGTTTGCCCCCAAAATCTTATAAGAAAATGGTCCAAGTAGATATGTAAGCTTTACTGGGCAAGCCTACATCAATAGATAATAAGCACATAGGCCATACAACTACACATGCATCAGGTGTGTTTACCTCAATAGATAAAAAGCACATTTGTCCATACAAATATGTAGTCTCTCAGGCCCACCTGCACCAAACAACAATTAGCATACAATTCAAAAAAATATGCAAAATCTTCAAGTACAATTTCACTTAACAGAAAAGAGAAAGCATAAAGTTTTTAAACAAAATCTGAATATAAAGAGAGGAGAAATGATTTCCAAATATATTTTAAATTTAAGTGTTAGTACATTAAAAGTGTATAGATATAGGATTTTGATGAGTGAAACATTATTCACTATAATATATTATTTACAAGTATAACACGAGAGATAATTGTACCTTTTGTTGCTGTTTCAAAATCTTGGGACTTTCCATTGTAAGAAATTTCATATCTGGCCTTCCAGGAAATAAAACAAAAAAAACTTAGCAACATAGATAATAAGTATTATAAGATCAATTCAAACTAACATCCATAATATGTTCAATATAAGGACAAAAATGAGAATACAAATTCACAGGAAGAACCGCCATCACAAAATTTATTGCATCAAAACCAAGCCATGAAACGTAAAAGGTAAATTTAAAATGAGCACACCTTACACTCCTTCATATCAAAGATTTCTCAAGTATTCCAATCCTTGCATTCCTGCACTTTGTATGCTGAAATGATAGGTACACATAAGAAATGGATCATTTTCACTTGTAAAGCAGTTATAATCCCAATCACATAAACTGTTCAGTTTGAAGCGAAAGGATTCAAGAAATTGTGAGTTCAAGCAGCAATGTTTAAAAAACATCAATGTAGAAGTACAAGAGAAATAGAAAAACCTGTCTTTACTGCAGCGAGTGCAACGTCTAAGTTCAGTAGTTCACAAAGAATAGAATTTCCATAATGTAACCACGATGTCTGTATTATCAAAAGCAAAAAATGAGAAGTGGAAGTTTGATCATTTTCCAAAAAAATAGTAGCAGGAAAACATAGTCAAGAATACAATCCAACATAGGTTGAATACCACATTTATGAGTTTTAGATAGACCCAACTAGCGAATAACAAATTCAAAACAAGAGCTTCTTTGGAAAACCATATGTGTGTAAACAAAAACACAATACACAATTAAACATTTAGACATCAAAATTTAAACAAGTTAGAACATAAGCTAGATAACATAAACTTAACAAGCATAAAGAAATACTCTAATACTATTAACATAACAAAATTCAAACTTAAATAGAATGCCATAACATTAACATACATAATCAACTTCCACTAAATTCAAAAAAAATGTTATGTAATTACAAATGAAAAACAAATTAAAACATTCTTTTCTGAAAATTTGATTGTTGTCATTTATTATGAATCCTTAAAATCAATGATGAAAATGAAGTTTGTTAGAATTACTCAATCATATACCATAAAAACTAAGAATATTAAGAATACGTTTGATACAAGTTAAAAGATATAGAGCCTAAAAATAAGATGGAATTATGTTATAAGAACGAGTTTAGAACCACACAAACCCAGCATAAACCAGATCAAGACCAAGTTCGGAGCAAGACCCAAACCCAGACCAACTTAGACCCGGACCAAACCCAAACCCAAATCCAGACCAGACCTCGAATCAGACCAGAACCAGACCCAAACCCAGCCCCGCCCCAGATCCAGACCCAGACAAGACCCAGGCCTGGGCCAAACCTAGAACCAAACCCTGACCCAGCCCAAGTCCACGCCTACTCAGACCAGACCAAGACCCAGCCCCAGACTGAACCCAGACTCAGACCCACCCCAGACCCAAATCCAGAACCTGACCAAGTCCAGACCCAACGCCAGCCCACCCCAGACCCACTCCAGACCTAGACCTAGGCCCAGCCCAAACCCAGACCAACTTAGACCCGGACCAAACCCAAACCCAAATCCAGACCAGACCTCGAATCAGACCAGAACCAGACCCAAACCCAGCCCCGCCCCAGATCCAGACCCAGACAAGACCCAGGCCTGGGCCAAACCTAGAACCAAACCCTGACCCAGCCCAAGTCCACGCCTACTCAGACCAGACCAAGACCCAGCCCCAGACTGAACCCAGACTCAGACCCACCCCAGACCCAAATCCAGAACCTGACCAAGTCCAGACCCAACGCCAGCCCACCCCAGACCCACTCCAGACCTAGACCTAGGCCCAGCCCAAACCCAGACCAACTTAGACCCGGACCAAACCCAAACCCAAATCCAGACCAGACCTCGAATCAGACCAGAACCAGACCCAAACCCAGCCCCGCCCCAGATCCAGACCCAGACAAGACCCAGGCCTGGGCCAAACCTAGAACCAAACCCTGACCCAGCCCAAGTCCACGCCTACTCAGACCAGACCAAGACCCAGCCCCAGACTGAACCCAGACTCAGACCCACCCCAGACCCAAATCCAGAACCTGACCAAGTCCAGACCCAACGCCAGCCCACCCCAGACCCACTCCAGACCTAGACCTAGGCCCAGCCCAAACCCAGACCAACTTAGACCCGGACCAAACCCAAACCCAAATCCAGACCAGACCTCGAATCAGACCAGAACCAGACCCAAACCCAGCCCCGCCCCAGATCCAGACCCAGACAAGACCCAGGCCTGGGCCAAACCTAGAACCAAACCCTGACCCAGCCCAAGTCCACGCCTACTCAGACCAGACCAAGACCCAGCCCCAGACTGAACCCAGACTCAGACCCACCCCAGACCCAAATCCAGAACCTGACCAAGTCCAGACCCAACGCCAGCCCACCCCAGACCCACTCCAGACCTAGACCTAGGCCCAGCCCAAACCCAGACCAACTTAGACCCGGACCAAACCCAAACCCAAATCCAGACCAGACCTCGAATCAGACCAGAACCAGACCCAAACCCAGCCCCGCCCCAGATCCAGACCCAGACAAGACCCAGGCCTGGGCCAAACCTAGAACCAAACCCTGACCCAGCCCAAGTCCACGCCTACTCAGACCAGACCAAGACCCAGCCCCAGACTGAACCCAGACTCAGACCCACCCCAGACCCAAATCCAGAACCTGACCAAGTCCAGACCCAACGCCAGCCCACCCCAGACCCACTCCAGACCTAGACCTAGGCCCAGCCCAAACCCAGACCAACTTAGACCCGGACCAAACCCAAACCCAAATCCAGACCAGACCTCGAATCAGACCAGAACCAGACCCAAACCCAGCCCCGCCCCAGATCCAGACCCAGACAAGACCCAGGCCTGGGCCAAACCTAGAACCAAACCCTGACCCAGCCAAGTCCACGCCTACTCAGACCAGACCAAGACCCAGCCCCAGACTGAACACAGACTCAGACCCACCCCAGACCCAAATCCAGAACCTGACCAAGTCCAGACCCAACGCCAGCCCACCCCAGACCCACTCCAGACCTAGACCTAGGCCCAGCGCAAACCCAACTTAGATCCAGCTCCAGACCTAGACCTAGACCCAAACCCGACCTGACCCAGACCAGCCATGTGCAGGCATAACCCAAACCCAAACCAGCCACAAACTAAAACCCAAGGCAGGTATAGAATCATCCCAAGAATTAGACATGGAGTAATAAGATTAATCATAATATTAACCAAAACCAGAACTTGACACATCCCCAAAGATTAAAAACAACTCACATACTTTCAGTGCAATAAATCTATAGTATGAATAAACATGTAAATCAACAGCACCAATAGCTGCATAGGAATCAATTGCAGGAGACAAAAAACAGGTTAACAGAAAACAATGAAAAGGAGTTTTCCTTTGATGCGAAAAGACCATGGAAATTGCAGCGGAGAATTAATTAAAAACATTTACAGTGTAGGGGTCTCACCAAAAATACGACAGAACCATAAAAATGAATGTAGAGAATTTTACATACCAAAGAGGCGCTTCTTGAGAGGCCAAGATAGTAGATGCAGATGTTTGTCTTACCGTACTATTTTCCCCAACAAAATTCATAAATCCAAACCATCTTCATCTAGATTTTGCAATTAACCGGCACAAAACTTCAATAACGAAAATAATATGTCAAAACCCTAATTATGAATTCCAGAAAATAATAAAACCTTCCTTCCAGGCAATGAAATTAAAGAGAGACTCGAGAGAGATCTAGCCCACCAACACGGATTGAGTTGATAATCGAATCTGATTTCTGAAGAGCCACCATTCCGAACAGAAAGAGAGGGATTTGTGTGCAAAACGAAAGAAATAATAACGAACGACTATAAACTTACCGACATTATTTTGCTTTGGAAAATCAAAAACCATCGGTCAGATTGACTCAACTCCATCGGAACAGAGGAGGAAGCAACGCGGAGGAGGAGGCTTCTCTCCCGATTCTCAAATCTGAAACGTCGATCGACTTCTGCCTGGTGTCAAGTGTAAAAGGGCTAATACATACCCGCTGCGCGTTGGCTATTTATATATAGCCTTAATCCTACCGTTAGGAATTATAACCAAGTTTAGTGCGTTGTTACCATATATACAATGCCAACTATAATAAAATGATATCTTAATTACTACTTACCATATAAAACATAACTACTTACCATATAAAATACACTTTGTACGGAAGAGCCCAAACCTTAATTTTTGGTTAATTAGTGGGCACGTAACACTAATAATAATAATAATAATAATAATAATAATAATAATAATAAGGCGTACGGAATAACATAGTTGTAATTAACTACAACTTGAAGAGGAATTTTGGCCTCATATTGCCATACGTAAGTACCCCTTTATTTATTTAAATGTAATTGGATTTTAAAATTTTACAAAAATAGTGTGAAAAATGACTCTGCTTAAAATTATATTATTATTATTATTATTATTATTATTATTATTATATTATGGGTTAAATTTATACTTATTTTATTTAAAATACATAATTTTATCTTTTATAATATTTATAATTTTAGTATCTCTATTTTAGCAAATAATAATTACTCTCTCCTTCCTAAATAAGATTAGCGCATTACGGTAGATACGAGAATTTAGGTAAAGTATAATTAATAAATAATTAGGAAGTTAGTAAAAATAATTATAGATTAAGATTAAAATAACTAAATAGTCTAAGATTAAAAAATTAAATTTTAAAATATAATTAAAGTGTACAATCAATTTTCCAAAAAAAAATGACAAATTATGTGGACGGACGGAAATAAAAAATAGGGACAAATTACGTGGGATTGAGGGAGTATTTTATTATTAAGTGTTTTACATATTCATTATTTTCTTAAATACTTAAATTCTTATAATATTTTATTTCATTTATTTATCTATTTTAGTTTAATATTAAATTTTTTATTATATTTTGATTTTTCTATTCAATTAAAATTACATAACATTTTAAGACGAAAAAAATTTATTATTTTACATAAATATAAAATATATTTCATTCGTCCCTTAAACTGTTTGGTTCAAGAACTTTTCTAATGGGATTGAAATTTTGCAGTAGGATTTATATGTGATAAGATTTAATTGTATTTAGATTTGAAATCCTATCTTGGTTTTGGTTGGGGGTGTTTGGTTTAAGGATTTTGATTTTTGATATTTTAAATGACGTAATTATCCTTCCACGAATTTTATTTATTGTGATAAATTAAATTTTACATCTTTTTTCCATAAACTTTATTTTTTTTACTAAATTTAGTGTATTCTAATAAAAAATTTCTAATACGATTAATAATAAAATATATAATATATATTCATACAAAATATATACTGTAATATATAATCTATATACTAAAAAATACGACAATTTAATTATTTTTTTATACTATCGACATTCTTTCTCATATTTAATATATATAAAAAAAACAATTTAAACTAAAAATACAAAATTAATACACCATTAAAATCTATTTAAATTATTAATTGATATTTTAAATTATTAATTTATTTAAATTAGCATTAGTACAAGAATTAAATATATAGAACATTTTTATAAATAAATATATGATTTGTAGTAGTATGCTTAAATATAATATTATATTTTATAAAACCAATAAAATATAATTTAAATGTAAATATATATTTATGTACATTTAATATTAAAAAAGAAAAAGAAATATGATTTTTTTTACGGGAGGGTATAATAGTAAAATGAAAAAATACAATGACATGCGATTTTAAAGTAACAGGGGTACACTGTTACTGAAAAATCCTGCATTTCCAGAATTTTAAAATCTCATGTACTTAAAATTCCATTATCAATTTTATAACCAAACATGGATTCATTAGGATTTTAAAATCCAAATCCCATAGAATCCCACCAAATCCACGAACCAATCAGCTCCTAAGTAGGTATTTTTTTCACGAAGTTTAAGATATATTAGTATTATACTGATATTTAGTATGAATAAAATAAAGATAACTAAAATAATATTGTGTGATATAAAGGTAATGATTTGCGTAATATACTCCGATATTTATAATGTTAGATAGATAATACATGAAAAAGAAATACTAAAATTGCATTTCGTTTTCTACCCAGACAGTTATTCATATAGCTTTAGATATATTTTTGTTCCTCTTTTTGGCCCATTTGTACGACGATCTTTCGAATATGATAACAAACTTATCAAACAAACGAGATTGAACACTGTCTTGCCACATGATCATTTGGTTTTTGGAACTTTGAATTTGAATACCAGAGATAATAACATGAACCTATATATTTATAATTTGATTTGTGCATATATACATACTATTTTGTTCTTTTTTTAAAAAAAATAAAAATAAAATTATAGATTATATTCTCAAATAAATTAAATAGAAAACTGTTTGAAAGTTTCAAGATGTCTCTTCTAATTCAGTTAATAACAAGAATTTAATCTAATTTGGATTTCAATTCAATAAAATTATATATTATGGTTCATTCGGGCACGACTAGCAATGGTTTCGCAGCACAGCTAATTCATCTACGAAGATAATTAGATTGGCAAATTAATTACTCAAATTGCTCTTCTGTCTAAAAAATAAACCATATTTCTCTATTCCATACAAATAATGTGTATACATATACCAGTGTGCATGTATATACATTATGTGCGTAAGGATAGGGATTGTTAATGGGACAGAAGATCCGATCGGCTTAAATTGTTAATCTAAAGACAATATATGATATAAGAACATTAATTGCAAAGACAATTAAACTACTACGATAATGCATGTAGTAACATTTAACATTTCTGGATCTGTCTGTCTGTCTATCAATTCTAAAATAAGAGAAAACTCACTCATGAACTGAAATCATCTTCATCCTCGAAGCTCAAGTTCAATGTCTGCAACTTGAATCCTGATCCTTGCATAATCTCTACCAGATTGGAGGCCACCCCTGTTGCTTGAACTGTTGTTTGCTTCGTTAACTGCCACAAATTAGAGAATCATAATAATACCAAATCAAAACAACCTTCACGATGTGCTGTGCTGTGGTGTTCAGTTTAATTTGAATTATCAATACCTAGCTCAAACATATCTGATTTGAATTATATATGATGTATTTATGAAATAGGATCGATCATCCAAGATGGAAAAAAAATAGTAAGTGATGATGAGTAATAACCTCTACGCTCGCGATTCCTTCCTGAACTTGCACTTTCAGATCTGTTATGCCTTCTACTGCCTGCAAATTAGCATACAAATCAAATCAACACAACATGCCTAACAATTCGTGGATCGGAGCATTCTTTAAGTTTTTATCAACAATTGACCAGAATCTGTAAACTAGTTGCGAGCATTGCCAGTAATCAAGGACAATTACATATATACATATATCTGTACGTGTATATATATATAGGGAGAAGGAGAAGGAGACGGAGACCTCCAAAGCCGTGGAAACAGCAGGAATAGCAGAGTCAGGCATAGTTCCTTCAGCCTGCGTGATTTCATGGCAGAAACTCATTCAGGCAATTCATCGAACACTTACACGACAAAAACAATGAAAGAGCAAAAAAATCTCAACCGCGCACCTGGAAAACCATCGTGAGGATGTCAGAAGGAGACACTGAGACGGAGACGGTCTGCTCCGCTTCCGCCTCCGCCTCAGTCGGCGGCGACGGTGAAGATTCTTCTTCTTCAGAGACAAGGTCTACTTCGCCCTCAGAAACCGCCCTCAATTGGGACAAAAAACATCGGCCATCAAATCTCACCTTAGATTCGGAGTGCGAAATTGGCGAAAACCTAATGCTGGTGGTAAACTCAGCACGACGGAATCGAAGTGGAATAGATGAAGAATGAGAAGAGGGAAGAAGAACAAAAGGAGAATGAGGTCTAGAAATTAACAGTCCAGTCGACAAAGCCATTGTTGTTCCAGCTCAATTGAACTCGTCGCTCTATTTGAAGCTAATGTTTGTTATCCTCAGCCAGCAACATTCAAATGAACTCCCGGAGTCCGACTCCAGGTACAAATATCATCTGCGGACTCGGAGTCCCGGGATCTGCCAATAATTGGTTCCGCGATCATATCGAAAACCCCTTTTTAATTTCTAAATAGAAAACACGCTTTCTATGTCGCGTTTCAACAAACACGCTTTCTTCGTCAATAAACTCGGGTGTGTTTGTTTGGGGGGTTTTGGATTTTGAGTTTAGATTTAAATAATAAAAATTTTGAATTAGAATAATTCTACGAGGGATATAAATAGATGTTGATTTGATATTTTAAATGTAAAATTAATTTTTAGTATAATATAAAAAATAAAAAATAAATATTTAATCTAATATTTTTTTTAAAAACAATGAAATGAATAGTATATTTAAAATTCAATACCCGTACAAACCACGTACAATAAAAAGAAACATCATTTAAGGCCTAAGCACGAACTCTTTTCTAATTAAAGTAAATGTGAACCCTGCCTTTCAGGCCAAGCACAAAACTCCAACAGAACACCCTTTTCATCCAATCCTTCAGATCAAATGTTCAAATCTCAGATTTCCAATTTCTCAATCAACAAATTTCATAACACCTTTCTTAAACTAAATCCAACAGATGAAAAAAAAAATCCTAGAAAACGAATCCCTCCAATGAAAGCAACCGCAACACGGCCGTGTTCCTCCACAATGTTGATGCAATTGTGTTCCAACAAATTTCCAACTCCAACTTTTCATCCATCAAGATTGCATCTTTACATAGTTCTAGTCATCAATTAAAACAACAATTCTGTTCTATCCAATACCCATATATGGGAATGGCTTGTTGTGTTTCCCCGGGGAGTCTATCATCAACGCAGCCATCCGATCACCTCCGCAACGACGACACGTTAACGCAGAGCTCGGTGATGAGCACGTATCGAATACATATCGCCGGTCATTGGCACAATGTGACTGTATTGTGGAGCAAGAACATCATGGCATACTCTCTAAGCATGTACATAGAAAGCATGAAGAACAATTGGGTGTACACGTGCAAAATCGCGCTTCGATCGTGGAACTTTTGGGGCAAGAAAGGATACAAGAGGTTCGAGGTAGACGAGAATCCATTAGATGTGTATTGGGATTTCAGATCAGCCAAATTAACGACTAGTCCGGAGCCCACCTCAGATTTCTACGTCGCATTAGTATCTAAAGAAGAAATCGTGCTTTATTTAGGCGACGACAATAAAAAGGCGTACAAGAGGTCGAAAGCGCGCCCTTCGCTTCTAGAAGCCGTGATGGTTTGTAAGAAAGAGCATGTTTATGGTAAGAAATCGTTCTCCACGAGGGCGAAGCTGGACCAGAGGAGGGAGTGCGATATTTTCGTGGAGTGCTCAACGACAGGGCCGGGAGATCCCGAGATGTGGATAAGGGTAGACGGGGTTGTTTTAATACACATTGTTAATCTGCAATGGAAGTTCAGAGGCAATCAGACAGTGGTAGTCGACAAGCAGCCGGTCCAGGTGTTTTGGGACGTGCATGCGTGGCTGTTCTGCAGCCCCGGCTCGGACCACGGGTTGTTCATCTTTAAGACCGGCGTGCAAGAACCGGACAGGGATGAGGCAGAGGATGAGACGCGGAGCGACGACGGCGAAAGCAAGTACTACTCTGTACAGAGCTCTTCAATGGCCTCACAGTTCTGTCTTTTTCTATATGCATGGAAGACTGAGGGATGATAGATACACAGTATGGATGGATTTTCATTACATTATCGAATTTGGACAGAAGTGATCCTTACAAGATTGAGCACATCCTTGTCTTCTTGAGGGCTTGTTTTGTTTTAGAAATGTTGGATTAATGAGGTTTTTGGATTAAGAATCTTGACAGGGAATGATATGCACGTGCAACTGCAAAAAAATGGGGTCTCAAAAATGCCAAAAAAGAAGAATAAAGCATGTGGTTAGCATTAGGAAGATGGAGTGAGTTTCAAGGGCCACGCCTTGGATTGAATCAAGGGGACAGTCACTGATAATATGCACCACTATTAAGAGAATGTTTTCTTCTTACATACATTATTATATACATATTATTGTTACATCTCCCAAGAAAATGACTTTTAGCCTTAACCACAAAAATGGCTTCTTCATTTTGAAGGTCATGATTATACTCATGATTAAAAGTAGTAATGATGGTTTCATAATTATGTGAAAAACTTTTGGTAAAAATGCCATCTTGAACTGATCTAATGATGATGAGTATGATTGCAAAGAAAAAAGTTTTGGTAACAAACCCTAAAAAGTTAAATGAAAACACTAATGGGAAATTAAATCTGAAAATTAATAATATTTCACACCTCCTCAGGTGAGGGATTTGGTGACAGGATTCTGAGTCTGGATTGAGAACTGATGAGGCATTGCAGCAGCGGCAGCAAATGCATAGTTCAGAAATGGTGAAGAGAATCCAAGATTTGGATTTCCATGTAAAGAAGATGAAGATGAAGACAGTCCTGCTGCTGCTGCTGCTGCTGTAGTGTGATCAATTTTATGTCCTAAAGCTTCGAGTGCATTCACTTGTGACCTGAGGAACTTCAGGTAGTTCGCGGCCTCGTCGAGCATCGACGCCGTGTCCATTTTCGTGCCGCCGGGGACGAGCTTCTGGAGGACCCGGATCCGCTCGCTGATCCTCTCGCGCCGCTGCCGCGCTGCCACCGTCTGAGGGTCGTTCGAGATCCGAACATTTTTCCGTTTCGGTTTCTCGACGGTCTCGGCGCCGAAATTGATTGGCCGGAAGGCGGCGGCGCGGTAGATCATCTCTTTCATTTGTGCTATTGCCTCCGCATTCGGCTCGTCGTTTCCGCCGCTGCCGCCCGACGAGGCGGAGGAACTTCCGGCGCCAGCGACGCCCTGCTGGAAACTGATGTTGGATGAGGATGGTGTAATGAATTGCTGCTTGTCCTGTTTTGGCCTCTTGAAGTTGAAGCTCCCTGGAAGAGTTTCTGATCTTTTTCTTTTCGGGGGATTCGGGTTTTGATCGGCGGTTTTGACGGTGGCCGGCGGCCTGGATTGAGGATTCAGGCCTGGATTGGCCCCGCCGGCGGCGGGGAAGGCATTTTCCGGCGGGGGTGGATCTGGTTTGACGGGGGTGAAGTTCCAGAGGCCATTGCAGTCGGAGAAGATCATGGAAATGCCGTCGTCATCGTCAAGAGACGTCGACAGGGTGTCATCGGCGGGGCTGTCGGATCCCGACAAGAGACAATCGAGGGAGCCTGTTTGCAGGAGGCCCCCGGAGATTCCGTGATCAAGAATCAGGGCATTCCCTGGATTGTAAGAAATGGCTTCTTCTTCTTCTCCCCCCCACGTTGTAAGAGCTTCTGATCTTGGAAATGTCATTTCTGCCCTGGTAAGAACATTCAGGCAGTCTTCGAATCCTTCCTGATGCAGATTGATCCAATCCAGACCGTCCATTTTTCGCCCTGGAATCATACACAATCAATCAATCAATAAGATCGAACAACAGATTCGGTGCAGTACCTGGAAATTTAAGAAGAAGAAGGAACTGCAGGGAACCGCACCGTGGAGGAACCGGAGAGAGGGGTTTTGTTTCTAAATCCTTAGTTACTTGCAGCAGCAGAAAACCTTCTTTAATGGCGAAACCGATAACCCTAAGAAGAAAAAAAACAGGGGATAGCAAACGTCAGAATTTTTGGCTGCCGAAATTTTGTCCGAATCTCGAAAATCGAGATACAGAAAGCAGAAATTCATGTAACTGCCTTCATTACCTTGCAAGAAAAAGGGCCAAAAATAAAACCAAAAGTCAGTGAAATACACAAAGGCAAGAAGAGATGATGACGATGATGACGAACAATACAGTCTTGTTCTTCTTCTTCTTCTTGAAATGGAATTGATTCTATCACCTTATGACATATACATACATATATATATATATATTCAAGAAATAATAACAGATGTGCAATATTGGGTGCAAGGCATGCTTATATAGAATGAAACTAAAAGAGGGTTCCTATTTTAATACTAGTACTATATTCTACACACACAGAGATGGGTATAGATACAGATGTGTGTATGTATATGCGGAGAAAAGATTTTGACAGCTGACAGAAGATGCAAATTGGGTTGAAAAGATAAGGGATTGTGGTCAGTTTGGTGGGGCTGTAAGTAACAAACAAGTGAAGTGAATATTAAAATTGAAATTAATAAATTTTTAATTTGATGGAGATTAATTAATTTTTATTTTATGAATAATTAATGGGAGTGGGGAAAGGTCAGAGCTTTGGGACAGTTTTTGGTATCGCCATTGCCATGCGCCTCTGTAAAGTTTCTGAGAAGTTTTGGACATAAATAAAAAATAAAATAATAATAAAAGAGTAGTAATTCAGAGGTGTTTTGAGAGTGGGGATTTGTTTCCACTAATCATAGTTTAATCATAGCCTCTCTTTGTCTCTCTCTACTTTTCTCTCTCTCTCTCTCAGACTTTGGTTTTGTAATTTGTTCCTACTTTACTTTTTGACCTTTTCACTGTTGGTTTTGACTGTAAATTTTATTTGTCTCTGTTAGAGTTGGATTAGTTTTTTGTTTTAATTTTTTAATACTCCCTCCCTCCGTCCCACAACAAAGTATTCATTTTTTTATTTTAGTTCATCCCATAATAAAATATCTATTTCTTATATATATATATAGTAATTGTACTATTTACCTAACATTACAAATACCCTTACAACTTACAATATATTACACAAATGTCATTACATTTATATCACACTGTACTGGTAAGGTTATTTTAGTCATTTTTACTTTATTCATACTATATGTCAATATAATACTAATATTTCTAAATTACTTAGAAAAAGCAAATGAATATTTACTTATGAATGAAAAGAGTATAATATTTTATAAAGAATAATATATTCATTTTAACCAATATAGTATTCTTTTGTTTTATAATAATAAAATAAAAAATAATAATTAATTTATGTAAGACAATTTTGATATTTTTATAAAAATATTAAAGTATTTTAGTATTTATATAAAAGTTATTTTATTATAATTAAAATAAATATTATGAATGAATGAGACAGATGAAAATAGTAAAAAAATAAATTGTGGGAAACAAATGAATATAATTTTATGAAGATTAAATCACAATGTTGCATAATAATGTTTTTTTATAAAAAAAACTAATAATATATTTCTATCAAGTTGTATAGTAAATAATTAAAACTAAATTTCTAAAGAATAGACGATAAATCTTTGATAGTGAGATGATGGAATAAATTATGGTTTGTCTACTATTGCTTATTATTCCTATATTTTATCATTTAGTATATAAATTTTAAAATACTACCTCCGTCCCATGTCTGTTACACCGTATTTTAGAAGAGGCGTAATTAGTAGATAATTAATAATATATTAGTGAAAATAATTATTCTATAATATAAATAATTATAAATTAAGATTAAGATAACTAATTAGTTTAATTAAAATTTTAAAAAAAAATTAAAAAGTTTTAAATGAAATTAAAGTTAATCATTTTCCAAAAAAAAAAGAAAGTGACATGATATGTGAAACGAACAGAAATGACAACGTGGACATGGTATGTGGGACGAATGGAGTATCAGACATACTTTTTGTTTAGAAACATTTGATATGTCTCTTTTCTTTCTTTCTTTCTTTTTTTTTTTTTTTCTGTAAAAAAATCAACCCAAAATTTATTCTTTTGTAAAAAAAAAAAAAAAAAAAAATCTCAACCCAAAATTTATTATTCTGTAAAAAAATCAACTGTTACAATTAAAAACTTAAAACTCACAAACAAAAACACACCCTTGGATTTATGGTTCATCTATATTATCAATTTACTTATTATTCATGTATAAAAAAAAAAAAAATTAATTTGGTTCATATATAGTCGAAATATGTTGAACAGTTATAGAATAATTATTCAATCATGATAAAAATTTACTTATATATTCATATTATAACTCAACATCGGATATAAATAAATGAAATTCAAGTGTAGAATTAATAAAATTACTCTTTGGTCTCTTCAATTGACTTATTCTGCAAATTTTACTTCATTTGTCTATAGTAAAATTTTGATTGATTTAATTTTTAAACTATTATGTTCGATCCAACACATCCAAATAAAATAAATTTTATTGTACTATAATATACTAATAGACATAAATATATAATGTAATAATATTTCAAAAGAATTTGTAACATTGTATTGTGAAAACACAACTAAATTAAAGAACCCTAGCATATATATAGCATATTTTTGTAAGGATATTAATTTCTTATATAGTTTGAAATACTTTTGACATCATAATCCCACAATTTAGTAATTAAAACAGTGTTTTACATAGTCAATCAATTTTATATGATTTGATTGATTTTTTAAATAATATTTATATTATTATTTTAAATTAAAAATATGTATATTTGGGGTCATAATCATAATGAGCATAAGTGTGCACTGAAAACTAGTTGTGTAATCTAGAAATAAGACATAATGGGCCTTCACCATTCATAGCTGTCTGTCTTCTTGACTTTGCAATTTGTAATTTCTGCGTCATTATCATGCAATTTTTAAAATAAAATAAAATAAAATACTTCATTCGTCTCAAATACGATTCAATATTTGCTGTTGGCACGGGTTTTTAGGTGGGTAGTATTAAATAATGATAATTTAGAAATTAAATGATGTGATTGAGAGAAATATATATTCTTATTTTTTTTATTTGGATGATGTGAGTGGATAAAGTGTAGGGTAGAGATTAAATATAATTAATTATTTTCTATTTTAAAAATATTGAAGGATGTTTGGGATATACCAAAAAAGAAATATTGTAGGGTATTTGGGACGGAGAAAAGTAGTATTCTTCAGAGATCTCAACTTATATACATATTATAATTTTGCTATGATTTGCATATTTTGGAAAATAATATATATAATTATTGTGTGATCAGGCTCTCCTAGGACTTTGTCTCTTCACAATCACAATCTCCATTTCATTATTGTTTCCCTATTTTTAATTCAAATTATTCTTATATTTCTGCACTCCGGCCGAAGATGGAGCTTTTTTGTTAAAGACACAGTATTTTATGTAGTATATGTTATTAAGTTATTAATAATAAGTTAAAATAATATTTTATTATTTTTTATATGTGTAGTGTTGTTGGTATTTTAAATATTTTGACAATTATATCTCAATAAAATATATGCAATATAGATATCATTTTGTAGACAATAAAATATTATATAATACAAATGAATAAAAAAATATATATTTATTTATTTATCATTATCATAAATTAGTTTTATAAAAAATGAGGAATTTTAAAGGTAGATAAAAATATTTATTAATTGATAAGATATATAGAAATAAAGGAGTTTTGAGTGAACACTATGTTAGAAATTTAATTAAATTGATTTATATTTGTTAAGTATGTTTAAAATTGATAAACTTGCCAAAAATAGAAATGGATCATTTTTGTGAAACATACCGAAAAGGAAATGGAGTGATCTCTGGCGGAACGGATAAAGTATTATATATATATATATATTAATTAGATGTGTGTGTTATTAAATAAAATGAATTTATTCTTTGTACACTACACACGCACGCACACAAAGGGAGACCTCTCTATCTGTCTACTCTGTATCAGGGGGGGGGAGGGTGGGGTGGGGTGGGGGGGATAGGGTGGGGTGGGTTAGCCACATGCATCCCATTAATACAGCTCATTGAATGGGTTCCCAACTCCATGGCATTTTTATTTAGCAACGTTTAATTACCCTATAGTATGTTTGAACTATTTGATCTTCATCTAGCCATAAATTGTACGTAATTAATATATTTCTAATTTAATAATACAATTTCAATGTAACAATAAAATTTTTTTACATTTCACCAAAAGTTATTATTATACAACTATCTTATTTTACATTATATTAATTGTACGTTCAACAACGTTTTTGTGTCAATATATATTATATTACACATAAAATATTAATACTTTTTAATATATATATATATAACAAAATAAATGGATACATACAGAATGAATGAGGTGAATAAGTTTAACAGATTTATTTTTTAAAAAAAACATATACAATTTAGTAAAACAAATTAAAATGACATAACAAACATGGTTTTGATTTAAATTTTACATTTCTTATTTAATTTCTTACTTAAATAATATTTTAATTTAATATTTTTTGAAATAAAAATAATATATATTTAAAACTATACGGAAGTAAATAATATCGATCTTAATTTGAAATTCAAATCAAATGCATTCTATGAATTTTGTTCTTTTAACATTTCAAATCAAAATCAGAAATATTGGCTTATATAGTTGAGTTAGATAAATTATTCAGATATTTGATTGGATTAAAAAAAAAGATAAAAAAATATATTTCCTCTGTCCATTGAAAAGTTACCATTTTCTATTTTCCTCCATCCCAAAACAAGATTAATATTTTCTAATTTAGTAATTGTACTACCTACATAACATAATAAATACTATTTCAACTTACATTATATTACACAAATGTCGTTACTTTTATATTATACCATACTAATAGGAGTATTTTTATCTCTTTTACTACAATCCAATATAATACTAATATTTAAAAATCCATGTGAAAAAACAAATGTCACCCTTCCAATTAGACGAAGGGAGTATTCTAAATTTAATGTTAAACTCGATTTGGATCTAAATTAATAAATTATATATTTATATATATGCATGCTATACGAGATATATTTTAAAAAAAAAAAAACTATGAGACTAATAATTTGAAATCTAATTTATCTATTCAATATTATTTCTAAAATTTATGGAAATATTTATGTTTTAGGGGTGTGTTTGAAATGTTTTTAAAACACAAATCAACAATATTCAGTCTACATGTTCCTAGTAAAAATTAATATACTATTTTATCT